TGCTTTTTATATTTATAAAATATCATATTTGAAAAATTTTAAATCTTCTCTTTGAATATAATATTTATTTAGTATGATACTACATACCTAAAATCGTCCAATAAAGCATCCGTAATTTCTTTTATATCGTCTTGTGTAATAGTTCCTGATGGAGCTATACTTTTAAAGTGATAAAATAAATCTGCATGCTCCAACAGTAATTCCTGTAACAAATCCCAAAATACTTATTGTATGTATTCTTTATAATTAATAAATGCAACAACATAACTGTTGTGCAGATGTACAAAAAAAAATACCTGAAAATTGTGTTTTGCCTTTTCAATAATTTCTTTTTGATGTTGATCATAAATTTCTTGACAATCGTGATGAGAAAGCTCTTCAAAACATTCTCTGCCCATAAATAAAACTCGAACCTCAGATAACTGTTTTCCAGGCGTAACATAACCAGTTTCCTCCAATAATTGCTTAAATTGTTTCTTCCATCTAATAGAAATTAATTACAATTAAAGAAGAACCATTCAAACAATATTCCATATTGCAAAATAATAATTAAATACATAAGACATAATTTTAATGTTAATAACATTTTGTTACACATATTCTAAAAGTTTGTGTTATATGTAGGATTAGTTTGTGTCTCATTATTACTCTAATTATTACAATATTAATGCAATGTGTGTGTGTGTGTGTGTGTGTGTGCGCGCGCGCGCGCGCGTTTTTTTTCTCTACATCTTAAAAATGTTTGATCAAATCTTCATTTGATCATTTTTTTCTTTTTTTTCTTTTAAGAGAATCGCAAGAATTTAAATTAAAATAAAATTTCGAATTTAGATTTATTTAACTACTCCGTATTGCACAAAAAATTTGTTATGTACCAATTAATCAGTTTCAATAATTTGCTATGTACCAATTAATCAGTTTCAATAAAAAATTAATTTTTTTGCACTATCTACATTTAACTCTTTTTAGTCTATTGAAAAATTTAAATGTTATATTTTATATTTAAAAAATTTTTCTAAAGTCTTAAGTTGGTTATTTTATTAAACTATTTTATAAATGTGTAATTCATGCATTGAATCAATTTATTAAGCACCAACATATAACACTCAACTTTAAATAAAATATAAGCACATATGCAAATGTTAGTGTGGCTCACAAATATTAGGATAAATACTATTATTTCCAATCAAAATGAGTATGCTCTATATTTCAGACCAAAAAGCAAGTACAAAAATTATTTATGTTTATGCATAAATTACCTTTTCGGAAGTCTGCATAAAGAAACACCACCCAGAATAAAGCAAAGCATTAGTGAATTGCACATGAATATTACCTTCTAAAATATTGCGAATGAAACAATACTAAGATTTACTACAATTAGCTATATCAGTTCTATGTAAAAAATATATTTGTATAAACTCGAGTTCTATCTCTTCTGCAATAATTATTTGTTAAAATAATTCGGCATTTTGCATCGGAATACTTACTCTAATCGGCGTTGCTCTTGTTGCAAGGCGTTTATGTGATTCTTAAATACAGTCTCCGCCTCGGGGGTTTCTAGCACGTCGTAAGGGATTTTCGTGCCACTGTTTTCTCCAAAGTCACAATCGATCCACGGTATGTCCTCGGGACACTCGTAGAAGTACTGATCAAAATCGGGATGCGCCTTTATATATTGTTGTACCGCCGACCATTCTCTGCAAAATATTGTTTCCGGTAATCCGCATAATTTACGAGACGTGAGATTCGCACACGAGAAACTTACTCATTAATTAAATTCGATATATCTGGGCAAATCTCATGAAGTATATCCGGCAACAGATCCAAGTAGCCCTGTATCTTCTTCGCTATTTGCTCATCCTTGAGTTTCTTAATATGCCTTCTGAATAATCTCTGCGTCGCCTCGATACCGAACAATTCTACGAAAGTGGTGAACTCCTTGAGCTGTGAGAGTTTCTTCGAGGCCTGCGACCACAGGGCACGATAATCGGTTACGTGAATTCGAATCAATCTCTGCAATGATTCCGTCGACGCGTCCAATTGTTCTTTCCGGGCCCTGGCTGCCTCGGCGAACGGTATCAGTTTGCTGCGCATCTTCGTCTTGTCGATCAATTGCGCCAAGATCATAAAAGCCAGGTCCACGTTAATGTTCTCGTGGGCCGACGTCTCGACGATCAAGATCGAGCCCTTATACTCCTTCCGCATTATCAGTTTCTCAACTTCCTTGACGAACTGTTCGTTCGCGTCGTCATTCTTAGTCGTTACCAATACCACTGGCTTCTTCGTTTTCATCAAATTATTCAGGATATTCGCCACGAACTCGACTTGCTTCTCTATCGCTCGATTCGGTACGAGACTCACATCGAACACGCACAGAAATCCGTCGATGTTCAGTTTACCATCGGGCAGAACCTTCTGCTCGTACTCTTTCTCTATACCCAGCTGATTCTTGCAGATGTACATGAGTTTCTCCGCGCTCGTAATCTTCGTGGCCGCGCATCTCTTCGCGTACGGCTCCATTTTGCCGCCTTTGAACGGCTGAAACGACGCGTCGTCTATAAACTCCGTGTGCTCGATGACTTGAAACTGAAACTCCGTTCCGTCCTCCGCCATTTTCATCACTTCGCCCCAATACAGAAAGTGATCGTTGTTCACCACACGTCCGCTGAAGTCAGACTGCAATAAAAAAAATCGCGTTTAATCTCTCTTATTAAAATATCTCATCGATTGACAAAATCAATGAACTCTGCGTAGAAAATGTTGCTTCAATTACCTGCGACAATACTGAAATATGTTCCACATTGTAATCGTCACTCATGGAACGCATGAAGCGGTTGCACAGGCACGACTTACCGACACCGACTTGTCCCTTGTCCTTTTCTGTGCCAGACAGTCCGACCACCGCGACATTAATGCTTTTAGCATTGTCACTCTTTCTCGCCATGTTTGGTACGCAATGATTCGCTTATAGCAAATGTCAAAATAAATCTTCTTTCCTTGCTGGCACGTAATTGCTCAAGACATAGTGAATGGCATGTCACAAAAAAAAAAGATTTGCAACTAGTACAAATTTGTCTTTATACCTTTGGTCATTTTTTACTTCAAATTCTAAAACTTTGCGTTAGTATAAAATTAGTTCAACCTCCCTTTGATAACATCTCTGGATGATCTTTTGTTTTAATCACAATTTGCTTGCTCGCATCGATGAATATTAGACTTATGTACAAATATCCAATTGATCCTCTTGAAAATTCTCATTCGTCCAAATACTCTATACTCTAGTATAATAATGTTCTTATGGTAGAGATGCTATTTTTAATATAAGTTATTATTGAATATAAATAACACAAAGCTTTTCAAGATTCTTAAACGCTATCTATTATTATGCGTAGCATTTATAGTTTAGCACAGCTGTGAGCAATGGTTCTTTGGAATGGCACTGTGTATCTGAAAAAAAATTGCAGAGAAAGATGCATTAATTTAAAATGTCAATTATTTATACTCATAACAATTTGTATAATTTGTACTATATTTTTGCTTAGTATATAAGTATATAGTATACTATCGTAGAATTATAGCACGACATGTGTCATTGAAAATACAACTATGAATCATGCATTACGCTGAAAGAGATATTCACAATAGCTCTGCCTCATGCTAATTGCATCAATAAGCATCAACAAAGGACAGAGTTGTAAGAAGGCCAGATGTTCCCCCGAATAATTCAATCCACTTGAAATCGATATTAAGAAATAAATGATGAGAGTTAAATTATGGCTAAGAGCTTAGTTATTTTCTACGATTCTTAAAACAGCACGTATCGCGAATCCTGCAATATATATCACGCCGATACGCGATATACGTCTATTCGCGTTTTATGTATAAGCTTTACCTGCGCTTTTATCGCAAGAAGCTCCGATTTCTTCCGCAAGGGCGGAATCATCCCTGCATGTTCAATCATACCCGGTCCGTGTCTCGGTCGTGACTATACTTTTCTGCACTTTCGGAAAAGTTTCGAACGAGGACGGATATACACGTCTAATTCTCCGGAAGGAGCGAGACGAGATAAATAAAGTGCAGAGAGTGCAATTGAAGAGAGCGAGCGGATCCCTAACAGGTCTGCTCCTTTTTTACCTGTGCTATGATGCTTTCCACGTTCGAAATCGAATTAGCATACCGCACTTCTTTCATATTATTCGTGCATCGGAAGGAAATAGGAGAGAGCAAAAAAGCGGGAGAAAAGTGCAACCGTGAGAAGAATTGAAAATGTGCGAGGTCGGTTTCTCGGTGGCGCCGAAAAATTCCTCTCCGATCCGGCAATTGCTGTAATATTAGTATAATATAATAGGTATATAAGCTTTCTTTAATTACATTGAATTTTTATTTCCGCGAGACAAGCATATAATTTCGACCAAAGAAGGGAAAAGAGAGGTACAAATTAAAAATACAGATAAGCGAAGGGTGAAATATTACATTCCTTCCTTCATATTTTCCGAAAATGTATATTCAGGAAAGAGAGAGAGGAAATGCGTAAAGTACTAGAGAGAAAGGAAAAAACGAAACGAGATTTTGCACGCGTTTCCGAATGACAGTCGTGGGCTTTAGATCGATATGTATCGTACACAAGGTATACCTCGACGACGACAACGACGACGACGACGACGCCGGATTTTCCTTCTCGGAGACGAGGAGGAGAGAGGACGGGGTTGTTCGTCGTCGTCGACGTCGTCGGGGAGGTAGAAACACGGGGATGACGGGTTTACCTGAGTGAAGGGAAGCGCACGGTGGGCTGTTCTCTCCTCCGGGGGGGAAGGGGGCGGACACGATCCGCCGTCACCGGAGTCGTCCGGGAGGTCCGTGTCGCCGGGCCTGACGTGTCCGACGTACCGCAGGTTCCGGACGCGCACCACCCTCTCTTCGGCGAACGCTCGTCCTCGGCTCGGCTCCGCGGCGCGGCGCGGCGCTTGACGTTGTGCGACGTGACGTGACGTGACGTGACGTTACGTTGACGCGCGACTCGGTGACCGTGAAACCGGCGCTTCCTCTACGCTCGCGCGGCACCGCGACGCATCGACGCGACGTCGGCTGGCCTGGCACGTCTCCCGGGGAGGGGGGCAGCGCGAGGTATCCCAGGTGTGTAAATAACTTTACGTTGAACACCGAGTGTCGCCCCGTACGGGAGCCATCTTGCTGGGTGGGCACACGCAGCCACGGACACCGATGTTTTCCGCACGGTCAGTAATCCCCCGCTGTCAGGTGCGGATACCTGTGACAGCTCGAAGAGGCGCAGGCGAATGTCAGACAAGTGTATTTTTGTTTAAATACAAGAACGATACAAGTTCGCGCTATTTAATATTTTTTAAAAATAATGTAAAGTTTGTTTGAACTCGATTAATATTTTCGACAGCTATCAGCTGATTTCTGTCAAAAAATATAATTTGAAAGTTTAAGGTATATAACATATACTTACAACATTATATATATTATTTTCAATTTCTATAACATATTTTTATTTTAAAATTTAATTAGCAAATTGACACTTTGATCAGCTGATTTCTGTCAAAAAATATTAATAAGGTGTTCATTTGCTAATTAAATTTTGAAATAATAATATGTTAAAAATATTAAAATAATAATACATTGTAAATATAATATATCGTATTCGCGATTAATATTTTTTGACAGATATCAGCTGATAACTGTCAAAAATATTATGTGAGTTTAAAGTGTAATATAATTAAAACAAGAAAGGGAATATATATACTATAATTAATTGATGCATTTTGTACGTGGAATTTTATATTATGTATCGACCGTGCTTAGAAAAGGAAATCGAGGGGCACCAGGAGTGGTAGCTACGGGCCTGATGCGCGCGCGGGAAGCGACATCTGGTGGTCGATCGGCGAGTCTCGCGGACGGGCATTCGAAAAATGGCCGACAGCGGGGATGGTGTGAACAGCACGTCGTCCGGGAAAGAGACGAGAAATACGCTCACTGATGGCCCAGTGACCGATCCAGCGTCCAACATGAAGGTAAATCGAGCCGGGCTTTAATGTCACATGAAATATTAAACTGTCTCGCGCCCTCGGGATGACGTTCGCGCTAATCTTCCAGCTGTATGTCGTAACTGTCATATTTGCCGCCGTTCTTGCCAAGAGGATTTTCTCGCCCGAGCCTAAAACGCGCGAAATATCGTCGTCAACCGTCTGTTTCTGATCACGTCGAGCGAAGGAACGAGAAAAAATTGCGATGTTTGTCTCTTGTTTTTCTTTCTCTCTTTATTTATGTTGGTTTCTTTCAGTCTCTTTCTCTCCATCTTTCTTCCACTCTTTCTCCTCTCTCTCTCTCTCTCTTTCTCTTATCTCTGTCAATCTCTTTGTCAGTTCCTTACCTGTATTTCTGTTACGTCTTGCCCAACCCTTCAAAGTCTTGTGATCACATGTGGTTGTTACGTAACTGAACACATGGTATTAATTGTCATGTCATTCGTTGATGAATAGGCCTCAATTAAAAACTGCCTGTCTACTTGTATATCATGAGAAGATACTGAGAACTTCTGTTTGCAGCTGATTGGATTAAAAGAAGTGTTTCCATTGGCTTCTTTTTCCTTTTCTATTATTTATTAAGAATTGATTGAAATAACAATTATTAAAGACATTGTTTATTTTGCTAGAAGCAAGTAAACAGAAATCTGACAGAAGTTTGTTCAAATCTAACAAGAATAACAGGATCAAGATTGTTTAATACATTTTGCTCAATTTTAATGTATACAAATTACATTTTATATTCTCCCTTCTATGCAGATATATCTTTCAGGCACATCTATAACAAGCATTATTATTAATATACTATATTAATTGAAAATAATAATAGCAATGTGAAGGAGTGAGTGCATGCGATTACACACATAGTGCCTATTACTTGGCATTTACAATGCTTATATATTATTTTACATATAGAGCATTATTCACACAGTAGTCCGTAGGTTCGGTACCAATCACTCATGCATCGCTCATAAGCCTAGACACACCATTTAGGCGTGGCACAATTAGCACTACGTGAATTGTTATTGAATGCAAAGAAAATATCTGAGAAGCACAACACAACGGGATCTATATTTTCTAAAACAGTTCCCTTAATTGTGCTTAAATGATTCGAATATTCTGGCTGATTAAATAGCAAAATTATAAAAAGAATAAAAAAAAAGATTTACAAGCAAGTATCCATTTCAATTAATTTTGTTTAAAGAATATTTTACATATATTATATGTCTTAATATAAATTATAATTAGAGTATGACAATTGTTATATTCTGATTTATATATGAAATCCATTTTTTCAAAAACGTTATTTCCTGCAAAACAATTAGAAATGTAAAAATGAGAAGTAAAGAAATTGAGAATTGAAAAATTCCTATACAGATTTTGTGCATAATCTGTACAATCTTTGGGAGCTTTGTACCAAACTACGGACTGTATTGCATACACTTGATGCATCTGAATCATGATATGATGGTTGTTGTGATTTCAGAGCCTAGAGGCATCAAATAATGCCTTTCACGGCGCGAGAACAAAATTAGTAAGTAAGAGTCTATATGTGTATACAACATGCAAAGTAAACTTGTACCTAAATATCCATAGAAAAAGCCGTCTTTGCTATTTTTTCCTCAGGATTGCTTTACCTCCTCTCGCCATATAAATGTCGTACGTGCTGGTCAGAATTTGTCATTCTCGCTTGTCAAATTAGATGATACAGACTAATATAATGAGAGACGATTACACAGTGTAGCTTCATATTTAAGAAATGTGAAGACATTTGTCCCCTGTGATAAAAAAAATTGATATAAATATAAATCGTCTATGTAAATATATTGATCTGTGTACACATTCTGTGCAACAAGCTAGAGCTTCATTCAACGCACTCTTAAGTTTGTAGATTCTCAATGCATTGCGGGCCCTTTTAGAAAAAGAGACACACATTCCATGGCCAGGATCTGAATTAATTGTATCTTTCAATTTCTAGGATTCGAAATCTGGAGCGTTGAAGAAGTCCAGCCGCTACCGAAGTCGCTCCTTGTCGGCCAGCAGCACCGATAGTTACAGTTCCGGTACGAGAATATTCGTGATAGTTACACGCTAATGACTTTTTATAGTGTGTATTTCACTTTTTGAAGGAGGACTAGTTTCATGTGTGTAGCTTCCCTCTTCACACTAATATCTTTCTCAACTCAATCTATATCTCTATCGCTAGCTATATTAGACCACTTAAAATTTCTACATTACACATACGTCTTGTTCATAGCTTTATTTTGTACTTAGAATTACCAACAGTTTGTAATCTCAAAATAACGCAGGCAATCTTAGCAGCTTCATTAGGATATTCATGCACTTGCACTTTGATGTGGTACTAATGATTCAATGTTTTTCGGCATTTTGCGCTACCTTAGCCTCTTATACAGGAAGCTCGTCTGATGAGGATGATGTCTCACCGCGCGAAAAGATCCAGAAGACAGAGAAGGGCTTCACGGATTTCTGCGTACGCAACATCAACCAGCATGCTTTCGGTCGCAGAGAGATTGAGATCGCCGAGCAAGAGATGCCAGGAATCATGGCATTGCGAAAACGCGCAGCGGATGACAAGGTATATTCTTTTTCTTTCTTCCGTGATAACAAAAAGATATTTTTTAAATTTTTAACAGGCTGCATACTGCCGGAAAAACTGTGAAAACCTGGTACTTTCAGAAAATTTTGTTCTACCTTCAGAAATCAGGGAATTCTCATGGAATTTGGATTCAGTCAATTTTTAAAAATTGCTTCTGATGATTTTACTCTTATGTAGCATTCAAGAAACATATTTTTGCAATATTTAAGTTTCTATTAAAATATGTGATTTTTTTATTGACCATCTATTTTTAGTATCAAGATCTTATATAACTTTCAAAGAAAATTGTTCAAGTTTTTAATAGATAATTATTTAAATAATTAATAATTAATAAATAATTGATATATAAATTAGTATTTCTTAAGACTTATACTCTCTCTCTAAATTATTTTTGTTTTATATGTTTGCATATATTATTAACGTTTACATATTGCATATATAGTGATATATCATACTTTGTTATTGTCTAAATTAATTTTATAATTAATAAATTAATATTAAAGAAAATTTATATTTGCATCTACAAATTTTTATTTTATCTGGAATTTAAAAATAGTCGTACATCAGGGAATTCTCAAGGAATTTTTACAAGATTTGAGTAAACATCCTTTATTAATTTTACATTCGATTTAATTCTAATACTTGTTTTCTTTTGCCAGCCGCTGAAAAACGCCAAGATCGTGGGATGTACTCACATCAACGCGCAGACTGCCGTTTTAATTGAGACCCTGGTGGAACTGGGCGCGCAGGTACGATGGGCCGCGTGCAACATTTATTCCACGCAAAACGAGGTGGCCGCTGCGTTGGCGCACGCCGGATATCCGGTGTTTGCGTGGCGCGGCGAAACCGAGGAAGATTTCTGGTGGTGCATCGACAAGTGTGTAGCGACCGAAAATTGGCAGCCTAATATGATACTGGACGACGGCGGTGACGCTACCCATTTAATGCTCAAGAAATATAATGCCATGTTCAAAATGATTCAAGGTTTATCCCGTTCTATTATGTGTCTTTTATTATGTAATATTATAGTTTATCTAGGTTTAGAGTTAGATTCTTAGTTTTAAAAATATATTAATATCGAAAAATAAAAATGGAAATTCTTAAAATTATGATGACGTGACGCTTGATATATGAAAGAATAAAACGTGAGAATATGTTCTTGTAGGAATTGTCGAAGAGAGCGTAACAGGTGTACATAGATTATATCAATTGTCAAAGGCAGGTAAATTGTCTGTTCCCGCGATGAATGTGAATGACAGTGTGACCAAGACGAAATTCGATAATCTCTACAGCTGCCGCGAGAGCATCATCGATAGGTGAGTTACATAATATCGTTCCGAGAAAAACATCTTGGAACATGGTCGTTTCGAACGTGACGCCTATTAGTTTTCAGCTCTTATCATAAAAATGTATTTACTTACAGTTTGAAAAGATCCACAGACATCATGTTTGGCGGGAAACAAGTTGTGATATGTGGCTATGGAGAGGTAGGGAAGGGATGTTGCCAAGCTCTCAAAGGTTTAGGTTGCATCGTATACATCACCGAGATCGATCCCATATGCGCTCTGCAAGCCAGGTAAGACGCGCTTGAACGAGCAAATTAATTTTCACGGCCAGATTGTCCGCCGAGCCGGAATATCACGTCGTATGTAACATACATGTGTTGTCGCATTTACAGCATGGACGGCTTCAGAGTGATGAAGCTCAATGAAGTCATACGAAATGTAGACATTGTCATTACAGCGACGGGCAATAAGAACGTGGTCACGCGCGAGCACATGGACAAAATGAAAAACGGATGCGTTGTTTGCAACATGGGTCACAGCAACACGGAGATTGACGTTGTATGTCCCACTTTATCTACTTTATTCGGCGCGTGTAATTTCGCAACCGGCGAAAGTTATAAGCGACTCTCGATTTTCTCGAGCGACCGATTCGATATGACCGATTCCGCGCGCTCAAGGGAGATCGAGAGGATTAAGTCTCCTTAAATATGTTCTTAACAGAACAGTTTACGTACGCCCGATTTGACTTGGGAAAAAGTGAGATCGCAAGTGGACCACGTTATTTGGCCGGACGGTAAGCGCATAATACTGTTGGCGGAGGGTCGTTTAGTAAACTTGTCGTGCTCGAGTATTCCATCCTTCGTGGTGTCGATTACTGCCGCTACGCAAGCTTTAGCTCTCATCGAACTATTTAACGCACCACCAGGACGATACAAGAGCGATGTTTATCTGCTGCCGAAGAAGATGGGTGCGTACAGTAATTATAACATACAATAATATATATAAATATATATATTATATTATATATATTATAATATTAAATATATATATTATAATATATATTACACACACACACATATATATATATAATTTCGAATTAATTTTTAACTGAAATAGAGTTCATTAGCTTCAGTATACTTTTTTTCCTAACTCTTTAATTAGAATATTTAAATAGCTTGATAAGAAAGAAAAACGACAAAGCTTTAGCATCAATAATCTAATATTTATCTTGTATTTATTGTATGTATTTCTACCAATTTATCAGTTGTATAATATCGTATTAAAATGTGATAAATGCTAAATTATCACGTCGATTCACGCAGATGAATACGTCGCATCGCTGCATTTACCCACGTTTGACGCGCATCTAACGGAACTGACGGACGAGCAGGCAAAATACATGGGCCTCAACAAGGCTGGTCCGTTCAAGCCTAATTATTATCGGTTAGTATCAAGCTACAGGTTCCGCCACGAGAAGAAAGTGATTAATTGATTGCGTGTGTTTTTTTTATGTACCTGTGTTATCTACCTACCTACTGTGGATCTGTTTCAGCTACTAAAAACCAATGGACGAGTAATGTGGCATTGATTTAGCACGTGCGACACTCACTCAGCATTACACACTTTCAAGTATTAAAAAAACAACCACCCTTCCTTGACTTTGTGCCGAAGTTGGCTGGCTTTCTCTTTTTATCCCACTGACGTCCATTCTCCGTTCTCGTAAAATCGATACGAGACTTTTATTTATGGTTCAACCTTCGTGAAGGGATTCGCGCGACTTGATTCCATTGTTATCGTGCTAATCATCCACAAGGAATGCGTTAATAATGTCATGAACACAACACACTGATTCAAGCAATTACCCAATAATCGATATTAGAAATTACTATCCGGGCTGGGCAAAATGTATTTGAAGAAAGCGTAAAATATATAAGTTATTTTCACACATGCAACACTTATATATGAATCTCTTATATATATATATATATATATTTTTAAGAGTATGCTACAAATAATTCTGAGTAATAAGATTCTACAAATAATTTCTGAGAATCTTTAAGAGAGAGTATGCTTACAAATAAATAAAAAATACTCTGTCCAGCCCTAAAATTTAGGTAATTGAATTTTATGTATCCGATTAACTTTTGTAAACAGTTTTCTTTCCGAAAATGTACGTGTGTGGAGCCTGCATTCGTCAAAATGAACGGAGAGAAAAGGAGAGCAGAGCTTGGAAAATTTGCCAGACTGTGCACACCAGTAAAACTACGTCGTGCAAACTGTCGGACGCATGTAGATACGAGTCCTATTATAATTTGCAAGCCGATGCGGTAAATAAAATTGCATCTGTCCATTAGACACTACTTCCAGTAAACTGTAGCATTATAGTTTGTAAATGATACATTTTTAATAGTATATAAAAAGAAACATATATAATATACATATAATGTAATATTATATATATGCGTGTGTATGTATGTATATATGTATATATATAACATATGCATATAAATAAAAAAAATCAAGCATCTTAAAACAAAAAAAATTTATAAATTAAAATTCAAAACTTTAAAAATCTATTGTTTTATTCAATTTCTCTCTGTGATAAGTTCTGTTTTCTGATACAATTTTAAATATTACATTTTTGAACATTAAATTCTTTCTTGGATATTCCTTTGTACATGTTATACATAAATTTATATACATATATATGGATATCACACTATTTTTTGGCGCGTACTATTACAGTGCGTGCTTGCGGGTGCTGCTGCATTATATTAGTCAATGAATTTGTTGTGCCCTTATATTATAGTGGTGAAATTAATACACGTGCGGCGTATGTGTGTGTTTTGTGTATGCGCCCACTTTGTGAGAAACGACACACCATCCGCGACTATTTATATACACCATGCTTTCTCCAAGAGAGACGCGGGAATGCCATATTTTGCAGAGGATTAATCGCAAAAGTTCCATATGTACATAATTATTTGCGGAGGGAGAATACGCTGACACACGAAATAGACGAATAAGCTGTCATATAGATTATTATAGCCTGTTAATCATTGTTACCCTTGCCTTGCGCGCGACGCAAGAATTTGCATACCCCACGTTTATTAGGAAAAATAAATGCCTATCATATTCAAGGAGAATGTGATCGTATACATTATTGTTCTTCTTTGGAATCGCACCCATACCTCTAGCAATTATAAATTATTATGATTTGTAGCTTCATCAAATGTCGACGATATATATACATATCAGTTAATTATGAAAAATAAACAAAACTAATCCGTAGATTTTTATATATGAATATTTAACCGCGGAATCAGATATTGGAGATTATATATATATTTATTCAAAATTTTCGTAAATATAAGTATAAAATAGATTCAAAAACTAGAACGTGCGTAATGAAAATGAACTGTGTAGAGAATATAAAGTTTAGGACGAAAAGAGAAAATCTCTGAATATAGAGCAATGTTCCTAGATCAGGAGAGCTTCCCGTTATAAATATATACATATATATATATATATATATATATATATATGTAACTCTGCGCTGACTCAGCATCTCTCTTTGAACACGACAAAATAAATCGATATTTGTTTTAAAACATTATTTTATCATTGCTTTAGAGAGGATTCGTTAATACAAAATTCGAAAATTTGGAACGAGAACTATCATATTATATTTATAAAATATATAGGTATATAATTTATTTAAAATTTTATTCGGTATCTGTCAGTGTATACACACACATGCACACATTCATATAGTTTTAAAAAATGTATATGCAATTTATGGTAATATTAATGAATATTTCATAAACATAAGAAAAGTAAAGAATTGAAACATGTGTGAAACATTTCAATGAAATATTCGTATAATTCAGAATTCTAAGTCCAATATTGATATTCTGGCTCCAAGAAATTACATTTGACATGTTTGGTGATAAATTGATTATTAGACTAATTAAATTGATTATACATTCTAGGAAAAAAGTATAAGAATACGTTGTTAGATTAATAAGCGATAGAGAAAAAAATATTCCCAAGTATAATATTAGTAATTAAATTGAATATGCAAACACTGATATAATTTTTATCAATAGCAAATAAAGCTAGCCGGCATACATAAAATAAATAATATATAATGCAGTGTTCTTTTATTTAAAAAAACTTGCAAAAAATATAAAATTAGAAGTCGAAGAAATGTCATTCCGTAAAAAGCAAGCAAGTGATTCTCGTAAGGCATCAAAAATGATTAACTCTATGTAAAAATGCTACAATATTTTAGCAATAACGTTACATTTTGTTGAAGTCCTTGATATTTTTACATAAGAATAAAGGCAAGAATAAAAAATGTATCGTAATGTGTTAACATATATGTTTCTAAATCTTGTCCTCTCACTATAGATGTAATTATTTTTTTCATAAGCGCACACACACAAATTATACATATATCAACAAATACCAATTTTTCACAGGAAAATAAATACAATTTAGGAAGAAATATACAATATATATATAGATATATATATATTTCGATATAAATGTTATATATTTCAGCTTAATGTAAAAAATTATAAACTAATAGCTCTTCTCTCAACGTATGTCGACACGTGTATTGTTAATTACAGAAAACTTGTCCTGCGTATTCTGCGCGATCCATATGTCTGAGTATTGAAAAAAAAATAATAAAAATGATAGCTTTGGGGTCGTCTCTGAGAACAAATAACGAATGGCAAGGCTCGACGGCATGGCATTATACAATGGCAAATATAATATAATATCAATTAATAGTACGGCGATTTATACAATTACAGTAGAGAAGCGAGAAAAAATTTGCGCGCAATATATAAATAATAAAATTAAAAAAATAGAGAGAGAAAGAGGAAAAGCAGTAAAAATATTTTACAATATTCTGTACAAAAAATAAGTAACAATTTAGCGCCGATATTAGTATAATTAACAACGTTATTAATTGTACATACAAAGTATCTGATATGTATGTGTATCAATAAAATAGCGAAAATTGTAATAAAATACCGAATCTTGGGATAATTCGTGAATTAACGTCAACAATGGTACGAATAAATTGTATCAACGATTCGGTAAATTAACTCTACGACACACACACAAATCATGTTTTTATCTTAAAATTGAACACTAAAGATAAGATTTCGGATATAAAAAGTATAGGTATCATGTATAGGGAAAGTATATATGCATATATGCATTTTTTGCGTCACGCGCTATATAAGCAGTGCATTTGTAATTGACAGTGTATATTTGCATGTGTGTAGATGTGTACAGAATTATATTACACGTAAATCGCGATCTATATGTACATAAATTGATTGAATTATGAATTCTGTCATAATTAATTGTCAATATCCTCATTAACAATTCTGAAAATTTATCCCTCGCTTATCCACATATATGAATAGATTATGATCGCATGGATCATAATAGTATTAAATTTTAAAGAGAAAGGAGAACCAACAAATTATCTGTCTGTACATACAAAGTGCCTACAAAAGACAAATTCCAAGACAGCCGAATATTTTTCGGAAGCGAAACATTTAGAGAACAGTGTTTCAAACAAAAATTATAGGGTTTAAAGTGGTCGAATGGTGATATTTATTTTAATTTTGGATCACTTTGTAATGGTCACTTAAAAGTTACTTTGAATTTTTAAATAGAAAAAAACCATCGTTCATTATATATAAATATATTATTGTATATTGTAACTGATGATGAAGAGTTTTCAAAGCAATGTAATTAAATTTCTTTTTGCTAAGCAATTCCAAGTTTTGAACCGAAATTACGCTATTACTGACATTAGCTAATTTTGCACTTCCTTTTGTATATATATTGATGTTGTGTCAGGTAGAGATTAGGACTCCATAGTTCGTCACTTCTATGGTATTTCATGACTCCAAACCCTCTCCACAAGAATCATGATAATCATGTTAAAATGTAATATAATCATCCTACCGTAACTTCTACTTAGGAAGTTTTTCACGAAAAAGATTTGAACATCATTTTGAAAACATCTTAATATCAGCTATAAAAATGTAATACTTATTTAAAAATTGGTAGTTCTGTTTCAAAAATTCAAAGGGATCTTTAAATGACTTTTACAAAGCGATTCAAAAATTAAAATAAATATCATTCGATTACTTTAAACGCTACAATTTTTGTTTGAAATAGTGTTCAATGTTCCAAATGTTTCATTTCTGAAATATTTGGTTGTCCCAGGAATATCTTTTATATACACCTTATATATACATCTCGTATCATATAAGCAGTGTATTTATAGTTAACAGTTTATTTCTGTATGTGTAAGTATATATAGATTTATATTACATGTAAAATTACGGACTGTAATATGTACATAAATCAATTAAGAGTACTTGTCATAAGTAATTGCACTAAGTTCGTAGTCAGAGCGTGCTCGTTAACAATTATAAAATTATAAAATTTAGCCCTTATTTATGCGTGTTGCCTGAATAAAGATTACATATGAATAAAGATAATGATTGTGGATAACATTACATTCAAAAGAGGCAAATACAAAAAAAGAACAAATTATCGCCTTAACAAATATATCCTTTTGCTATATATCTAATTCCATCATGATTAATGTATACGTTAAAGCAACTTCATGTGTGACAATCTTCTTCACACACACACTCACACACTCATTCCTGTTATTTATCAAATAGCAAATCATAACGCAAACATTACATATGTAATAAAAAATACACACTAAATAATTAACTAAATTATATAAAGATCGTTTGATTATATTAAAAAAAAATGAAATAATCTCTACATGAATTAGATTTTCCAGTAAATTAATGAACATATATATATATACGCATTGTTAACAATATATAATTCTAATTTATATATAAATGGCCGATGATCTTTATGCAATGTGTTTATAAATACACATTTCTTGCTAAAATCTTGTTTTATATGTTACAATCACGGTGTACAACCTAGTATACTTTTTCACTTATAAATATGTAACAAAAATAGATAATCACATATATATGTATATATATGTGTGCGTGTATATATATATAAGATATTTCTAAAAAATTATGAGGAAATATATTTTGCTACATCAATTTATTAAGTTTTTATCTTTATAGCCCAAAATTCTTTATCTTGACGCATGAGCAGGCTTTAATCGATGTGTTTTTACTTAAATGTTCGATTGATCGAGTGATATATTATATTGTCAACTGTATTGTACTATGGTCTTGTTAAATTTTAAGAATTTTACAACAAAGAATAATTATCTCGGGATGAACAATTTAGCTGTGAACATATAACGTAATTAGTTTTACCATAAATTTGAAATCAACAATACTATACTGATTAAGAAAGAGAAAATTGTAAAAAGTATAACTACAACAATATATATAATTTTGCATTCCAAATTTATATAATAACATATTTTACGCGAAATGTAGATATACATATATGTGAAAATTTTTGTGTATTGTGTACACCATTTAAAATTGTCAGATGAGAAAATTCTTAAAAAATTTAACAAGATAATAGTGCAGCAGAATTGACAGTAATATATTGCTTGACCAATTAAACATATATGTATAAATGTATGGACAGAATCTTGAATTCGATGCAAAATTATGCCGATTTATATTCTTCAAACATTAGATAATTTTTTTGCGAATAATACACACATATTCGCGATGTCTGTGCATATGTAGTTATTTCATCTTAAACTGCAAGAAGGTACAGTTAAAAACAGATTTATGCGCCGTGTATTCGCGTTAACATTGCGATTTGACAAGCCATTTCTAATTTACAATTCTTCATTACGTGTTTACACAAACTTAATGTCATTTTATAGATTAAATATAGCCATTACATATATCAATGCATGAAATATTTAAATGGCATGGTTTCTTAATAACAATAATAATGTACGAGTAAGCTCGTTTTTTTAATTGGGAAGTTTTGCGAATATGCGCTCGCGAAACCTCGCATCATTTCGCAAGAACAAACAAGATAATTTTATTCTTCTCCTCATCTCGTAGTCGTAACAACAAAATCTAGCCGGATATTAGAAATTGTTTGAACTTGCAAAATAATGATTTAAGCTACGCTTTAAGTGTGGTTTACACGATGCTTTTTTATCAGCATGCTAGTGCGCTAGCAACTAATAAAGTAAAAATATTTTAACTTGACTAGCATGCTAGTTAGAAAAAGAAAAAACATGCTAGTTTACTAGCATTTTTAAATAAACAATGCTTTTTTTATTAGTTACTAAACGCAGTAGCAGTAAAAAAAACATCATGTAAATCACGATGATTAAAAAGGATTCAGGCCTTTTTATAAATTTAGAATATTACAATTTTTATAGCAAATTTCTTATGGACGTAACTGTGATTAAACTATATATCTCTGCATTAAACTATATATCTTATTACATCTACATATGTATATATATATATATATATAATCTATCATTTATTTTTCCTTTGTTAAAAATTGTCATCGATAAAAACTGCAATATCACTGCTTACAAAATCTCATTTGTAACAATGATAGACAAATCCGACTATTCTTCGGTAGAGCTTTTCTTAATGAATCTTTTTTTACATCGGCAAAAGATCTTAGCAAGTTGCTGTTATAAAAGGATACTACTTCGCATGTGAAAAGAAATTTCGTATCCATTAATTAAAAGTTTTTTTTTCATTTATCGATGCGAAATATATGGAGAGAAAAAACAGAAAAAATAAAAAATCCCAAAAACAAAAAAAAGATTAATTGACAAATTCGTTTCTGCAGTTATATTATATTTAAATTCTATAAATCTCAAAATTTATGAAATGCTAAAAAATTGCAGATTGTAAAAGAGAGGTCTGCGAGCAAAACGAACTCGTATAACTGACTAGCTTAAAGATGTGTGTGACACACATATGTATATGTATATATACTCTTGCAGTAAACTCTCGGTAATGTGAGAGTCAGTTACCATTTCCGTATTATTCACACAATTAACTTATATACCCGAGTATACGCAAGTTATATAGGTACTCTGTTTGATGTCTTGCACACAATTAAGCGCGTGATTCGGGACAATTGCAATGCATGGGCGTCTTTACGTAACTTTTTTTCAGAGACCAACTATTTTTTCTTTGTTTTCTGAGAACGGTGGTATTAAAGCACTTTAGAAATAGAACGTAGAGAATTAAGAATACTTATTCCCTGCATTTTATCTCATTCTACAGATAAGAAAAAACGTTTTATAAAATATATACAGTATTAAAAAAGTCATAGTGCATCATGATATGAATGTTTTGGTATATTTTGTGCTTTACGGAAGTTTAAAATAATTTATAGACTATTTTGCAGCCTACTTTACGACGCCCATGGAGTGCAACACTAATGTGCGCTTTTTTTGCCTCTCGTTTTACTTCGTTATCCCTGATCCCTTTACTTTTATACTGTACATAATGCTGTAGTATAATGATATGATATAAAAATGTCTTATCCTATTGTGTACAATTTTACTTGTGATTGATATTTATAATAATGAGAAGGCAACAATAGATAAATCATATATGTACGAGCGAAGGAATTTGTATCAGTTCTCGCACACACTCGACACTTATAGAAGAAAAAAAGTTTCGAAGTTTTACGGTGTGTGCGTCTGAATTAAAAAATAGATAATTTATATAAAAATTAATGTTGTTACTCTTGTCAGTTATAATTGCATGCAGTAATTTCAAGCGTATCACTTTTGCTTCTTTTTGAGCAATCATAATTCTGTCATGTAAAATGAATGAAAAATGTCTGCAAGTGCATTGTAGATGTTTTGATAAAGAGCATCGAGAGATCCGTTCAGAAGAATATTTATATATAACATATATTCGTGTTTGCTTTTCATAATGGCCGATAATGGACGCAATATAGTTTGAGAATCGATCATTAATAGAAACAACATTAATTCTTAATTAATCGCATGCAATGCGAAAAATTTTTGCTGGCTTAAATAAAGTTCTAAATTTGTATGTGCAAATAGAGAAGCACTAGCTTGGAAGAGGAAGAATAAGAAATTCAATTCTTAGGAACAAGATTCCAATATGTACGGAAAAATACTCTTTTAAATTTTATCTTAATATTATTTTTAAAATATTCTACGGATCATATATTTCTTGCATTTTTTGTATATATATATATATATATATGTGTGTACATAAAATTCTGTCTTAGGATAATAACTATTTAAAACAGAATTTTAAATGTAAGTTTTTTATTGGAATCTTTTTAACGAAAAATGAATTTCCTATTTGATCCAAAACCAGCACGTTCTTTCATTCTTATCTTGTTTTCCTTAATCTCGATCTCGACGCAAGTATGGAACACACCGTTTCAAGACAATGATATTATGAGTCTACGAAGAATTGAATTTTCCCCAAATACGAATTCTTGTAGATCGCGTTAAAGGGATTTCGCTTCTCGTTACGTATATAGTATCTGCATAGTCGAACGAAATAAATAATAGTAAGATGAGATTTAATAAGATAAGATAATCGCAGATCGTATCAATCATATGTATGCAAAATCTTATCTTATTAAATCTTATTTTACCGCATTATCTTATTAAATCTTATTTTATCGTATTATCTTATTAAGTCTTATTTTACATTATCTTATTGAATCTTATCTTACCATTATTTACTTCATTCGTCTACGCAGTTGGTAATAATTGTTCTCAAGGAGAAAGAAAGAAAAACGAGTATGCGCCTTTCTCTCTCTCTCTTCATTTCACTGCATCGTATTTGGTACAACTGTCACTTTGCTATACTGCTCATCCGACTGGTTGCTTGCTGTCTTTTGCAGCATCGCAGAATTGGGGTTCTCGACAATGGTAACATAGCCGGTACCGCTCTGCTTTATGACGATTGGATGTGTCCTGTTCGGATTCAGCCTCGTACTCGGCTTCTTTTCATCCATCCCCTTCGTCGTCGCGTTCCAAGATATAGCAGACAAATCCTCTTTGAAATCTTCCATCTCTTTGATATCCTCCATTATGTTCATAGATGGAAGCTCCATTTTCTCTTGCTGCTGTTGTTGCTGTGCAGGTTTCGAAAAACTTTCACTTGAATTGTGGGACGTCTTCTGCACTTTGAACGCTTCTTTATTTTTCTTCATAGGACGAGTCAGCAATCTCGATGTATCAGAGAGTGCCGATCTTCGATCGCTGACATGCGGCTTCGTCAAGGTAGCATCGATCGGGATGGTATCGGTTAATGAAGACGAAATTGTGTCGGTTAACGAAGTCGAGGTGTCGGTTAACGAGGTTGAAAGATTCGGTAATGTGTTCATGCTTGTGTGAGTAAACGACGTCGGACTTGTCGCGAAACACTGCTTGGACGTCGTCATCGTCTTGTCGGAAGCAGTAATATTTGCCATCAATGCATCCTCGTCGAACTTGTCCGGATCGACGAGAATCCCTAGCTCGTCCAATTTGAAAGTGTCGATAGTTGATGAATTTTCCTTCTGTTTCTCTTTCAGAGTCTCTCTCTCTTTATTATTCTTCTCCATAGATTTCTTCATGATAAAAGGCACATACGAATTATTCGCGAGATTCACTCCCGTTTTAACCGATATCAAGGTATCGTGTACGGTTTCTGCACTGTCTATACCGTCGTCACCGTCTTCTTCAACTTGTATGGGTTTACGAGCGAGACCCATGACGCTGTAACAACCACCGACGTTGACAGCAGTATTTCCTCGAGATGTGGGGCTCGGATTGCCCGACAAATCTTCGGAAGATAACATGCTGATGTAACCGGTGCTGGGCCACGTCTGCGGCGACGCTGTGTAGCCCGTACTGTCTGTCAGATTTGGAGTGGATCGCGCTAGAGATAGAATCTCATTTAGATGCGGATCGGCGGTTTTAACCGGAACGTATGATTCCCGGCAGTGAGACATAGTCTCCGGTCCTCGTAAAACACTTCTTTGTCGTAGACTGGCGGCAGAGTTTAACTCCCAGTTTGACAAGTTCTCGAGCAGTTTGTCGGGTGACACAGGAACTGGATCCACCTCGGTACCACTGTCGCTAGAAATTTGGAATTCTGTTGTGGTGAGAGACGAAGTGACAGATTCTTGGGCGCTCGAACAGCCGCTCGAATCGGCAGACGGTTGTCGTATATGTGACTCGTCGCCTTTGTGAAGTAGTTTCTAGATATGAACAAAAATAAATTGAATTTATTCAAATTCATTTATTCATTTAGAAAATAGTATATCGAATATGGAGAATTTTGTGGTAAAATCAATCGTCATGAAACTTGACAGATTAATAAGATTTCTTCATATTTTACTTCATACTATATCTGTGTGTCAAGTTTCATTGGTCTTGTACCACAATATTTTCTCAATTTGGTATACTTTTTTGACAAGTTTTGCATTCGGTCAAAATTCGTCTGTTTCAAGATAAAAGGGTCTTTTACCGTGTTTGAAGTGAGGCCAGGTGGTAATTTTACTCCGATATTTTGCATATCTCGATATTTTAACATCGCCCTTTAAAAAAGAAAGATACAAAATATTAAATTATAAAATTAAAATGATTATAAGTAGATATAAACATTTTAATAAATTTAATAAATATATATCAACTGCGTTGAGTGTGATGCTTCTTACTTTGGCCAAACCAAACAACATTTAAAGACACGTATAAAGAAACATTGCAATGACAAAATTATATATGAGCAACCATAATATTATCATTAAACATCGACTAGAATTTAATCATGACTTCCGGTGGTCGAATTCCGTGGTTACATTGTGAGATGCATACTAGGAAAAGAGAAATAGCCGAGATGTTTTACATAAAAAAATATGACAACACAATAAATTTACACCAAAAACCTCAATCCTATTTATGACAAAATAATTAAATCTACTTAATAACAAACACAATCTTGTCTAACAACCGCTCGATATAACAGACATGAGTTGGCGCTTTCCAAAGTCGGTTTACCGAATTTTTATAATGCGACTAAATAACAACTGTTAACATATTATTTTATACATAGAAATCATAGGTAACATTAATATTAATTGAATAATTTATAACATTAAACAAAAATAATTTTGTATTTCAATTAGAGCACTTGATAAGGATCAGAACCGATGGTCAAAACGTTGTGAAACTTGTAATAAAACTGATAGTCAGTTTGGTCGAAGAAATAATTTAAAAAATTATTAATTTTACACTGACAACTTACTTCTACTTCATAAATATAATATCATGTGTTCTAAAAAATAACAATTTTTTTACCTCTTTCCACCATATCCACAGCACGAAAGGAGCGCTACAGCGATGACAACTCCAATCACCCACATAATAACTACTACTGTTTGTGATAATCCTGTTGCGTGGAAAATATATTTACTAATAACGATAATCTTACAAAATAGTATTCACACCAAAATATTACATTTATCAAATTAAGGTGAAAAAATCATGATAATAAAAAAAATCAATATCTTGCTCAAAAAGATGTACAATTAAACAATCTAGGTAACGAGTTATATCAAGTAAAAAAAAATTCAATTCAGTTTCCAATTCAGTTAAACGTCGCGCGATCGCAATTTATATAAAATGGATATATTATCTTTTGTTAAAAAGTTGTTTAATTTTATAAACATAATTCTTGCTCGTTAAATAAATGTTGTTTTTATCTTATTCGCATGTTGCTAAAGTGTTGCATCATACATCTGAATTATTGCAAGTACCACGAATGTGATCAATTTTATTAAAAGCAAACACAAATATAGATTCAAAGAAATATAGAAACAAAAATAGATATATTCATATATAACAATATAGATAGTCATAGTAATAGTGTCTTCTTATCAGGATTGGCATTTTGTCCACTTTTTTATTTTATCCAGGGTACTGGAAGAAAGTGGACAAAATGGACAAAATGACAAAATAGACGAAATATGAAATGATACAGAAATCGATAAAATGAGAGATAAAGAGTTTTGTTGTGATTAACAACCAAAGTTTGTCAAAAACCAAAGTTCATTTAATAAAGTTTATTTTCTGAACTTGTGTTTAAAAATTTTTTTTCAGTTTTGTCCATTTTGTCTAGCACATATATTTCTTCCGGAGACAAACTGGAAAAAACCGGGGGTTTTTTTCACCCTGAATAGTGGATGCCAACCCTGCTTCTTATTCACCTTCTTATGAAATAAAATACTAACCATCACCGTAACAATATCCTTCCCCGTAGTCGGACCAGGATCCTGTTAAACGTTCTCTGTTAGGATTGATGTTAACGGCTCTGACTCGAAATTTGTACTGTTGTTCTCGATCAACAGTATTGCAATCAGGAATGGACAGTTGCGCTTCTGCAATACGAGGATAGCAACATAAGTAAATCTGTCGTATTCTTTCCTCCATATTTTCTCATTCTTCTCTTTTCACAGATTTCTTATTACTCTTCACACATTTGTTACTTATGTAAGAAGTAATGGAGAAAGAAAATAAAAAGAAGAATAAGGGAGAGCTAATAAATAGTGTTTGATAAAAATATTTTTGTTTTAACGTAATTTAGTTTAGCTATAAATTAATTCTCTTAATTTTATTTATTGATATAAATTTAAAATCTCACCCATTTTAGTGACATTCTGAATTTCACCATAGCTATCATCTATCTCGTAATACATTAGCTTTATCGGACCGGCAGGATATTGTGGCGGATCCCATGTGACGATCACTTGGCTGGAGTTTATGAAGCGCACTTTGGGCATGCCAATCTTACCAGGAATACCAATTTTCGTACGTTGCTTTGTTATCGGTGATTTCTTACTGCACGCCACAGTACAGGCGGCGACACTAATATTATACTCTGTATATGCCAACAAGCCCGTCAATCTGATATGATTCGCTTCCTCCACTTTTTTCATGAGCTCATTATAGTAGACCTCGTAGTATCTGAGCACGCCATTCATCGCCCCCGGCGACTTCCATGTGATAAACATCGTCGTGTTGGTGACATTGGTGACTTTTACGTCCAAAGGCGAAGTGCTCGGTGCCCCTTCAAGGGTGGTGTTATATAAAGGATCGCTAGGTTGACTTTCGCCATTTTTCGTCACCGTCGCGACTTCTAACATATACGTAGTGTAGGGTGTCAAGTTCCTAACAATGCCACCAATCTTGGGCGGATAAGATTTGATGACGATGCTCTCTTTGGGTTCTTTGCACTTGTCCCTATCTAACGGTGACACGATGGGACAGTAATAAATCTTGAATCCTTCAACAATCCCGATGCGATCCGAACAATCGAGCTTCCATCCGACTTCGATGAAATCCGATCCAATACGATTGATCCACACAGATTTCATTTTGCTGAGCACCTTTGTATGAATCACCGTACAAGAGGACCATATCATGCCGCTGCTGCCCTTATTCGAGTTCGCGGAAATCGCAAATTGATACACCTTGTTCGGATCCGGTACGGTCATGTTGTAGACGGTAGTAGTCTTGGATACGTGTATCCAATTCAAAAAACCCTAGAAATATAAAATATAATTGTTTTAATTTGCACGCAAAGTTATTTTGTGCAAATAATAGAAGAAACAGCTACATACTGTGCACTGATAAGGACGATCGCGCTCGTTATCGCACCAAAAGATGGTATAATTCGTGATTGGATTCGTGGTATCTTTATATGTGATCGGCGGCTTCCAGGATAATTCGTACAATCCTCTATCAAAAGCCATTTTCGTGAACGCTATCGGTTCATGTGGCACTGCAAGAGAAATATTTCATGTTAAGCTGCTCAAAATATATTTACATATATAAAAGTTATTTTTTCTTATTCTTTTTTATCTTTCAACTTTACTCACTCTCGTTTCGACTCGGTACAGATATTTCTGTATAATTCTTATTAAAGCCGACTTTATTCGTCGAAATGATCCTAAACCGATAATTGTTGAAGCTGAGTCCCTTAAACTTGGCGTACGTCCTGGTCATCTCAATGGGTTCGATAATTATCTTATGACCATTCTCCTCTACATAATTGATCTGATACTTAAAATTATCACCATTCTCAGAGGTTTGCGGTATTGTTTGCCAATACAAATATACGTCTCTGCGCCCATTGTTCTCGATAATTTCGAAACTACCAATGTCGGTTCGCGGTGGAAAACTAGGTACTGAAAAGTTGAATAAATATATTAATTATAAAAATATATATTTATATTATAGATATATAATATATATTATTGTATAATCGTTATTTATTCGTATAGTTATAACTTATTTATTATAATTTATTATATATATTAATAAAATGAGAATAATAGATTACTATTTTATAAATCCACTTACACGTTGATAATGTTCTGAACGTAATAACACTGAAATCACTGTACATGTTTTCTCCTACAGCCTTAGCGCTTTTTAAGAAAACGCGAACATCGTATACGGTATTAGCATATTCCAATCCAGTAAGATTGAATTGTGGCTTGTGCGAATGCTTTTGAGACTCCGCATCAATAATAATAACCTGTGGATAAGATACAGCTCGTTTAATCGAGATTACCATTATTTCATAAATTACATTTAATTACTAAGAATTATTCTAAAATATAGAATATAAAATAGAAAATACCATTAATAGTGTAGAATATAAATTGATCTTACCTTCCAATCTTTAATTTTATCCCAATGATTCTGATACATAATTTTATAAGTTAGACCTGGTGGAAAACTCTGCAATGGAAAGGGAAGACTCCACTGCAACAGTGCGCTATTTGACGTTTTATTAAGCACCAATAGATTCACAGCTTTTTCAGGAATCACTGAAAATAACGACATAGTTTTACTTTTAAATATAGAAAAATGTATAGTATACTTAAAGATTTCATGTACTCTCATTACACATAATATTACATATTGACATTACTCTATTATACATTTTCGTATAAAGAAATTAGTACAATGGCTAATAAAAGATTTATATACCTTGAGCAAAATGATCAACCTTATATGTGACGTTTAGGCTGCCAAACTTATTATGAATGTGCATCATGAACGTATAGTTTTCATACGCTTGCCTGTACATTGGACTGGAGTATTGAGTCCAACAGCAATAAGTCTTATTCGAACAGTCTTTAGGACAAGGATAGACTCTTCGTACTCCTCTCCTACCTCCGTTCAATTTGAATGCTAATTCATATTCTGTGTGGACATAGTTTTGTGGCGGATCCCATGTGCAATTAATGTTCTCCCAATTACGAGATATACAAGTAAAGTTGTTTGGTGCTTTCGGTTCAACTGCCAAACAAATCAAATAAGATACATCACATAAAAAAACAAAGAAAAAAATGTATAAATAAAAATATATATTTAATTAGATATAATTAATTCTTAAATATATCCTTTAACCTTTGCTAAATATACGTTTTTCAATATATTTAATAGACCTAATAGATCTTGTTGCAAATTGTCTTTTTTTATTCGAATTTGCATTCATAAAAATTGCTACAATTTTTTTGAGTATCAGTGTTGCTAGCTTATTTCTTTCCATATAAATTTTCTATCTCTATTCGTTTACAAATGACATATTTTATATATAATAAATACAATTTAATGAAATATATTTAAAACGTATCACATTAAAAATATTATCATTTTTTAATGAATATATAAAATAATTTATCATATATTTATCTTAAATATTGCTTTTTGAAATGAGTAGAAATAATAGAATGCATATGTTCTAGTATAAAAAATTTTAAATAAAAAGTTATTTTTAAAGAGCGCATAATAATATATGTACAATGTCTCCTTTTTAGATATCTTTATTGACGATAGCAAAATGATTTCTAAGACATATATATATGTCAACCAATTTACTCATAATTTTAATGAAAAGAGAATCAATGCATTGCTGTCTTCACAAAACTTCGTCGAGTATCGTATTCTGATAAGGATGGTTATATGTACTTCTACTGTAGCAAGGGAAAAAATTATATTCCAAATACGTATAATTATTGTAAATAGTACTATTTCTATACTTTCCTTCATGAGAAAATTTCCCAGATTACGTATATCATAAAATATATTTTCTTTTATAGAAATGGAATAAATAAGATGACTGTCAGATAATAATTGATAGTATAACTTTAGTACACATATAAAAAGAAATTCTTTTTTAGAAATAGCTCAAAAATATAAATTCGAAAAGTGAAAAAGTCAAAAATGCTATGACCAATGGATATAAAATGCGTATGTATAGTCTCAAAAAGATATTGAAAGCGATGGCCTCTGTTTGATTTTCAAAATAAAACTTTTTAATGAATTATTTTCGAAACTTTGTCATACTTTATATATAAAAAAAATAATTCACAATACAACAATTTATATAAATACGATTACTTACATCCAATTACGACTTGATTGAGACAAACACCTTCCTTAGATTGATTTTCACCTTCTTTGGTTAAATTCAAGAAACAATAATACAAATCATCACTGGGTGGTGGTAGCTCCTGGTACAACATTATTGTTGTTCTATTAATTATAGTAATAAATTCAGGCTCCATTATTTTACTGTTGCGATAGAACATGAGGTCCGAAGAGTTTTTGCCCGGATAATGTTTCTCTACGTACGCTTCGTTTAACACACAAAAAATTTGCAGAGGGTTACCATATTTGATAATAATATCACCTTGCGGCTCCGTCCCTACAACAAACAGTAAAGTAAAATTTATTAAAATAATCAAAAATATTTTTAATATACTAAACATTATAAACAGCAATATTTGTTTATAATGATTACTTACTTAATGCTAGATTAAAGCGACTATCTGAACTCTTTATAATTTATACCTATATAATTAAATCAAATAATATAGATAATATGCTTCTACATATGTGTATTATATTAAATGTTATAATATTATACATATATATTATAAAACACATTTTTTAAAATAAATACATGAAAAATAAATGACGTTCGTTAGATATTTCATCATTCATAATTTATTAATTACATTGCTAACGTTAAAAAAATACGCAATATGTAATTTGAAACTAGAATTTAAAAAAAAAGATAAGATAGATATATGTTTTATTTATAATTCTAGCATATTAAAACACGGAAGAAACTGACCGTAAACAGTTTTTATATATGTTATCTCTATTTTACAATACAACTCCGAATGTATTCGTACCGTTGAAATTTGTGTATTCAACATTTGTGCATAACATGGCAAAGGTAAAAGAAAATTATTTTTATAAAAATATAAATTGCTAATTTACTATTCGTGCGTTTAGCGTAATATCATGCTAAACATCTTTATATGCACAGAGATATACAGATAAAATATAAGAAATTGTTTATTATAAAAAAACAAAATTTTTTCCAAAACTTGCAGTTATCTGAATCGAGATATATAAGAAATTTACTACGTTATGCAATTTTTGATATTATATATATATCGTACTGTATGAAGCATTGATCATATTTTAATAAAACTTACATCCTGATGTTTCGATTCCAATTGCACATTCGTTGGCTGTTATTATAACGAAGAGATAAATCAAGACAATGAAGATCCATCTGGTTCTCCACGGATGATCTTGTCTTCGTGTAATTGATAACTGAAATATTTTATTAAAACAGAATTTCATTATCGAAGGTATACACAAGTGAAGGTCTCTTCTCGTGTTCCTCTTCCGCGTAGAATTTTGATTTCGATGATTCCTTACACAATTACAATTGCACGTGGGACGGTCATTATCTTCGTTCGACGAGCACTGATCGGTTGAATAGGCACTATGAGACGGCAAAGTGTTCTGTGGCAAACGAGCCGAGTTATTCGTCTCGTTTCCTAAAGTCCTCGCGACAGTTTCCTCGTTCTCAAAAAAAACAACACTTCTAGGCGCAACATAATTGTTGTGCGTCACAAAATTGCCGAATTTCGAAATCGGCATGTGGTCAGACACCTTCACTCCAAATCGGCACCCAACTCGTTCCGATGTAACATCTGGCTCGTGCAACTGATTCATTTTATCAGGCATTCTTGTCAAACATCGGACGTGCATCAAACGTACTTCAAGACATTTGGTAGTTTTATCACTGAAAAAAATAAAGAGATTAGATTAGAAGAAAATCTTAAAATCTCATGTATACATCAATTTCTGACCGCATGGTTAATTAACAATTAAAAAATTAGTAAGCCTCTTTATACAAATTGAAATTTCACTAGTAAAAGCCGGATAGTGCGTCAGCTTCAAGGAAAATTAATTTGTCATTTAGCGACTTCCCGATATATTTCTCTCGCCTACACAAAAAGGGAACCGCAAAGGGAAAAGTATAAAAATCTCGAAAATTATGATTTAATTGCATCAAGAAAACGGAGAAAAAGATTTGTCAAATTTAGCGTCGCAAAAAGTTTTCTCGAACGAAGAATGATAAAATTCTTTTATAAATCAGAGTATTAACGATAACAAAATTCTTTTAATTTTAATTAATTTTATATTCAAGTTGAAAAAAAACAAATTTCAAATTAATTTACATCGGGAACGAAATTAATGGAATGTGGGAAGGAAAGACAGTCGCGATGGATGATTCGTGTTCGAGCTAGGATACGAGACTGACTTGCCAGTCTAGAAAACATACGAGAGAGAAAATGTACGAAGAGGGAAGAATACATTTGCTTATTAGCGAATTTGTGAGATCGTGTCACATGAAGAAGCAACATTGTTGAGTTTCCGCTAAATCATTATTTTATGTTCTCCGCTATAGTAATAATGTAAATGCACAGCCTGATATGTTCATATGAGAAAAAAAAGATTAAGAGTTGATCATTAAAATAATTTCTCAAAGTCTTTTAAAGCCCTTTTTTCTTAGCAAAATTGGCAAGAAAAATCATCACTTTTTGCGAGTTTCCAATTTTTCATTCGCATGTATTTATCTGCATTAACTATAAGCTTCAAATTAAAATTCTATTAAAATAAAACTGCATCTAAAATTAATAGAATATAGTTTTATCAACCTTCAGATTTTAATAAAAAATAATTTGCCAAAATTTTGTTTTTAATCGCTTGTAACTAGAAAATTTATGCGACATTTTCGCTTGACAATAGGAAAAAAACCATCTCCAATTTATTAGCCAGAGAATACGTTATTAAAAGATAGATAACAACTGGTTTTGAGATATCCTGCATATAGCGTGCGAAAAGTAGCAGACTTTGTATACGCTTTATACTTTCAAAATCATTACAAAATAAGTTATTCATGATGATGATATATTGCATAAGACACTGCGATAGGAGACAAGATTTTCGCAAATATGCAAATGACTATTTACAGATACGTGTTATTAACGACGGAGGAATACAACAGGAAAATTTAGCATTTTATTTCTCCAACTCTAATTATTTTCCTCTTTCATAATGAAATAATGCGAAATAGTTTTCTATGTGTCTTGGCATAATAGCAAATTAATCTGTTTCCCACACAAAAGCTCCGTAGAAATATTACGCAACATTGTTAATGTCGCATAATCTAGCAAGTTTCTAAAATTCAGTGCGACCGAAAAATTTATTCCGCAGCAGAGAGTAATTCAAATTTCAATTTAAACAAGAAAATTACGTACGCCACTGTACGATTCTACGAAGATTAATTCTTTAATTATGTATGTGCGAAAGCTCTCGGATATTCGCTTTAAATAATTGCTCTTGCAAAATTGATAACTCGTATTAATGTTTTAATAGAGTGTTTGGCTTGTAAGAAAAGAAGAAATGTGTAAAGTGAAAATTCGAGAGAAAACGTTCGTTCAAATCATTGAAAACCAATATTTATTTCGCGTCTTCGTTATGCAGCTCTCTATCTATAATAATAATAATAGTTAATAATAAATATAATAATAATAATAATGTTCCGAATTGAAGTCGCGTTCAAAGTTCAATCATTATCTTAAGGGATATCGACACTGCAATGTACACAGTTGTTTCAATTAAAAGAGTCTCGAAATCGATAACAATAAAAAAAAGACAAGACAAATCTCTGATAAGTTATATTTTTAGCCTGCTAGAATGCGTGCTTCTTATTACGAGGTGAATTTCGCGCGATGATTTTTGCTCGCAAGGGAATCCAACGAAGCGATCACGTAACATACGTATATAGAGGCGAACGATCGATATCCTATCGTCACGAAAACAACAATCGAGTCTTATTCGCGGTGCTCGGAGGAGCGAAAATCAGAGAACGGTATCGCCGGTTTGCCGAGCTTTATCTCGCCGATAAATCGATCGTCCCCTCGCTCGAAGTGTTTCCTCGCGACCGGTTTTATCCGTTGTTCGCAGCTGTTGATCCGCGGTGGCATCGACAAATCGCAGAATAATAGGGAAACTGATAAGAAGAAGCTCCTTTTAATTGCATGACGTTACGTCGTATTATAATGTCGATCGATCACGACGAAAAGCTCGCTTCATATTCGTTTCTGTGATTTTTTTCACTGAAAGAGCATAAATTGAGCTTACAATTTAATAAAAAAAGAAATTCGGCACTATTGTTAGGAATTTTTTTTTAATTAATTGCTAATTAAGAAAAAAGAATATATTTTTTTCACTATTTAAAATAAGAAAATTGAAAACTTTTTTGTATATAATTTATACATTTTCTTTATATTATTTTAAAAGGAAGCAAGTAAAAAAATTACTCTTGTTAATTCTCAAATAAATCTTAGAAATTATTCTCTAATTATGCCAGAATATTAAAAAAAAATTGCTAATTAGAAGAAAAAGATATTTTCTTTCACTATTTAGAATAAGAAAATAGAAAATTTTTTGTATATAATTTATGCATTATATTCTTTATATTATTTTAAAAAAAGGCAACTAAAAAACTTACTCTTATTAATTCTCAAATAAATCTTAGAAATTATTCTCTAATTATGCCAGAAATTAAAAAAATGGCTAATTAGAAGAAAAAGATATTTTCTTTCACTATTTAAAATAAGAAAATTGAAAACTTTTGAATATAATATATAATGTATAGAAAATGTAAAGACAAGTAAAAAAATTACTCTTATTCATTTTCAAATCGATATCTAATAAGAAATTATTCTCTAATTATGTGATTAATTTAAAAAATGATACGATATATGCAATTATGCAACATTTTCGTATAAAAGTATCTGCTGTATACGAATGTAATACTATGTCGTTATAATAACAGCGTTGATAAGGAAATTCTAAAGAAGAGTCCGTGCGTACATTTATAATTAATTTTCATTATCGTCAAACTTATTGACACTTTGGTGATCGATGACGTTGCTTTACGGTTTTCTGCTCTCAAGTTGAACGGGCCGTTGACGTAACACGTATTTCACGAGGCTTAAAGCCGATAAGAACTTGCCGTTGTCGCGTGCGTTAACGCAATATATTTTTAGCATAGCTCCTATCTAAGACCTGTTTACAGCGAGACACCGTGTATACATAATATACGAATATATGTGTGTTACCGAAATATAACAGATTTGAAAACGGAAATGTATTCATTCCGGAAGTGTCCGAGGTTTCCCGGAAAAACGTGAGAAAGTCGCTCACAAGCATGTCAGCTATGTACAGAGTGTCCTCAAATTATTGGACGACCCTGTTAAAGGAGAGAGGCTCCTAAGGTTATTTGAGATTTCGAAGGTTTTATTTAAAGATGATTTTTCCACAACAAAAGTCTCGAGAAAGGTCATCATTTTTATATGTTTTCAATTTTTGCTACCATGTATCTCTGTAACTAAGCCTTAAATTAAAATTCTACTAAAGTAAACTCTACCTGAAAATTCAAAACTTATTAGTGCCTCGACATTTTTGTTGAGAAAAAATCATCTCCAAATAATCTTAGGAATCTCTCCATATTAACAAGATGTAATTTTGGGATAGGTATTCTATATATAATAATATATACATGTAAATTCATAAAATCGCCTGTCTCACAATTTTTATTATTTTGATCTTCTGAAATAATTTAGAACGTGAAATAATTTTTAGAATTTTGCAAATTTTCAAAAATGAGGTGCTAACAATAAGTGCAGTTTATAGGCAGGTCAGATGAGAAGAGAGAAGCCACGGAGTCGTCGTTGTCGTCGTTCGCAGCGGATTCCGCTTTCCGAGGAACGCGTCGGCGCCGCAGCTCCTCGTCGTCGTCGACGTCGTCGCGTATTTATATCTCCGCGCGCGCGGAATGACAGATCTCTTTGAAAAAACAACCAACATGGGAATTTCGCGGGAATACGCGATCTTCCGCGACGCGGCTGGGCAACGCTTTGACAATACGTGCACTGCAAAAGAAACTTGTCAACTTTACTGAACCTTTCAACAAATTTATTTTGTTCATTAAACATATTTAAAAAGAAAATTTTAATCAAATATAACATATAAAATCTAACAAAACGTACATCTGACTTAAATACTAATACATATTCAATTAACAAAATTTAGTAATTTAATTGAAAGGTTTTAGTGAAGTTAACAATTTTTTCAGTGTAGGAAAATACATTTTTCTAATTTTAAATTCTATAAGTCTTTATTATATAATTCTAGACACTTTGAATCATGTGTTCTCTCTGGTAAAAAAAATCCTGTGAATACTCGTGTACACCGAAGAGAGACGTATATATCGATGAAAATAATAATCGTACCGTTATCGCGATACTTGTTTGTTCGTATCTTTTTCTTTAATCGATTAATTATCAGAGAGACGACGATATTTACTCGTATGTATCTCCTTCAAACATTTACGCGACCAGCGTAACATCCGATTCGATATTTTACGACGTGCGAGATTTTAAGCTCAAAAAGAACATTATACATAATATATATCTGCGAGAGGATTGTTATGTCGCGTATAAGAACTTTGTTTTTTTTTCCTTCAATGCCCTTATAAAAGCACACCTGTATATCGATAATTCTCGTAACCGATCGGAAAATATCGATTCGCGAGGAATAATACGGAGAGAGCTACATACCATCTTTCAACGAGTCTCTACACTCTTTTCTCAAGGCAAGGCATTAATTATTGACGCTAGCAATTGCTGAAAACGCTGAATGATCATTTAGCGACATACTGCGCTTCTCTGAATACCAACGATTCGTTAGAAATCATCAAATCGTCCGGTTCAATGCGACGCTTGTTCTCAAATGATTTTTCGGATCCTAAGAAATTATTGTCATTATAATACGCAAATAACGGGTCTTCGATCCTATCTTTCTTTCAATGTACTGATAACAAGTAAATGATATAGTAAATGACGAGTCGAGTGGGATATAAAGAGAAGACGAGATATAGGATTCGAGAGAGCGCGGATTAAACGATATTTAATACTTAGAAAATTAGTGGCCGCGAACCTCCTTATCACGATAATATTATATAACGATAATGTGACATAACAAAATGATACAATTATATACCTATATATATTTCTCCACGCACATATATGTGCCCCGTGAAAAGACGAGCGCGTCTGTCAGTGGCTGAAAACGAAGTAATCTATCGTTCGTTGCCCCTCTTGTATCATGAACACAATTCTCGCTCTCTTAGCTTATATGTATAACTTAATAGCGTTAAACCGAGGTTAAACGTTAAACCACCGTCCGATTTCTGAGCCTGATGTGTTTACAATCTGCGTATATATACTGTCCGCATACCAAACAGGACGAAATAATCCTTATTTAAGCCAAGAATGTCACCTCACGATCAACATAAGAATTAGTCATCCAAATATTATTTCTCCGAGGAGAACAAAAATTATAAACATATATAGATGTTGGAGCAAACGCGCGAATAATGATTATAAGATAAATCTCTCTTCCGTATTGTTATTTATTATTTTTTGTTATAATGATTATAAGATAAATTTGAATAAGGAACATATATTGTTTTTCATTCTAAATAATACATTTTCGGACAATAAACAATGCTAAAACATTAACGTAAAAAAATAAAGTTATAAGCATTGCGTTACATTAAATGCAATTTTACAAACGTAATGTATATGACAAAGAAATTAAATTGTAAGAGCGAGGAAAATTTTACATTTTCTCCTTTTCCCGAGGTCTTGATATTTTCTTCTTTGAATCGAGGAGAAATAACAATTCTAGTTTTAACTCTTTTTACTTTATCTATACAATTTATGCAAAGACATTCTAAAGCTCCGTTACTTCATTCTGCATTCTAAAGAATATCACAATCAGCTGACGTTAAAGCACTAAAATGTATAATAAAAAAACGTATCAACCATCGTGAAAAATTCAAAACATTTCCTAACTTCTTTGCAACATCGAGAGGAATAAAAAACGAAAAAAAGAATAGCTATAAATTTTAACTCTATATTACAATATTTAATTTAAATATTTTTATATGTTCAATTAACAAAATATTTAGTTGAAGGGTTTAGTCAAGTTAACAAATTTTGTTTTCAGTGCATGGCTAAAATTTAGCTATAGTATACAGAGAGAATTTTCTCTTAGAATTTACCCTATACATAAAAATCAGAGTTTCTCTGATTAATATTTTTACCACAATGAAAAATATTATAATATCTACCCCGATAAGATATCAAATATCGATTAATTTTGCTATGTATATATATTAATATTTTTTTATTGTGATAAATATATTTAATCAGAGAAACTCATAAAATTCTTCCAATATTACCCCACGATTACCATGATTTTTCCGAATAAATTTTAAGAGAAAATTCTCTCAGTGTAACAAATTTTTTTCTCCGTGAATAACCGCGTGATTCCTCAGATTTTCTCCTTCCGGATCAAAACCCTAGTTTGAATCTATATAGTTTATTTGATCTATACGATTCGGGCAACGGAATTCTAAAACGGTAACTTTCTTCTACAAATTCTACATCGTGGAGAATATATATACATATATGTATCCCGCGGTTATATATTATGTTTTCGAGCACGAAAACGTTCGATGCATAAAACACACGTCCGTCACGAAAAGCTCGAAACGTTATCTACTCGAATCGCTCCTTTGCATACCGAGAGGAGAAACGAAAGGAGCGTCGCGCGGTTCCTCCGATGTACGAAACGCACCTCGACATTTTACGAGAGAGACGTCACATCTTGTTCTCGGCGAAGGTCGTCGTGCATCTTCCACCAGGATTTGCGAGGATTTCAAAGCGCGTCTTCGTCTTCTCTTTCGGATTCGCGACACGCGTGGATTCGACAAGTTCCACGGTAGCTCGTATACGAATAATCTTATCCGCCCTCGGAATGCTGTTAAACTGTTTACAGGCTGTTTTTTTAAACAGAAGCGAGGGATTTGAGGAATTTAAACGCGATCGCTTATGTTTGACATAGATAAGATTGAGAGAAAATCAAAATTACATTTTTTTTCTTTTTCTTCGCAAAAATTAGACTCCTACGAGGATACAGAATTATAATTTATATAGCTGGAAAATTACTGATTTACAATTTCTAGAGAATTATTAGCAGTGGTTCTTTTTTTTGTGGTCAGCGAAACACGCTCGAGTTCTGCTCTAAAAGTAAAATGACCTGTTTTTGACCTGTTTCGGGTCAAAAATGTCTTTATAATCTTGACCTGAAGCATTTTAGTCCTTTATAAAAAGGTTTTACAAAGCATGAAAAGTGTAGTATTTCTTGTTTGACCTGCGAGAGCCCTAATGTTTTGGTTAGCCTTAGAATTTAAGAAGAAAAGACCTTCAAATTCCTCGATTTTGAAATAGAAATCTGGGAAAAAGGAGGAAAAATCTTCGAATATCCGATACGTATATCTCAAATAATCTCACTCACTGTCAGATAAGTCGGAGGCATGTATATGATATAAATGACTTTTTTACTCTTTTAAAATAATACTAATATATTTAAGAGTATACATATAAATAAAAGAAAAGTATTTTTTAGAAAGAATAAAGTAATTTTAATGATAATTTTCTTTGTTATAATTATATTACTGCATTCACATATTTTTTATTTCACATTAATCTTTTGTGTTATACTTTCTATGAGAAAATAGGTTTTGTTTTAAAATAATATATTCAGAAAGTGTAATATATTTTATAATATGGTTTTTTCCCTCTTTTTTACTTATTCTTTTCAAGACATTTTTAATATCTGTTTTCTGTCTCTATTATATACTTTTTTAATAAAACTATTACATACTTTTTTAATAAAACATTCATGAATTCATATTTCTATAATATTTCATAAATTATTAAACTTTCTAATATATGCTTGTTATAAAATAAGATTATTAATCTTTTAAATAATATTATTTTTAGTCGCTTTCTGTTATGTTTTCTCCAATAAAACAAGTGTAATATTCAAGATGTGAACAAGAAATAAAAAATGATGAGAAAAAGTATTGCAAATAGTGCAGTTGAAGCAAACAGATTCTATTATTTTGAAAGTACCATTTCGATTTATATAGAAATTTACATCTCTTATCGAAATTTATTACGAAATGAAAGATTTTTTAACAAATACTTTGACGTCATTTATGCACATGCGTCTTTGTTACTTTAAATTTACAAAAATTCAAATGGAAAATGTTCTAATGAAAGCCAAATGCAAATTTAGGACTGCTTTGTATATCGCTGAGGTCATAATGTACGTTTTTCACTCTTTGTTCTTCGTCTTTGATCGTTTTACCAACTTATTGAAAACATAAGTCGAGAATGAAGATCAAAACGCATATAAGTTTTCTTTATAATTTGTTTACTATCGACCCTTTAAAGATGACCCAGATAAAGGACCGAAACAAGTCAAATGAAGATTTTAAGATAAGTTTGTTCTTATAATTCAATTTCTACTTGAATTTTTGCATTTATCAGATATCTTTTCGTTTTGCTTATAAATTAAAAAATGTAAACAAAAAAATAAAATTGTTACCTCGGTATAAAAATACTGCACCCAAATATCATCTTACAAAAAATGCATTAATATACACAAACTTAAAAACACGTGCGTGAGTAATAATTATACGGTGACATCATATTGCATAATATACAATTCTATAATTATGCACACAAAAAAAGTAGAGAATTCGAGCGGCTCGGATATTTTCTTTTTTTCAGAATCTTCTTTTTGGACTCACGGCCAAAAATCGATGTGGCAACCCAAGAAACAACTATGTGCATAATTTGCTGCCGTAGGTTTTCTCAGCGAGGCTCTTTACGAGCGGCAAACATGCCGCTCGAAAAGCGTCTCGGTTTTCGATTTACAAACGAGCGAGAGAGAGAAAGAGAGAAGAGGAAAAAGAGAATATCCGCCCCAAGTAAAAGACACGAACTCACCCGTAAGCGGACACGTACGCATAATGGGGGATTCAGACTGCGTTCGTCTCAAGGGATTTGGATACATGGAAAGAACTTATGACTTCCACATAACTCGATTATAACTGAAATATATTGCTACTCCAACAAATATATATATATATATATTTTGATATCATCAACACATTTTTATAACAGAAAAAAAAAACAATGATCCTAATACATGACGTACACCCACATCCGCAGGATTTTTTCCAAAAGGGGCACAATTTTTTATTTTTTTCTCTCTTAATTTATTTATTATTTTGTTATTTTCATTTTTTTTTAATGCTAAATATGCAAATAAATTCCGGTGTTTATTCAAAGTGAGAGAAAATGTTTGATTTTAATTTATTCAAAAATGTAATCTTTTTACTGATTCCAAGGGGGAGGCGAATGCTCTCTTGTCCCTCCTCCTGCGAACGCCCATGCATATGCAAATACAAAAATACAAACACACGCCGCGGCGAGGCTAAACAATCCACGCGCGCGTGCATTAAATATAGAACGTAAAATCTCGAAAAGAAAAAAACGGAGAAAATTATATTCTTGATAATTGCTCCGGAAAATCCGCGAGCGATACAGATTTTGCGTAGCCGAAAGAAGATTGCCACACGTAAACATCATTCGTATTAGTGCGCGTATATAAACGTCCGAGAAAAAAAAAGGAGAGAAGCTGGTTACTTACGCTCGATGCGGCTCTGTCTAGGAATCCCGTCCGATATGTCATCGCCGCAGCAGCCAAGACACAACTGTGGGAAACCGTAGGCAATTCGCTTACCCGGACTCGTCTCGGGTGTCGGGGATATCCTAGGTAACTGTGCGCGCGCGCCAACGCACACAAACACAAACATAAACCCGAACCCACACGCGAGAGAAGAAGAACAGAGACGGAGGGAAGGTCGGCGGCTCAAAGGAGCGAGCGAAAGAGAGAGAGAAAAAGAACAGAGACAGAGATGCGGACGGCACGCAACGGGTTGAGGTCTGGCCAATGATTGGCGCCGTTCGCACTTTTCACGGTATCCCGCACGCACACTCGATCCGGATATCGGGAATGCGACGAGCACACAAGAGCACCGCGATCCCGAGGACGATGTTGTTTTGACCCGCGGGGTCCCTCATATCCCGGAGGAAGGGGAGAGAATGCCGATTCGCGGGAACGAAAATGTTCTGTTTACGTTTTCGAGCTCGCTCCCTTTTACGATCGTGCGCGCGACACGCGCATATTCTGGGTAAAGCGCGTACGTGTGTCCGTGCGCGAGATCAATCGCGCCAGTGTTGTAAACCTGACGGGAAAACGACGACGATGCAGAAGGAGGAAGATGGCGCCGGAGTAAGGAGGGGGATGCCGAGAGCGTCGAGGGATCACATTTCGCGGGACGTCCGTGTCCGGATGAGATCCTAGATTCGTCCCGACGCCTCCATCCTTACGTCGCCGGGTCCCTCGTCGCCGTCCTGTCACTTTACGATGTTTCCTTCGTTCTCGACGAAACGCGCAAACGAACGGTCTTCGCGGCTCTCTCCGCAGAGTACGTGCAGTTGCGAGTGCGCCGATCAAGCGACTGACGTCACGTTGATACGTCCAGATACGTCAGGCGCTGCATTCTTGGAAACGGAACCGCGACGAGCTTCCGCCGACCGCCGACAGATGGCGCTTGAGCGGCGCCATTTTCAAACGCGATCTTTCCTTCCTAACGAAAGCTTCAGTTTCAGACATAAGATATATATATATATATCACATTTATCAATATATATTACTCATCTATCTTTATTTTTCTCGAATTATTTTTAGTCTCTAAAAATTGTCTTTAATTAATGAAAACAAAAGAAAATGTAATAAATATAAAATAAAATATAACTGAATATATAAAATATATATATATGATATTACTATAAATAATTATATAATTAATTTAGAAGTATTATTAATGCAATAAATTAATTACTATTAATATTATATAATCGAAAATAAAAAATTTTAATATTTTATCAATTGTATACTTAATAAAAATTGTACTTTGATAACGCATACCTGATAAAACGGAAGTTCTAAACAACGTGTCAATTGGAACAGTTCTCAATCTCGGCGCACATGATAAAATTACGTGACTAATTAGTATCTGAAGGAAACGTTTTACAACTCACATTTACGAGGAATTGACAATGATCGGTGACAATGCACATGTACATTTCACGAAAAATGAGTTTCAATAATTGATACAATATGCTAACTTATTAAAAAGCTTATTATAAATTAATCTCGGTTGCGATTAACGAGAAAGATCGGACGCGCAAAGTTTTCAAAGAATTGCTAAGATCCTGAATAAGTGTATCGATAACAACTGATAACTTTATTGCTTGATATACGTTTCCGGAAAGTACATGTTGCATTGGAATGCGGAAATACTTAATAAGGTTGTAAGTTCACTAGATTGACATCATTACAATTTTTCTTTGGAAAATGGAAAGACCGTTGTCTGTTTTGCAATGACGTTATATTTTCAAGAAAAAGTATCGATAAGCGTCTCATTAAAGCACATGTATATGTCATTCTTTTTATAAAATAATCGAATTTGTTCTCACAGCGTAAAAACAAAGAAAAACGCTGATTTTCAATTTGTCGAATTAATAAATACAAAATATGCGAAATTTTCGAATGTATATAATCTCGATCTCTCGATTTTAGCCTCGATAAAACGAGCACTAAAATTTAAAATTCTTGATTTTCGTTAAAGATTTATTAATGATAAAATTAGTGAAACATTTTGTCTATAAAATAAGTGTAATACCTGGCAAAAGAATATTTTATAATTTTGCAAGTTGTATAATTTTTAGAATTATGTGCTGTATATCTTATTGCATATTGTAAATTACACACAATATTAAATATTTAAAAATTCTTAAATTAATTCTGAGATAGATAAAATCGCGTACGTGTATGAAAATACAAATATATTTTCTCGATCACATTTTCTTGAAATTTTTTGAAGTAGCATTTATTATCTCAGTATATTTCAACAACAATATATAATTGATAGTATATCATATTCTTAGCAACAATGTCAGTTTTTACTTCGGATTACTCAACGACGATTATTAAAGATGTAACGGACATATACAAAGAGAATTCGGTTTACATCTGTGAATTATACAATAAATATATGAAGCTCGTACAAAAAGAATTGTTCGATTCGGCTAACTTGTTATATCAATCGAACAATATATATATAAAATACTTTTTATATGTGCGATTTAAATTTAATGATAGGTGTTATCTTTACTACTCGAGACGTATAATAAATATTATATAATATGGAAACGCAAAAACATTCCACTTTTTTTTTTTACAATTAATCCTTAATTGAATTAATCGGTGTCCCATGTATACGTTTGCGAGAAATAGCCTAATTCATGATATATCGCGTTAGAAAATGCAAAAAATACAATGCAGTTTTGGCAAGAATTAAGATAACGAGTAGTAAAGAAGACTCAGATTTTTCGGCAAATATAAATGAGCCGATAAAAACGATGATTGATGCATTATATATTGCTTCTTACAGTAATCTTATAAATTATCAACATTATTTTTTAGAGTCTTCAAAAAACAAATATATATACATATTTATATTAAACTTATGATATCCTACAGGCTATACAAATATTCTTTATATATATATAATTATAAAAAATAACGCGATGATTATATATCTATATATAATATGGATACTGTGTGATCCAATTAAATGCGTTTGTTGCTGCTTATCACTCATACATTGTTGAATTATTTGTTTAAGTTGCATATACACATACGTATATGTATATACACACACACACATATATATATGTATATTATATGTATGTTTAATATTCATACACATATATGTATATGTGTATAACACGTCGCGTGTTCTTTTTTTCTTACACCAATCCTGAGATCTAGAAATATTATCTAGTGTTTGCCTTTTCCTTTTTTTGTTGTCTCATTAGTACATCGTGCCAGTACATCTGCAATCTCTCATTACTTTACAAGTAAAAAAATATATATGTCATTCTCTTTTGTAACACTTAACTTTCATAAATATCAAAAAAAACAGGAAGAGTGAAGAAGAAATTTTTGTGAAATTCGTTCTCTATTATAATTTTGCTCTATTCAATATTTCCTAATTATGGAAAGTCATCATATTAATCGTGGGCAAGAGACTAATTGTCGCCCGAAAAAGAGAACATTGATTAAATAATTATTATAATAATAAATTCTTGCCATATGTGTGAATCTCTATCACACACTGTACTTCAAAATAAAATGGCTGATAAGTGCATTTACTTCTTTGGTTGCATAAGTCCTTAATTTTAATTACTGACATACATATACATTTCATATAAGTGGTAATAAATATTTAGGTAAAAGGGAAAACAGTAATTGATAGTATTTTAAAATAATAATAATTTAAAGTAATGGAGTTGTTCGATAAAAATTAAATAATTATTAATTTTTTGTATACTTTTTGTCAAAAGCGTATACATTTTATCGTCAAGGCCACAATCATGTCACTATATAAAAAAATTTACAAAATGATATTTACGATAGGAGTCTAAGTTTTAAAAGTCTACACTTTGAAACATTATTGAGAAGAGCAGATAATAAATTTATATATATAGATATATATAATTGCCAGTCTACAATATCACCTTGACAGCATATGGATATACAGCTGTCCCTTGTGTTTTGTGTCTCTACATAATATAACATATCATATTCTGAGATTCTTTATATGTATCAATGTTATTATTGCATTAATAAATAGATAGTACTTGCAACTTTATACTTTTGACACTTTACATATTGTGCCATTTTCAATACATTTCTATATGCTAGTATAAATCGTAAATAATTTATACCATTCGCATTTTTATATAAATTAATAATTTGTCTTTAAAAAAAACTACAGCAGTCTACGCTTAAAGGCATATTCGAGTAAATGCATCATTGTAAAAAAGGATCACTCTCTCCATAAAATAAATTTTAATCTCTTACGAGATATTAACTTATTTCATATAATTCACGAGAGAGATGTAAAAAACACATCTAAAAGCGCTTACGAGTATGTATTTTTGGATGAACAGCAGTTTAATGAAATGGAAAATCGAACTTTCTGACGTTTTTTTGGGGACACACCCCTCTCGGATAATTTCGATAAATGCTTGCCCTCATCGTTCGGTCGAATACTTATTTGGTCGATTGTGAGATTACTCTATAATGAATTTCAATGCACGTTTATAATCACTTTCGAAGGCTGTGACATTTGCTTAGTAATTTTCATTAAATATGGAACACACGTGTAACAAGGCACAATACTTTCAAAGCTATCACACATGTTAGAATGAATTACATTTCACATTTACTCTGCAATTAGATCAATGAAGAAAAACTATGGTTAGCAGCCTAATTTTTGTTAGGATGAGCAAGTACGCGATTGTCTTTATATTAAATCTTTTACAAGCTGCATGATGATAGCTGCAAGAAAAAAAGTCATCTGTGTGTTCCTTGTCAAATATCATCTCTCTCGTTAGAGAACATTTTTAATACATTTATCTGTATGAGTACAATAATTAAAGTAGATTTTTTTTATCATTATTATGTTATCATTACTTTTGTCTTTGAAAGTGAATCATCAGTATTTGGTGTTATTAAATTTAGCTCTTCGTGTTATTTTTAAACAGAATCAAGTAAATATCTTTTTATCATGAGAATTAAAAAGTTGCAATACATTAAAAGTCCATGACTATATAGACATCACTAAAAACAAGAAAAACTATCACACAATATACACTATATGTATAATTTTTACTAATAATATATCATAGTTTTTTCCTATCAATTTAGAAATTGTATTATCAATAATAAACATTAATATTTTCATAATATCGAATTATTACAGCAACATAATTGTCTATCCGAGATTCTTTTTTTCTTGTATTGTCTTCCATTTTTTTCACTTAGCATAATACCTAATGTTATATACCCTGAAGCTCTCTGTCTTCCAGATCATCAAAAAAATTCTATATAATACTAATGTTAGCATTAGTATCATCTCAAAAGAGGGGGGAAAATGTCAAGTTAAAATTAATATGTTATTATCAAAAGGTTAATTATCTATATGTTCATATCGTAGAGATGTGGAGGAGCACCTACCACTGAAGGCATTTGACACCCACGTCGTACTAACAGACGAACAGATGGACCACCATTACGTATAATTTCAATCGCTTCTGTATGCGTCATGTTTTTGGTATTAATACCGTTTATCTCGATTATCTGATCTCCAACCTAGGAGAAATATACATTTGATTATAATATCATATTTATCTCTGTGAATATCATATTTATAGCTCATATGTCAATATATCTAAAATTTACTTACTCTAAGTCGATTGTCGATAGATGCTGGTCCATTCTCAGCGATCTGTAAGACGAATAAAGGCATGTTTTGAAATTCACGGCCACCACGTATACTGAAGCCAAAACCTCGAGTGCCCCGAGTGAGTTCTACAGCATGATACTGGCCTCCATCTCCGTCTCCTGCAAGTTCATCCTGCAGAAAGAAAAATTTAATAATTTATAATCATTTTATTATCATGATGAATAAAAAAACTGTTATTATATGTACACTTGATTAAATTACGAAATCAAGAAAGATCGTACCTTTTGGGAAAGAGATGTATTGCTACAGCAATCGTCGAGCGGATATCCAATTGTCAATGTGACAGAATAACCAGAATCTTTGATTAAATTGACAATGTCCTTATGGCAAACATTCGTGATATCAATGTGATTGACAGCGAGAATATGATCCCCGACGTTTAATCGTCCGCATCTTTCAGCGGGTGAGCCTTCAATTATCCTGCCAATCGTGGAGCCGGCTTTGTTGACGGATGAAATTATGACAAAACCGAATCCCTCGTTTTCCATTCGAGTGACGGTAACATCATACGGATACTGAAGATTCATCTGCCGGCCGTACGAGGATTGAAGGTTCTCTTGAAGATGTTCCTGAGTGTTGATTCGACGTCGTATTCCTAGAGTCACTCGTCCGTTTTGTGCCGCTGCTATCATTAACTGCACAACGTGATGATGAGATGAGTTCATGACGCTTTCCCCGTCGACAGACATGATCAAATCGCCGGTATTGAGTCTGCTGTCGAGATCAGCCGCTCCACCAGGAACTATATGACCCACTGAAACCTGCTGACAGTCATATTTTTAACGTTTCTGTTTTCATTAATACTGCGATGTAAGATCTTTAAAAAACATTGAAGTATTAAATATGGATCATTGAAACCAACCTGAGATCCTTCTTCTGTACCACCGACTATTCTGAATCCAAATCCAGTGTCTTGTCTGACCAAAGTCACTAGAGTTTCTATCCATTCTATGTCGGGAACCATTGGACAGACCAATTCATTTGTGTATTGAGGATATCTATCAATATTACAAATAAAATACTTTTAATAATAATTAATCTTTATTTTTGTGTCTTGTTTGAAAATATATTTAATGATTTTCAAACATGTTTTATCTATCTAAATGATTATAATGTTTAATATTAAAATTGATTATAATTTAATGACAATTTAATATTATTATATTTAAATAATTGTATTAATTTTTGAAAATTCTGGAAAACGTTTATTTGAGTAAAATTCTTTAAAATATTATCGACTTACCGAGATATAGAACTGGAATGTGGCTGTTCGTGTTCGAAACTGGTTGTCTCTTTCCTCTTATCCCAGATTTCACCGGTGTCAACGTTTTGCTCCTGTCCAATGGAGTACATATTATAATCCTCGTTATACTGGGAATGCGATTGAACGGGATAAACGTCCTTGTAGTAATCGGAATGCAAATATCCATTTTGCTTGAGCATATTGTCGTGATGGGAGATATCGATGGAATACACATCACTGTTGATATTCAATTTATCGTTCGCAACCCAGTCGCGTTTCGACACATTCCTGATGGAATCGTCGTCGAGATTCATCACCGCGAAATTGTCTGACAAGTTGGCTGTGATATTAGCTTTGTACGGATCCGAGTAATACATTCCGTGTGAATAATCGGCATATTTATAGTGATTATCCAGCGGATTCAATTCATTTTCTCCCTGTACTTCGTTCCAGTTCGATCTGCTCGCGCCGGTCGGTGATTTAGGATGATTCCTGGTGTCGATGAGGGGTGTTTTTGGTCTACTAGGTATTATTGTCTTCGACTGAGTACTATAGATATCTGCGGTGGGCGTTTTACTTCTAAAAAAGTCCTGTATATTCTTCTCTTTCTTCTCCTTTGTCGATTTCGTTGTTGTTCGCTGAACATGTATCAATGCCTCCTCGTTGCGCGGGCAGTCTTTCAATACTTGCACCACTTCCGAGTGGCACATGTTTCTGACATTGATCTCATTTATGTTAACCAGTATATCACCCTCCATCAAATTCTTGCAACGCTGACGATCCAGGATCTTCTTGACTTTCTGACCGTGGGCAGAGTCCGCTATCGTAAATCCAAATCCCATGGACCCCTTCACGATGGCGATGCTGAGAAATTCCGGCTTGGAAGACACCGGCGAGTTCTTACAGTCGTTCAAATCACTGCTCTCTGATAGCAGAATGTCCGTGCTGCTTGGTCTCTTAATTGTATTGATTTTATCTGAAATACATAGATCGGGCATCGAATTGACCGACGTCGTGGTGAGATTCTCGCCGTTCTGAAGATTGTGCACCGGCAAGAATGTGGAATCCAGAAAATTGAAACGTCCATTGTCCTGGAGAGACGAGTTCAAATCCATGTACATCGCGGGACCTTCTGTCGAAAAAAATCCGATGATAACATCTAATTCTTTAATAAAAAGATTTATTATTAAAAAATATCTATTCTCAGCTCTTCCTTTACCTGGTGCATTAACGGCGATCGTCGTTACAACCTCCGTATTAGGATCGTTGGGGTCAAAAGGCAACGGATAACCCCGACACACTTCCAAACTTACTGTCTCGCCGCTACCGATTGACTTGAATACATTCACCATTTCATTATGAGTAAATCCTAACACGCAGGTGTCATTAACGTATACTAACACGTCCCCTGAAATAGTAAGTACAATTGTGCAGACAGAAGCACGGAAGCGGAAGTGAATCGCGCGCTTGAGAATTTAGCGGTATCTGGAAAAAAAAATTACCGGTTTGTAGTTTCCCATCCAACCATGCTGGACCATTTGGCACGACGCTTTTAATTTGCAGGAATTCTTCCACGGTGTCATCACCGCCGACAATGGTAAATCCCAAGCCCCGCGAGCTCTTGATCAAGGCTGTTCGTATCCTCTGACCCTTGAGTTTGTCGGGATTTCTGGTGAAGTTGGGACTCTTCCTCTCGAGCATGCCCTGTTGAGCCCTCTTCGCTTGCAAGACCGGATTTTCGTATTGCGTTCTACGATTCACGTGATCGATGAAGTATGTACCATATAGAGTGTCGTCGATCTTTTCCCAACCGTACGGTAATTCGTCATCGAGACATTCTTCCAGAGATCTCTTTTGAAATTTCGACAGACGCGGATCTAGCCAGTGAGATGTGCCTGTGTTGTGGCTATGATATAAGTTATGAAAATGATTTATATTTTATTCAGAAATAAAAATAATTGAATAAGCAATCATAAAATAACAGACAGTATTAATGTGCACATGAGCATGTTTTTGTTTTATATATGCGTATATACAATAATTTGTTAACTTGACTAAATCTTTCAACTAAATATTATTTTGTTAATTGAACATATAACAATATTTAAATTAAATATAATATATTAAATCTAACACAAAACGTACATTTGACTTAAATACTAATATATGCTCAATTAATAAAATAGTAATTTAGTTGAAAGGTTTATCGTCAAGTTAACAAATTAATTTTTTTCAGTGTATTAATATAATGCGTGTGATATTTATATAATGCAATTCTTGTAAGAGTATTAACGCAATCGATATACGAAACGTGGAGAGTTTATCAAGATCTTCGTAATAATTACTTATTTCTCAATCTAATTATCTATATAATGTGAAGCATACAATCGCAATGTATGTACGTATGAATATGCATACATACTCTATAAAATAAACTTCTCCTGTGTCCGTGTACGCCTTCTCCCAATTAGACGGTAACGGACCTAATTCATCCTCCGTGGCTGGAGTACGATTTCGAACGGTTTGTTCCTGGTCGGAAGTTCCTGTACTCTCTACTGATCCCGTATTATACAAATACGTCGGCGGAAGTCTTCTGCCATCGTTTCCACCGATTGTCAATATTTCTTTATCCAGACTCTCTCCTTTAAAATACAAAATATACACGAGTAAGAAAAAAGTTTTGCAATTACACGTTACTTTAACATTTGGAAAATAATTGCTTGTACCATCATTGGGATTGTCGATAGAAGCTGCGTCGTCAGTTTTGGTAGCCATCTCGAAGAGTTTCTGCGCTTCTTTTACAATCCTGAATAAAAAATTTATGCGTGAGTGAATCTCGAGAGATGTACACAAAAAATAAATTAACCTTGTCTCAAGATGTATTAGATTTTTAGGGAAAGGTTTGTGTATACTTATAAATGTCAAAACTGTCATCTGTGATTCAAAACATTTAGAATATCTGTTATTCAAACAAAATATTGTTCTCTCACTGAAAAAAAAATTATTTAATTAATGAATAATATTTATTTCAACTTGCTGCCTAATAATTATTTGAAACAAATAAATATTTATCTGTTTTAAATAGGTTTGTCTTATATTAAATAAATATTTTTCACATTAAATCAATATTATTAGTTTTAAATAAATGATTTATTTGGCAGTATTGAAATAAATACTTATTGGAATTCAATAAATTTTTTCTTCAGTGTACGAAATAATTCCGCGTCTGTATATTACAAAAAAAATATAAAAACGCAACAGTCCGAGGCGTCGCATAAATAAGAGGAGACTCGATCCTTATTAGAGAGAGCACAAGAATAAAGAGTACGATCTATTATATTTCACGCTGGTGATTTTTGCCTGACAGTTTTGAAAAGAAGAAACGAGAAATAAGTAAGTGTACAAAAATGCGGAAAAAAAAAGAAAAGAAGAGCCAAGCTAAAATGAAGCTGATTTAATTCAACCGCACGTTTTCCTTTTCTCTAGTCGCGTCCTTCATATATAAGGATGCACCCTGTTTCGTTCCGCTCGCTGCATCCGAAATGAGATAGAAGCGTGCATGCAGATTTGAGAGAATAAAATGAAAAATAAATAAATAAATAAATAAATAAATAAATGAATAAAATAGAAAAATAGATCTGTGAAACGACCGAATCTTTCCCTCGTTTCGACAAATTTTTTAATCGCCCGCAATCTCGCTCAGCGGCTCAACGTCCAGACGGACAGGTGTCCGCGAGCGCAATTACATAAAGCGAGGTAAGAGGAACGCGAGAGGCCGGGCGGAGGTGAACGAGAAAGAGAGAGGGGGGAGGACGAGGGGGAGAGTAAAACACGCACAGGCGGGCCGCACGAACGTGAATGCATTCTTACGAATGCATTCACCCGTGCGCGCTCACATATGACGCGCGTCATTAGGTCCATTCGTCTCTCATTCGGAGTAAGAGAGCACTTTCCTGTACTTTCTACATGTCCAACGGGAGAGGGAGGGAGGGAGGGAGGGAGGGGGAGAAAAAGAAGAGCGAGACAGATCCTAATCTGGAGCATTCCTGCGTTTTGAGAGCAAACGAAGCGGCCTTCGCGGCTTCGGAATACTTCGGAAAGAGGAGGAAATAAAAAAGGAGGAGATGAGAGTCTACGGACTTTCTATACGTAACGTAAATACTGCTACGCGGGAGGTGGCCGCTTCGCATCGCCCTCCCTCTTTTCCGACTCCTCACGGTACTCCCGCATCGACGTGGCCGAAGCACATGCACGGTCGAATGAAACTGCGGAAACAATGGCACGCGATCTCGCGTTTTTTCCCTCCCGATTCAGCATTTAAGATCGATCGCTCGATCGCGAAAAATTGCTGCGAAGAAGAGAGCAGATGCATCATGCACACATCGTCTCGACGCAGGAAAATCTCGAGAGATGGCTGGGTGTTTGTCGTAGAGAAAGAGAGACGGAGAATGATCCGATCCAAGAAGAAGAGACGGAGATAGAGGGGGAAGAGAGATGCATGTATGCATGACGAGCGCTTTTCCTTCGTTTTTTTTCGCCTCGCGATTTACGTGCACAAGAGAGTAAGATCGAGAGAGACTATTTTGACTACTCACTTTCTTGCACGATGATGCGTTCGCTGGCGCACGTAACCGTCATGGTTCCAACGGCGGTGTGGGCAGATAATATCCCGTATCGCACCGAATCACTTACAGAAAACTCTCGATTCCGTTGGGCGACGATTGCGCGATGACACTTGTGACAGGTGACAGGTGAGAGAGAGATGGAAGGCGACACTCGATCACACAGCATCGAAACTACATTACAGGACCACGGCGCATCGCGCCGCTCGCTCGCACAGCAGATGTACGCGCGGACGAGGCATTTAACCGACTGCCGCACGTCGCCGCGGGTCGCTGCCGCCGCGGCGGTTCACGCGTCACGTGACCAGAGTCACGTGGCCGCGCGCTATCGCGCGGGAAGTTCGAAACGCCGCGGTGCGCAGCATCCAGCGAGCGTGAAATTCGTTTGAAGGAGAAAGTAGGACGTGGTTCGCGCGTTGCGTGAGTAATCTTAATTCTGCATTTATTACTAATCTCGCGTATATGTATAGTAATTTTGCTCTACATAAGATTATTGCGTGCGTTTTAGACTCTTTTGTAACGAGAACGACAGTGTTTTCCGCGAACATCGTACACGCATATACATGTGTTTTTAATTTCGTGAGTTTTCTTCTATTAGAATTATAAACTTCGTTATGCTATTAGAATTGTAAGCTCTGGTGTGACTCGAAAAAATTAAATGCACTCACAGTGTCATTAATGTCTTGCGAGTTGCCACTTTTAGCGTCATGTCTTAGATATTCCTGCAATTTTGCGTGTTAAAGCATTTAATGACGACGAGTACTTCATGTAATTTCTAAGAACATTCTTTTAGCTACTCATTCTCTCACAAATAATCATTTTAATTATATACAGAGAAATAATTTGAAACGCGACGCAATTTCATGCTCAGAAAAGAATTCCTTCCAGACAAAAAAATAAGAATTATTTATTCGTAAGCAAGAGCAAACTGAATATTTCTTTTATAAATTGCAACGCAAATATATATTTTTATATTTACATTATATTAATATCTGTATATTATTTTCGAACATTAAAAATATAATAAGAAGATTTTTAGTCGAGATGAATATTGTGGATTAAAAAATATAATTTCATAGAAAAAATCTAATTATTATATAAAAATGTTTCTATAAATGCTTCTCTGTCACTCTAATGCCAATGTTAAAGCTTAACAAAATTGTAGTTGTCGATGATCTTGTAGCGGTCCTGTCGATAGTGCACGAGGTCGTCGAGGAAGTTCATGCTGCTCTCGTTGTGGAGTTTCGTCAGCACGGGTGGTAGCGGCTCGATGCCGGCGATGTTCGCCAGGTCATCGTAATAGTGACCTTGCTCGGGGCCCATCATGTGAAAGTGCCTCTTCTGCAGGCCCCTCTCGGCGCGTCTCACCGCTTCCTCAGCCTCGGAGCGCAGCATATCCGCTCTCGCGGGAAACCGCCTCTCGTCGTGCCAGTGTCGTAGGACGAATCGCACCTTGAAGTTGCAAGTAATCGCATTGACATTATGTTACCGCGGTTGGCGACCGACCGTGGCTCTCTAGCATTTTTCTGTCGTGACCGCGTTCTTTTTTTTCTTTCTTTTCCTCAGGCATCCTGAAGAGAAGGCAATTTCATACGCCCCGAATGACCCGCGCGCTTGGAATGCTACCGCTCAAATTGGATTACACGCGATTCTCCTGCGCTTCTTGCGTTGACATTTTTTTAATATCGATTTACAATATTATTAAGCACATCACGGTCCAGAATATATATTTTATATGTATAAGATAGCAATTAGAAATAAATTTAAAATTATATTTTAGATTAAGAAGAGACAAAAGAGTATTTTATACCTGTAAATCGAACATGCTGAAGGCGCAAACGTAGAACGGAAGACCCACCAGTGCCAGAGTCGGGTTCTCTATGGACACCAGATGCTTCCAAAGGGGCGTTACCATATTAGAATCTACCCGAACTCCGCAAGATTCGGCGAGGAAAGGAAAACTGTATTTATATCCTGACGAGGAGGAAACATATTATGTTTTAATCATCCCTTGTTAAACGAGAACGAGGCGCAATATGTTCCGTGAGGACTTGTGTAATGAGGGAAGATTGTACCTGTACAATAGAAGACGACGTCGATCTTCTCCTTCGTATCGTCCGCAAAAACCGCCTCGTGCTCCGTCAGTTGCACCACGTCAGCTTTCTAAAAAGAGATAACGCGGTCATTAGAGAAGTTATGTCTCAGTCTTTGTTTGATTTTATTTTTTTTTAACTCGCACTTTGATGCTTTTATATACCTGCACGACATTTTCCGGGAATACGGTGAGTATGGGATCGGTCAAATGATGACTCAGAATTACGCGATTCGCGTTCTTGGATATCTCCAACGCCAAATCCATACCTGGATCGGAGAGACAGAGAAACGCCGCATTTTAATTACCGCAAATATCTTTGTCAAAGGTTTTTTAACCGGTCATTATTTTACTAAATGGTCGGATTTACTAAACAAAAATATTTGTGCGCGAGTAATCTTCATTTTTACCATCATTAAAATTTTCATATAATTAAAATTATTTAAAAAGAATATTTCTTCAATGAAATCATTTATTCTATTATTTAATATTATTTTTATATTAATTAATCTCTCTTATTCTCCTTAATTAAACTCTTTTATATAATATTATTTCTTATTATTTATATATGTAATATTATTTGAGTGTATAATTAAATAATATTAATAATAATTAAACTTATGTATTACGTAGTGTACCTGAAGGACCAGCTCCCAAAACGACGACAGTCTTGCCGTCGAAGATCTCGGGTACCCGGTAATCGTGACTGTGCATTTGCTTGCCCGCGAAAACATCGTGACCGGATATCTTCGGGATTCTGGGCTCGAAATAATGACCGTTGCACACCATGATTGCGTCAAACGTCTCGGTCACGATCGCGTCCCTCTGCAAATCCCTGACCTTGACCGACCATTTTCGATCCCCTCCGGTCACCGGTTCCACCAGTTCCACATGATGCAGCAGCTGTGACATAGAATATTTATAATAATATAACAAAATTTGATTTTTTTTCATTAATTTACAAACTTTGCACTGTTTTTGATCAACAATTATTTACATCTTAAGAATACATTTTTTGCATAAATTAATATTTAAACGGAATGCGCATTAATGCAGTTTTATGCACTCACCCGAATGTAAGGACGTAGCGCAAAATGATCACAATATGCGTTTAAGAAATTCAATATCTCTGTTCGTGATAAGTAACTTTCAGGTTTTTCCGGTATAGAAAAATCCGGATAGCCCATTACTTCCTTCGGCAGATTAGCCCTAGCATAACAATTTTCAAATCAAATTAAATATATAATGCACTTGAACTTTTATAATACGTTTTATAATATAAAGATTATATATAAAATACAATATATATATTATACATAAATAAATATGAAACTTTTATATAAGATATTTGAAAATTGATATTAATCTGTATATGTAAGATATTAAAATATTAATTGTCATTGTTCAAAAATTCGCTTTCTGTGCAGAATTGAAAATGGAAAGAAAACAAAAGCTGCCAGGATGAAGTGCATCCGTACCTGAGGCTTTTATACATGCTAGTATGAATCGTTAAACCGTATCTATCAGAACCAGTTTCCTCTCGATAGACCCAAGTTCCGCCGATTTGGTCTGTTTTCTCGTAGCACACCACTTGGTCGTTGTAAGTACCGGAAGTGCATTGACGAAGTGCGGCGAGTCCCGCGGCTCCGGCACCGATCACAGCGATTTTCATGATTCGTTGAAGTTTCACGAGCAAGAACACCTTCAGTGAAAGTAATCGACAATCTGTTTCGTATGTTTACAGAGCGCGATTATAATATTTATTTCATAATATACAAGTATCTTGGACCCGTTGCGCGTATCTTATTTATTCTTGGCCAATCGGGAGACAACTTTCTAATAAATAAATTAACGTGAAATATTAATTTTCTTTTAAATTTGTATCACAGAAAGTCTCCATATTAACCGAGAATGATAAAAATTATCTGTTTACTTGTGATTTAGTGTTTGTGAGAAGCCATTATCTTCCTATAGTTATTTTTAATTGGAATACTAATTGATCATAAACATTAATACAGTAGCAGTTTGAACGAGTTATACAGTTGTGAAAGAGATCATACACTTATATATAACTACTATAATTTTCTATTTAAAACTATGACATGGATTAAACGATTCATTTATATAATTTTTCTTATTGAGATCGCAACTCAATTGCTGCGAATATTTTTGACTTCGCACAAACTGATTAAATTCACAATAGATTACAGACTTGAACACTTCTTTTATCCGATTACAAAAACATATTCAATTACATAAATATCTGATTACATAAACGTATATATATATATATATATATATATATATAATTTAATTTAATTTAAATCTATCACGCTTAAAAATTTTCACTCTTAATTATTAGAAGTTCTGATCAGATTAGGAAGAATAATATGACATATGTGCTGAAGATAGATGCTCCACACACATACACATATATATGTACTTATATCCACTACTTATTGTTAGCATACGTTCAAGTTAGATTCAATAAGATGAGATAAGATGTCACAATATTAATCGAACTTAAGATAAACTTTCGATAAAGTACAATATAGTCACACTTTACTCACGCGAATAGAACACAAAGCGTTCGCTTCAACGAAATCCAATGGAATGAATAATCACAGTATATATCACAGTTAAAGCAGATTATAAATTGAAAGAATGATGCTCGTTAAAGCGATCGTATTAAGGGAAGGAGAAATGCAAGGTTGATACCGATAACGAGGTCATCGTTGATTCCACGCGTTTACCAAATAAACTTAAAGCTTGACCTTCAACCTGTTTTATACGTTCGCTTTACTATCCTAAGAGAAAAGTGTCATATAATATAATACAATATTTAATTATATTTAATTTAAATGTGAAAAAACTGGTCTAAAGAGAAAAAATATCTATAATTGAAATTATATGCGCTATATGAAAAATATACTAATTTTTATTATGATATAAACTATGAGCATTTATATTTTATTATTTAAAATACAACTTATTTTATACAGATTATTAATAAATATATACATATATATATTACAAAAATTTATTAGATTTATGAATATATTTCGTACTTTTCATTGATTAATAGATTTGTTAAATATAAGCAAAAAGTTACGTTTTTTCGTCGACAAATTTTGTACAGTTCTTTCATTGTTTAATAAAAGAATATTTTAAAATGTAAATTTTTTGATAATGAAAAATGATGTACAAAAAATTGCTCACCAACGACCCCTCTTCTCCGATTCCCATTTATTCTTATACAACATATACAATTGCATTGCTGCTCTTGCGTCTTCCACGGAACTGTGTTCACCAACTTGTATTTCTCTACCTAACAATTCAAGCGCAAGTTTTTTCAAACTGGGAGTGTTTCCCTTTGATATTTGGCGAAAGGGCTTGTATTTCGAAGTATCTCGCCAATATCTTCGCGGATGCGACAAGAATAATACGTTAAGATCGTGTTTTAATGCATGACCTACTAGAAGTCGACCCTTTAATATATCTGCTACTTCCTTCTGTATAATGTTAAAATCTTCTCCACTTCGTAATTGTTCCGGTCGGATTCCACTGACTGCTGTTCTGTAATCCACAACCTTTTCTCTCGGTTTAACATATTTGTCATATAGGCACTCTCCATGCTTATTTACAATCGATACTCGAGCTAGCATGCTCTCGGTGCCATCGCCAATTCCAACCATCTCGCAATCCATGGCAATTTGTTTTGTTAGAGTTTTGTTCTCTTTATCATTAACATTATTGTGTCTAGTGTTCTGCTCCGGTTGATTCTGCAATTGATAAATACATGAACATGTTTATTAACTAATAATACATATACATATAACTAATAATACATATAATGCAATACTTTAAACACTTACTGCAAGTAGCGAAGTAGTATGTATTCTTTTAGGTCTTGGACGTCTATTTTGCTGAGAATGATTTTCCTCTGTTTTTGGTTTGGGCAACAAGTTCTTGTACATCTCCCAATTACATCCAGATGTTTTGCGTTCAGTGCTTGGAACAAGTTGTTGTGTCGCCTTGTTCTTTTTCTTAGTCCCCATAGCAGTTGATGCAGTATTCATTCTACAAAAATATTCCCCTTTTCTTGTCGTTTCTTTTTTTTCTAATAAACATTGATAGCTTATGATGTCAGAGATTTATATACACAATATATATAAAGAAAATATTAAGCATGTATCTACTTGTTTCTAACCTTATTTTTACCTTACTTTCATATTTTATTTTTATATTATATATATAGTATTGTATATATAAAAGCACATGAAGAGTGAGTTTTTTAAGGAAAACAAAATAAATTAATACATACATAATTTTGTTGTCATAAATTAATGATGATAATCCTCAAAACCCTCAGATCTTTATTTAAGAGCGAGACTATATATTATTATGAAAAAGTATGCGTATATATATATATAAATCACTTATGTATATACAAAAGTGTTTGAAGGTGACAGATCGATTCCTACCTGAATTTCAAGCAAAAAGTAACGAAAAACCAAATAACGAAACACACGAGAAATACATAAAGCATATTATATATATGTACTGTATACGAGGTCTGTTCGTTTTGGCTACACTAAGTTCAGAGGTTGTCTCTTTTGCTCGACATTGGAAGGAAAAGAGAACCTCTGAATTAGTGTAGCTAGAGAGAAATAACAGAGTGGCCACCGGGATTCAGCGGCAGCGTGTACTAGTGCGCCACCTGACAAAGTGGACATAAACTACGTCGTGAACTCGATAAAAAGCACGGTAAATGGTTCGATTCCGCGATATGGTTCATGTCCAAACTATTCAGCTAATTGTAAGAACCAAGTTGAGAACCGAACAGCTGAGTCAGACAAGGACCAAGGATCCATCGCTCTGGCTTTATCTCACCTTACCGATGCGTCTCGTGGACTCGTGCGGCCGCAGGCACGAGAATAAAACAATAATAGACCGATAAGTACCGGACGTCGTGTAACAAAGTTGCCACGCTTTCCCGAAAGATGTCGCGTCGTCTACATTTGACAACCGCTCGCAGTAAAATCGAATGCGTGTGCGGTAAGATTGAATTGTTCATAAATTTTATATATTTTTTTTATCAACTCGAGATAGAATATAATATGGACGATGATTGCAACACAACCATCAAAGAAACGTTCCAGGAACCGCGGAAAAGATTTTGGCTGGTGAGTCTTGACGTTTTCTTCAACCTTTTGCGAGACGAGGTCTCGCAACTAATGTTGTAACTTGTAACCGAAATGTCGATGTCAATGTCATTAATGTCAGTGTGTTCGAACAAAAATCCCCTTTTCAATTTTCCAGGCTTTGCAATTGGATTTATATTAACGTCACGTTCGTTATATTTGTGTTTATTCGAGCTTTCGTTGTTCAATTTCTATACTGACCGACAATAAAATTGTTTTTGTCGAAAATAATGTTTAAATATTCTTTATATGTATTATTTATGTAAATACGTGTTGTGTACTAATAGAGATCAAGAAAACGACCAAAGAGCGACGCGATGAGCATCAGCTCGATGGACATATCCATGGACTCTGACATGGGAAAGAAGAAGAAACGTCGTAGAATTACAGAGGTTGCTAGCAGTATATTTTCCTCGTCCATAGTAGGGAGTAAGCTGGGAAATACACTGCACAGATCTTTCACGGTTCAATCAAACACATCGGATTTGTCAATTATTGAGGATGAAGCGGATACTGGAACATTACGTAGAAAGTAATTGTCTGGTACTTCAATGTTTTGCTTTAAATAGTGAGTTTTGGTTTCTCAAAATATATATGCTTATTTCAGATTGAACAATGCTACTGAAAATTGTAACAACTTAACAATTAGGAGTTGGATGTTGGATGTTGCAAAGTCTCAAGGCAAGGAGCGCTTGAACAGTATATTAAGTCGAAGTGAAATTAAAAGACAGGAGGCTATTTATGAATTGTACTGTGGTGAAAATGTGCTGCTAAATGAGCTCTATATACTCAAAAATTGTTATTACGAACCAGTGCTGTCCACTGAAATTTTTACATCCGAAGAGCTATTCACCCTTTTTGGTGATGTTACAAATCTTATTGAGATACACAGTAATTTAAGAGATGAGTTGCTCAAACTCAGAGATAAATCTGGATTCACAAAGACTGTCGGTCCAACATTATTGAACTGGGTTAGTTTTTTTTTCTTTTATTAACGTTTTATAAATATATATTAAATTTCATTATTTTTACAGCTGTCGACATTGAAGAAACCATACCTGGAGAGATGTAGAACGTTAGTTTGGGCGAGACATTTACTGGACGAGAAGAGATTTAGCAATAAAAGATTCCAGTCATTTTTAAAAAAACGTTTAGAGTTACCACATTCTGTTGACTTATGGACTTATTTAGATGTGCCACGTTCAAGGATTGTCAAGTACCCATTATTGGTGAAGGAGATTTTAAAACATACTTCCACTAGTGATGCAGATCATTTGTTGCTGAAAGAAGCAAGTAATATCTTGTCCAATTTGCTAAAAGATATTGATTGCATTATGGGTGATGCCGAATGTAAGCTCGCTCAATCGAAAATAAACGCAAAGATCGAGAACGATCCTGAAAAATGCATCGTAAACGCCACAGAATTAATCATACAAGGCCAGCTTAAGGATACACGTGGAATAGTAAGTTCTATTTTATATTTTCTTTTAATGACATATTTTTTCTATCTAGTAAATTATAAATTTATCTCTAAATATGAATATTTTTTTGTAGAAATATTATTGCTTTCTTTTCGACACATGCTTCGCAATAACTCGCCCTACGCGGCGTGTTAACAAAAAGTACAATTTGCTCTTTCCGGTCGTATCCAAAGAACTAATATATGTACAAACAGACGACAAAAATAATACAGAAATTGGTTTTAAAATCCGAGAACATTCTTTCATAATGGAAGATGGACATAAAAAACGGCATTGGATTGATGCATTCAACAAATTGTACTCTAGAGTGAGTATTCCGGACAAAGTGTTCAACACTGACGACAAGGAGAACCTGTTGAATGACACAGAATTATCGGAATCGAATAATCGTGTTACACGAACATCAATATCCAGAAGAACTTCCACAAATAGTATAAACGAAAGTCATTTTTCCTTTTCTATAAGGAAAAGTTTGCTCAAGCAGAAACGTAACAGTATCGGCTATATATAATAAAAGATTATTTGCGAGCTTTTGTATCTTTGATAAGAAGCATACTCGTTCATGTATTATAAAAAAACGGTGAAACCTATTTCCAATTAGTACAAAGTTAGGGAAATAGAAACTATTCTTATTCATGTTCTAATTTTACTTTAAAAGATTCTAGCTTTTTAAGATTAAAGAAACTTTTAGTAAGTAGTTATTATACTTTTAGTAATAACTAAAACTATAATAACTATTTTTTGAAATATTATTGCTATACATTTCCTAACATGTACACATTCCCAATATGTGATGATATAAATTTAGATTTGATTTATAATTTTTGTACTTACATATAAAGGAGTTAACATATAATCTTTATCTTATACTAAAATAAATTAATATATATCATAGAGAATTTTTTTTATTCTAGTTTTCCAGAAATTTAATCTACGTTGATATTTTTCTTTCGATTTTTTTCTTTTGAATAATTAATTTCATTAAAAAAGAGCAACTTTAACACATGTGTGTAGACATACATGCTAGATAAAGCATAGCTTACATACATATATACAAACGTCATCGACTGAAAAATATACGAGATTAAGTCGGTTTTTCTACATTTATAATTATGCGTTCATTTTGTATTAGCACTTATTTCTAAATGATAAATGGAATTTATATACATATTTTGCAATAAATTCTAATAAAATCTAAAGTGTGTTTAATTCATGCATTATTGTACAAATGTTATACTTATTAAAATACTACGTTGTAAAAATAAAAAAAGATAAGTTTACGGTTTAGCGGGCTTCATCGAATTTCCATCGGGATAACGTTTCTTAAAGGCTTTAATGAGTTGTGGATCGATTAAATGAACACCGTCAACTTGATTGCCTAGAGTAATCCAGTTTGGTTGTACATTGTGTGGCCGACCGAACAATTCGATCTTTCTTGTGCCAGGACTCATACGCTCGATGATACCGTAAATCTCGTCGGGTTTGTGGCTAGTGGCGCGAACCTCGGCGACAATCACGTCGCTGTCTAATCCTCGATTGATACGAGGATTGCCCTTCATTCCAACCAGACAATGCTCCTTGCCATGGTTCAACCAATGACCTGTTCTACCGGTTCGTATTATTCTCTGCAGCTGATTAGTCTTTACCCAGATGATCTCATCAACTCTCTCATAGCCCCATAACTGCAGACATTCCCTTCCTAGTTCCATGGCTCTGCCAGTTACCCATAAGAATAAGAGTCCTTCATCCTGAAGCGCCGGAATTCCCAATTGTCTCATCTCGTCATCTGACATAGTGCCGTAAGGTAATTCCATATGAATATCCCAAGGCGGATCGGCCATAATTACAGCGAATTTGCCAAGAACTGTCATATCTAGGTAACGCAAGTCACATTGAATCCATTGTGGTGGATACAAAGTCAATTCGCTGCCTGCATTGCTGCTCGTACCACCATTGTTCTTGTTATCCAAGTTCAAGGTCTTGTTGGGTGTGCTATTGTTTAAACTATCAGAGTCATTGATTTCCTTCGGTTGAGCTGTGGGACCATCCACCTCATAGTGAACATATCTATACAAAATAAAAAAATGATAGAAAAACTTGGTTTTAAATTCTTTCTCTGTAAAAATAGAAATATTCAAAGAGATGCATTAACTAACTAATATATCTTGAATGTATCTTGTATATTGAATTTGATAGATCAAATTCAATGCTTCTTGGATTCTTACTTGCATGTGTCCATATGAAAGCAGGTATTTAGAAAACTACAATCGCCCAAGGATTCGTCTGTGTGGCTCTGTATAATCTTTTTAAAGTGCAGCTTCTTGCACTTCTCTGCGAATCCCGGACCGCCGTTTAATTTCACACAATCAACTCTTGTACCATGAGGACAGAACTCCATAACTTGAGCACCTCCCTGAGAACGGAATCGTTCAGCCAACGATTTCTCCTTGGAAGTCTGCTTCGACAACAGGTCCAAGATCTGTTCGCCGACCTTTTTGCTCTCCTTCTCTCTGATAGTCGGCATCGAGATCAAGGACATGATGTCTTCGGTATTTTTCTTTTCCATCTTCGCTTGCTTTTCCGCAGGTACATGATCGTTTGGCTCGGACGCGCATGTTTCTATGCTTTCGGGATTCTCCGTGTCGTCAGATTGGGATTGACACGACGAGTGGGACTCTGTTACAGATAATACAGTGTAGCCCAACACTCCATTCTCTGTGACTTCTTTGATCCTAAAAATATAAGACTTCATATTAAATATATAATATATATAATAAATCATATATATAATATATATAATAAATATATAATATATAATATTAAACATATAATTGTATAATAGGATTATATTGCATCGTAGAATATAATCTATATAGATTCTCACTAACTTGACTATATCTTGTGTAGCCAGTTTCTCAAGAAGCTTATGAATGTCAGAAGAAGATACATCAGCATTGAGGTTTTTACGTAGCTGATCTATCAAGTCTGCGGACGTGATCGGTAGATTAGGCAAGGATTCATGTAAGATGCAAAGCACATCTCTTTCATACTCGCTATGATCAGAGCGTGAAGATGCATTGGAATCTGCAAAAGAATTTGAACATTAAAATCGAACGAATTCTCTTTTATCGAATTCGGTAATGCAATTGGTAATTTGTAATGTAATTTCTCCATACCAGGACACGCCGATTCCGTTGTCAAAGTGGATGGAACTGGCGTCGAAGTGAGCGTATACAATTCATGCCGTTCGCGTTTCCTCTTCTGCAGCTTCTCGCGATAGCTGTTCCTCTTTATTTTGATCGCTTGTATCTCCTCAAATGCATCCGACATGATTCTCGTAGATTGTACACAAAATCATACTTTAAATACGCGGAAATGCAATTACAACTTCGTTGATCAGACGGAATTGAAGGTTAAACAAAGTAGGAGATTTAATTCTCCACTCTTCATATTCTATTGTTATGATAAATATTATTTTCACTTTACATAATATTATTTAGAATTTATTTGATTATTTTTTAATGTTTTACACATGTCAACATTTAGCTGTCACTCTATCACATGTGCACATATACATATATAAGAGTAATCTAGCTTTACTTGAACTTGCTTGATCTATGTAAAGCTAGGTTAAAGCACCGCGTGTATGTAATACATTACATCTACAATTTTTATCATATAATTGATTTTAAATGCTCGTATAAATTTATATTCAATAGAATCCAAAAGCAGAAATTTTATGCACACAATCTGATGTGGTATTTACATAAATCTATTAATCTAAGTTAATCTAAAGATGGCACACACAAAGTCATTCTTCTTGTCAGTTACTCAACGTATTTTTAGCAACTGGACAGCTTTGAAGGTGAGCTCGTACAATTTTTATAGTCTCGTGCATTTAATATTAATAAAAGCAAACATTTTTTGTACTAAAATTAATTTTAAATCAATTTTAATTACCACTTATTTTTATTCTCATTCATCAACTTTTAAACATACAGTTCTTTGATTTCAAAGAAATATAGTAGAAATAAGCAAATCCTTTTATGTATTTTAATAATAAAAAAATCTTATTAGAATATAAGTAGAAAATAAGATAATTCTATAATCTTATAATATAAAACTTTATCCATTCTTAGTTAGCGGTAGAACATGGCATAGCTTCAGTAGAGAAAGCAGTAGAATTTTGTCCTTATACAACGGAAGTACTATATATGAATGGTTTGTGACTTTTATTTCTTAAAACACAAGAGTGACGTTATTACATTTCATTATGCTTTATTATATAAATTATATTTCTTTGTGCCTTTTTATAGAGGGACTGACCAGTGATCAGATTGCTGCTGAATTAGAGGATTATATGGATGAACAACTTAACACGATACTGGAAGATAACAGCACTATACAAGTAGCAGAGGAATTATTAAGGTTTCATCGATATTGCATGGAGGGTAATGAATCTACAGCAAAAACGGAACTTGAGAAATTACCACCGTTACAGCCTTGGTTCACCTGTGAACGACCTGTTCGATCAACTCGTCCTTTGCCATCAAAAGAGGATAGTAGCTCAGATGATGATATGGATGTAGATAAAAATGAACAGGAAAACGATGGATGGACAGTAGTCACAAGTAGGCGAAGTAAATAATTTCCAATTTTGTATAAAACATATTTTTACTCTTAACGGTTCTTTTTTCTATATATATATTTATATATATGGAAAGACATGTAAAGGGTTAGAGAGAAAAAGAGAGATAAACGCATATATTATCACAACGTAATATGCGTTCATTCATTTTACAGTCATACAAATTCCAAAATTATAGAATTATCTATAAACTTATAGCTATAGAATTATCTATAAAAATATTTTACCTAAGCAGCCTTTTGAAGCATTGCTAAATGTCATTTAGCAAGCGCGTCTTTTATATCTAGCAAGAGAAAAATAAAAATTTATTTTTATTTTTAAAGAAAAGAAGTTTAATATACTTATATCTTAAATATATTATTACCTATCTCGTTGTGAGACAGACGGACGGTAAAATAGCCATTGTGATATTGTGCAGTCTGATTATTTTTCGGACTGCTTTGCTTTCTTTCGCCGGGTCCTGCTAAACTTAATATCACTGGTAGAAATAGCAATCCGTGAAACAAACCAAATAGCACTACTGATGTGAATAACTGGAACAATACAAAATTATAAAATTATCGTAATTATTTATTTTTTTGACAATTCTATTTTTAATAGAGAGTATTATGGTTCTATATACTATATACCCTAAAGAATGTCATAAAAACGTAAGCTTGGCTGAAACTTAGCAGAACAAACGCGAGGAATGTGCTTAGGCCACCGTTCAACACTGCTGGTCCGATAACATTAAGCGTTGTCAATGCTCGTTCTGTAAAATAAAAAATATTAAAGTAATATTAATAATAATATTAATAATATAAAGTTCTCACAATCTCATAATTTTCTCTATAAGGAATATCATAATAAAGAAATATCAATTTTATTCAAACAACGTTAAAAAGTAGAAATCTACTTGGCAATAATTTTTAATATAATCTCTAATTAACTTGAATAAATACTTATTTTAATTAATTAATTTGAATTAAGATATTGATAAATTTTATCAAATAAAAATACGTTTTCGTTCTCAATACATATCCATTCTCAATAAGATATTGAATATTAATGACCTTGTTTGCTACCACTCGAACGTATAAATTCCAGTCCGACATGTGCGGCGTAATCAACTGCCAATCCTGCGCAAAGCAGAATCATAATGGTCGACGAGATTTCGACGGTCAGTTCCCAAAAGTACATCGACCCCAGAAGATCGATGAGCGTGAATAACACGCAACACATTACCCAAAATGACGCCACTAAGTTTCGAAGAAGCACCAAGGTCACTATTCCTACCGCCACTATCTCCAGGATCAAGTTCCTGATTAATTCTTCACCGATAATCTGCAAATTAAATCAACGACATATTTGATTAATGAGATAAAATATTTTGCAAAATTTTATTTTTACCTTATTCGATGCCCATGTTACGTAATCTAACGAATAAATCGCGATATATTCATATCCCTGAGTAAAGTTTACGGATTTCACGGCGTCTCTAATTGATTGCATGGCCTGTATTTGATCGAAGGTCGTGCTTATGGGGATGTGTTGCACCGGAATCTTCGATGTCTGAAATTATCACGCAATTTTTCCCATGTACAAAAATGTCGTATTTGCAGGATATATAAAATACATAATATATATATAGTTCTTTTTTCCGTACTGTGATGTTATAGTCATTGAATGGCAATTTATCGAATTTCACATCTTGGATATATGCTTGGCCTTTTATCGTGAACAGGAGATATTCCGAGAGAGTATTGTAATATTCATCTTTATCAATATACTGTCCTGATAGAAGATAAAATATATTAATAGCACATTTAACAAGACATTTAACATTTAACAAGGCAAAATTCATAGCTTAATTTCTTCTCGCTTGATTATATTCGTTCTTATCTCATGTTACAATAGTTACTTTACATTTCATCGTTTCGCTGTACATCAATTAAATTACCTTTGTTCTTATTGTCCAACCATTTTTGGTACGCCACGAACCATGGATCGAGAGTGCGATTATTAACGTATGGATTTCGTTTGAGGTTGTCCACCAGCTGAAACAGCGCCTGACGATCGTTGTAATAGTCCACGCCCGTCAAATATATGTTGACGTGCTTCCCGTACTTGGGAAAGTGTTCCTTCAATTTATTGTGAAACAATATCGGATAAGATTCTTGATTCAAGTACGCCAGCGGATCAAAGTTCTGGCTCAATTGAAATATCGCCCACACATTAAGGCAGATCAAGGCAGCGGTGATTAATAGGATGATTATCTTCACGGACGTTCTCATCACGCAAGGTCCGACGTACTTCTCGAAAATGATCCGTTGAAAGTTTCGCTTACTGCATTCGTTCGGTCGCCAATTAGAACGCGGTCGGCAACAACAACCGTCCTTTTTTGCTGCCAATCGTCTCTCGTCATACACCAGACAGCTGACGAAAAATGTGATCTCGTAGATGTAAAGAAACAATATACCCATTGCGGCAAACATGCAGAAGGATTTCAAGAACGGCATCACCGTCGTCATGCCTATAGCGAAAGCTACCATGTTGGTGAACGATGTCACGGTGATGGACATACCTGCAAACGTGAACAAAAGTATCAACTGAATTGTATATAAGATATCCCATTTAAATTTTAATGATGAATTCTATTAGGGTTTTCGCGCACATAAGCCCGTGTAAATTTTATTTTTAGTCTCTACGTTTTCAAAGTTTTTGGACATATATTTTTAACATGTAATTCTATGTATTATATTTTTTTTGTTCTCTTTGACATCGAGTTTGCTAAATATTCCATCGCACCTGATATTTGAATAGACTTGGCGATACGGGTAGAAATGTCCAAAGACTTGTCTGTCTCCGACATAGTCTCGAGGCTCTGCATGATGACGAACATGTCATCAACGCCGATGCCGAGCAACAAAAACGGCAGAATTGGATGCACCGGTCCATACGAAAATCCCATATAGTAGCATATTCCATAGGCCGATAGGACAGCCTGACCGACCACAGAAATGCCCATGAGAGAAAGATATATTCGTTGTTGCATCGCGTTGCACCGGCCAATCATCACGATCACGTAGATCGTGATCAACGACATGCCGCAAAACAACACGGTCATGTTACTGTTGATCACCTGATGCAGCATGTCTTGATAGCTTCGTAACGTCATCGCGTAGATCTCCATGCCCGGTGGTAGGGTGCGATTCGAATGTAGTACCCTTTCGATGAACTCGGTCTCCCATTCTGGAGAGAGCGGATTTGTCTTCTTCAGTAACCAGTACATTAACGTTGCCTTCGCGCTCTTTACTGTCCCATTTGCATCATATTCAACATCCGCCAGTAATGGCGCGATATCGGACAGTATATCTTTGGTATTGCTGTATAAAGAAAATTAATACATGAAGAATATAAATAAAAAAACATATTACATTTTAACTGTAGCGGATGTCATCGAAATAAAATTTTTAGAAAATGTATACTTGAATCGATATTAAAAGAGTAATAAACTGTAATATAAAATGCTACAATAAATTAGATTAAATTTGATTTTAATATATTATGAATGATTCAATTAATTTTGTTGTGTAAACTTTTAGCAACTCACTTATTTTGTAAAGGCTCGGTAACGTCATTCAGTATGTCTGCTTTCGTTAATATATCAATTTTCTTCTTATTGGGCTTCTGCCATAACTTTAGGAGCGATTTATGGATACAGGGTTCTTTATTCATTGTATCATTTATAATAGACAGATATTCTTCGGGAAACTCGGATTTATCCATAGTGTCCCATTTATCGTCTTCTTGGAACCATGTAAAGTACCTATAATATAACGCAAATGATTCGGTAAAATCCGAAATAATCTTTATGCTTCTACATATGTAAAAAAAAAAAAAAATACTTACCCGGCACACACATCTTCCCAAGTGTTATTCTTTATGATTATGCTTCTCACATCTCTCTCGATATCTCGAATCTACAATTAAATAATTAATTATTGAAATATAATCGGAAATACATACTTTGCAATGTGCTTTTATCAAGAGTGTTAAAAATGTATACTTAAATAAATATTTAAAAAATGCATATACATGGAAGGTGAGGGGTCATGGGATCAATGTTATAAAAAATTATTTTGATGTAATATATATAGCTAATCTTATTTCAACAAATATGTACATATATATATATATATATATGCAAAGAGACGATGCTTTGATGGCAAATGAAATGCTGATCGATTTTTAAACATGTTAAAAGCATAATAAAGATTGTGCTTTGCTGCAGACATCGTAAACAAAAATGAGGATAATTGATTTAATTATCACGGAGAGAGAATTGTGCATTAATGTGGAAAAGAACCTTCGTTGATACTCGTATAATTCATGATCGCCTATGTACCGATCGCAGCACTTCGGGATCCAGCACGTTGGGGGCAACGACGATGATACTTTCATGCCTGAGATCGTCGCGAAAGTGCTCCTTTACCCAGCTGGCATCCTCGCGAATTATAGAATCCATCGGTACGTAGAGCTCAAGCTCGTCGATCTCCTCCTTCCAGAGTAACAGTCCCAAGCCACAAACAATGTTTAGGCAAAGGGACATGATTAGCCAAAGCCATGGTTTCGTAGCTATACTAAATCCGATCCTGAAGAAGATACACGAAAACAAAGATAACATAAAATTAGAAGATTAAATAAAAAGTAATATAAACCAATATTAAATATAAAAATTATAATTAAGAGAGAATAATTAAATAAATGAAAATTAACTCGATAAAGCGTCGACTTTATCGTCATATTCGTCAGTATGATCATTATTAAAATTGAATGCAACGCCAGCGAATATCTCTCAGATATCTTACTTTAAATCTTGTAAATGTAATCCGTGATCATATGCGCGATCGTGAGACAATAGTAATCGATAAGCTGAGGTCGAGGGCAATGATCTCCAAATCAAATAAGGCAGAAACAAAAATACAAATGTCCCATTGTCAGAATTGATCTTATATATGTTAGCTCGCATGTGCAATTCAATTACCGATGTTAATGTATTGTTAATTCTGCTAAAATACAACGTGCACATTACATGTGTGTCGTTTAATAGATTTTTCTTGAATATTTATAAAAAGAGTTTATATTTTTATAAAAATATATACATATTTATAATAAAAAATTTTCATTAAATTATGTAAAATTTATTACATGTATAGATGTATTGATAGATAATTTATATAGCTGTATTTCCATTAATTTCAAAAAAATATTTCAAGCCTTTTAATGGATTTTATAAGAGTTTGAAATCTGTTTCCAATTATACGGCTAATTATTAATTAGATGTATTCAAGAAAATTCAGGGCCGCAAACAGATTTTCTTGAGATGAGACTTGACTTCTTTCTGACCAAGTCAGTTATCATCCAAGCCACTTAAGCTATTAATTAATCGCTAAACAGAGAGAAGATATGCACTTTTGCACGAGAGAGTCGATAGGGTTCTTAAGATTGTTTTGTCTTGTTTTATAAATGAGGCCTTTGATGTTCTTGGACACGCAACATCATAAATAAGAACTTTGGACAAGAAGATCTCGAAGAGTTACGTAATGTGACATACGTTAAAAATTACAGTAATCCTGAGATGGCGTAGTATAAAAATATAAATATAAAGAAGATGAGATACAATGACGAAGTAAAATTAAAATATAAAAAGAACTTGATAATAAATCTTTATGTCAGATTAATAAAAAGTAGAATCACATATTGACAGTTGTTAAAAATAATAATGATGCACCTATAGCACATCTTTATATATACATTAATCTGATATATATATATATATATATATATATATATATATATATATAAACATTTATTTACAAATTAGAAAAAAACAAATCTATGTAGAAACTAATAAATCTTAAAATTTCATAAAATAATATTGTTTAAAAATATTTTTGTATGTGTATAAATTTTTAATGTTCTTTGTATTCTTAATTATTATCATTCTGCTCATTCAATTACATTTCTGTTATCAAATTTGAAATTTTTTAATCGTGCATAAAACTTTTATATTTGCATAATTTTAGTAGGTCTCGAAAAGTTAAATTCTGAAGAAATATAATTAAAAAAATTTTTTACAAAATTATTTGCTTAACGGAACTCTTCCGTGAAATTTGTTTGATTGGCAATGAAGAATATGAATAATCAAGTACAGCAATCTCACTGTGACGTTGCGAAAATTGGCTGAAACCAGCTTACTAACCCAGTAACAGTTAATGTACGTGACGATGTCATCTATTTCTTCCGTTTGGAACTGATTATCTCAATGACTCGAGAAAGACTTGTAATGTTATAATGCGAAAAGCATTCGAATCTTTGATAGTCGCACATAATCATAATATATTAGACATAATTTGATTTTCAATTTGAAATCATTTTTCTGATTGCTTTTTAAATATAATATAATATATTCAGATAATAATGATAGAGAGAAAGAGAAAATTATATAAAATTAATTGTAAGATATATTATGCAATATTGTGATATATGTATATGATATATGTCATAATATAATCCCAAGTAGCAGACTGACGTCATTCAACGTCAAAATGACGTCATGACATCAGTCTGCTACGTGGGATGAACCTATATAATAATAATTAAACTTGTTAATATGAATTGCGAATAAATATATAATTATATATATGAATAATATATATATATATATATATATATATATATATGATTTAGTTATGTAAAATTAAAAAAATTTTTGATAAAATATAATATAATTAAACTTAAATATGCATAATAACTATATAATCATATAATTATATAACTACATAATTATTATATATAATTATATAAAAATAATCCCCAACAAACATCAAGTAACAATTATATAACTATGTAAATTATATGATAATTAGTTGGTGTTTGCTGGGATATATGATTTAGTTACGCAAGATTATAAAAATCTCTCGAGCTAATGTTTTGATGAACTTGAAATCAATTAATTTTATTCTTCGTCTTTCAGATTTTCTTCGTATTGCAGATTGATAATGATAAGAATTCGGCATCGTACCTGACCATCTTAAAAATCGATAACACAGCAGGTGCATCGATGTCGATATTTATCAGAATATTCACATTATTTATCTTTGATAATAGCATTTTTATCATTAATAATGATCAAAAATACATAAAATACTTGATTTCTTCCTCCTCAAATTAAGGCAATTTAATGGTATTTTAATATTAATTAATTATGCTTAACTATACGTAAACTATTTACCGTTCCTTCTAATAATTACTTTACTATTGCATATATATAATGTACAACGTTGCAATTTATCGCGGTAATCGTATACGTAATGTATCATTAGACAAAAGCATGTTCAGAGTACATCGTTGCTTCTCGTAGCAATAATGATATATGATATATAGTTGGCAAAAATTTATCAATCATATGTTGTATCGTGCATATACGTAATTCATATAGTATTGCATCGCATTGTAAAGTATAAAATAAACAAAGAATTAAAGAAACCTTCGTGGAGCAAAAGTGAAACCATTAATCTTATCAAGGTTCGATCTTTTGATTCTCCTCGAAGGTCCCTTTAATTTAATGCAAATCTCGTCTATCTCATGACACTGTTTCCCTCCGTTATTTATTATAAATAAAAAAAGACGATATATCTTCGGAAAGAAATTCACTCATTATGCAAATTAGTGTTTGCATATACTTTGACCGAATTATTGCTGCATTAATTTTAAAAAAATACGCTATAAAAATATAACAATATTTTCAGCATACATAAATCATGCAAACAGAATTAAATAAACAGACAGATAACTATTTCGTAGAGAATAAAATTTAAAAGACTACAAAAACATTTTTCTTTCTTTCTGTGCGTATTGTATAAATAAAAGTATAATATATACAAGAGATTGTTTTATCTGGATGACTTATCTGACTCGCGAGCTATTTATTCATGAACCTGATCCTCTACTGATCTGAAGAGTTGATTTCTTTAGTAAAGTTTCCAATTTTCAAAACATTATGGATCTTTTTTCTTCTAAATAAATTTAAAATTATTACACAAATGTTGTGTTAACGTAAAGCTTTAATTGAAATTAAATGTATAAAAAAATTCTATTCTCTCTTTCTTTCTCTTCTTTGATTATATATCTATATTTTATTTTTACTTTCTATTCTCACTGTTCATTTTTACTCTGAACGAAAGAGGAGGAGAATCTTGAACATATATTTCTTTCATTCCAAGTTCATTCCAGATAACGAGCAGTTCACGGCGCACTGGTGCATTCAACCGAGAATTCGTTTGAAGTCTGCTCTTGTTTTATGTATCACATTCTCCGGACTCTCGAAACAGAATAAATCAGGTATCACGAAGATAAAAATACACGCTCGCAATCAGACATCGAAGAAGAGAAACAAAATAAAAGACACGTCAAGATCATGAGAGCGATCGAACAGAACAGAGCTTCCTGAACTGAACGTTTCGTAACAACCGTGTTTCTATGGCTATGAACAGTAGCCAGAAATCGAGCGATGGGGTGCGGGAATCCCATACATATATACCTATATATATTACTCCCTTTTGCGCGCGCGCGCGCTATTGCAGGCATCCGGGGCGGTGCGGTGGCTGAAAAAGGGGGACACGACGTACGTCCGCCGCGTATTTCCGCACACACACTCACCGGTAAAATATCCGGTCGGCGTTAAAGTGAAAGTCGAGCAGCAACTCCTTGAAGCGGTTCCACGTGACGATGGATGACGTCCCACTCCGTTCGTCGTCGGCTATAGCTGCTGCTGCTGTCATCGGCCGATGATGAGCATCGTCGCCGCGCGCCTCCATTTCGGCGATGCTCGCTGCCGCGTCCAATTGTTGACTGGCGCTCCGGCGGTCGCTCTTTGTGTTGCCGACTGTGACTGACTGACTAACTCACTCCCGAGCGAGCTGGTGCCACTCACAGTAGCGCCGAATCCATCGGAGTCGGGATATGCCGTCCACGTGCATCACACAGGTACATCGATGAGCATCGTGACAGCGATATCTCCGCCGGCGTGCTGTGACTGTGACTAACGATGTACCTGTTCGCTGATATCTTTTATTTACATATATATATTATTTTAAATTTATCACTTGTAATATATATATGTATATGACAATCCTAGCGAAATACTCTGCTTCGATTATCCAAAAGTTGTGTAATGCAATCTTGCCGTGTCCGTCCACACTGCTATAATTATTGCAGCAATATACATTCTTTGCTGACTCTCGGAATCTATATCGATCTCTATAGGGAAGGAGGTTTACGTAATTGCTGAGAGAGACGTCCGATCTCTGAACGATCTCTCGTTTTTTCAGTCGTCGGGTCATGAATGTATATTTAAACATAGGTTCTGAAACAGACAAAAGATTTTGATTCAGTTCCAGTGACAAACATCGTGGGGTTTACTTCGTGGTTACCATCATTTGTATACAAAAGCATACGTACACATGCATCGCATCGTTGCACATGATCAAGCACAAACTCTAATACATACAAATGCATATCATATATGTATATATGCAACTATGCCCTCACTCAACAGCTGTCAGACTCTAAAACTGATGTCTAGTTCTCTCTATTGTCATTATCGCTAATAGCTGTTTCACACATCCGCACAGTGGTTCATTTCATGCGTAAGCGTAATAAGATCTGAATTTTGTGCTTCATACGTTGATTGATCGAGGAACATTATTTACGAGATCTATAACAAAAATTGTATGTATTAATTATTAAATAAAACGTAATAAATTTTTGTATTGATTTCTTACTCTATAATATTTTTTTATAATTTTTAAGATACATCTATATTGCTATAAAAACGATGCTGAACGTCTCTGCCGAAAATCTCAGTAAAATTGTATAATGAACAATGTGTAATAGTATATGTTCGATATAAATGCAAACCGAATAAATTTAAATACATGTGTACCGAATGTTGTTGTTTCTGAATATACAGATATAATTAGAGAAGATCTCTAAGTACACGTGCACTGAATGAAAGTGAGCAGAGGAGTGAGTATGTTAATCAGAATCTTGGCACGAGGAAGCACATGCAAAACAAAATACAAATTCTTATTGTTCTAAGAATATATAATACAATAAAGCAAATATTTACTATATACGATGATTTTTTCTCAGTAGAAAATAGAAAATATATATAACAATTGGAGCAAACGAATTAAATATTTTTGGCCTCAATTAAAAACAAAATTTAATTAAGAATTACAAAATTTCGCTTTTTTGCATTTCAATAAAATATTCCTGTTTCAATTAAATTTTGAAAAAAATTTAATTTTTTTATTTTCCAAATTTTTTACTGATACATTTAAACGATTTCCTATACATTATTCGGAATATATCAAAATGATGAAATTATGAACCCGCTCGTTAAGTCGTTTTCGCTGGCTCGTTTTGAATTACTTCGAAAAGATTTTTCTTCTGGCATAGAAAATGTGTCTCCTAATATTTCATTGAAAGCAATATTTAACCTAAATTTAATATCAAAACAAGATAGCGCACCATATCTCATTGAGTGCGTATGCACCGAAAATAAGGTCAAATGTTATCTTCTACGCGAATTGTTTACGATATGCACAAAAAACATTTTTTTAATCAAATTTTTTTATCTAATTTCTTATGAAAACATGTTCTGTAATTAGGTAATCTAAATATAATTAGGTAGATTTAAATAAATAGTTAAATAAAAATAGTTATAAAAAAAATAAATAGTTATATAAACCTTCATATAAGCTCATATCTGCATAAATAAAGACGCAATATCGAATAAATCAGATTTTACGGAAACAAAAAAAACATTTAATTTAAATAAAATTTTCGTATCATGCAATTATTTAGCACAAAAATATTTTTTTAATTAAATTTTTTTATCTAATTTTTGTGAAAACATATATGTTCTGTAATTAGGTAATTTAAATATAATTAGATAAATTTATATAAATAATTATATATATAAACCTTCATATAAGCTCATACATGCATAAACAAAGACGCAATATCGAATAAATCAGATTTTACGGAAACAAAAAAAAAACACATTTATAATTTAAATAAAAATTTTTGTATCATGCAATTATTTAAAATTTAAATCATTCACGTGTAGGATATTTACAGATTCTACATAAAAATTGTTGCTACGCATATACATATGCGTTTATGATATTATACGTATAGCGGTTTAGAAATATATTTGAAAGAAATATCCTCTTTAAACGGATAAATCATATTAAGCATAAAAACGAAACGTAAACGTCAGATCTATTTTAGTTATATTTTCCTTGTCTATAAAAAATCTGAACGTACATATATCAAGGTAGCTAAAATGAGCCAACGAAAGCAGCTGAAATGAGCGAATCTATCTGTATATATAATATATATATAGCGACTTGATTGATTCAACCGCCCGAAATAATCGCCAGCGGGAAAAGTTCGCGACCCTGTCTCCGTCCTCTTCGTTAGCGATATAATAGTACATCGGAAGCCGTACATGATGTTGTATGTGTACATACATGTTGCATAACAGCCGATGCACTCGCGAACAGCTGCTCGCGTGCGAATGTACCGGCGAGGCCGCATTAATCATCTGTGATACTCCCGCACACCAAGATTTCCTTCGTGAAGGATGGAAACATACCTCTCTTCCTCTCACGCTTTCTTTTTCCGTAGACGGATTTACGAGGTATACCTTTATATGCAGCCAGATCTAATCCTTTAAAACTTATAATTACCAATCTTGAAAGATTTTTCTCTTTTTTCTAAAAATCTTGCTTATAATTATTTTATTCTCTTTCTCTCTCTTCGAACGGGATAATCTCGTTCCAATTCAGAACCTAGAATTTATAATTTAAACTCGTTACTTCTCAGTTTGAATTTTTTGCAGTAGATATAATACTTTAAAGTTTAATTACCAATGGAAAGATTTCTCTCTTCTTTTTATCTTGCTTATAATTAATTGTTTTCTCTTTCTCTTTCTTTGGACGGAAGAATCTGATCCTAATTCAGAACCTAAAATTTAATTTAAATTCGTTATTTCTCAGTTTGAATTTATTGCAGCAGATATAATTGTTTAAAGCTTATATAATAATTATCAATCTCAATCGAAAAATTTCTCTCTTTTATCTTGTTGTATAATTAATTTTATTTTCTTTCTCTCTTTTCAGATGGGAGAATTTGATCCTAATTCAGAACCTAGAATTTAATCATTTAAATTTGTTACTTCTCAGTCTAAATTTATAAATATTTATTCGCCGTCGTATAGTTTAATTATAATAAGATTCAATTTAACGATGAATAGTGTGTAATTAGGATTAATTGTACTTAATGATATGATTATAAATAAACGGCAGAAAATGTATGAAGTAACACACACATGGATAACTCTATTATTATGTTGTTGCACATCTGCGATAAAAACACAGTCGCTTGTACCTGATGGATGTAAATAAATATTTATAAAGATGTGAAGCATTACAGATGAACATGGATGAATATGCGAGGTCATGATACTGAAGTTCGAGGTCTCTCACTCTCTTTCTCTATCTCTCATCAATATATAGATAATATTATCTAAGAGGAAAATTTTTAACACGTCACCGCTTCATACAAATCTGCAGCATTTATCGAATTAATTACAAGTGTCGAAAGATTACGGAGTAATAACAAAGGCGATATATTCATCCGAAAGATTGAATTCAGGGTCAAATGTAACTATATATTCGGCATTAAATGCGAGGTTAAATGCACAGTTGATTAGAATAAATTTTACAGTTTGACTCTCGCCTGTTGTTGAAACATGAAGACGAATTACCTTATTTTCTTTTTTTAGTAAAAACGATGAGTTAATTCGCTCACACAGAACCGGACGATCAAATTTTCAGCCAAATGCAACATTAATGTTCCATACGCATCCATTACGGTCTCGGTACTCGATATGGTTAAAGCATGTCTTTCCGTAGTGAAGTTAAGTGCATTTGAGTGCGCACTCTAGTCATAGACTCATAGTAAATATAGACTAACGTACCCCACTTTAATTCTAAGCGGCGCGTGTCAGTGTGTACCATAATTAGAAAACATTCTCACGAATGTATACTTATTCCTTTACATTCACGATCACTTTTCTTCTCCGAGAGGCGATACACCATTTATTTTATTCCTTATTATATATATATATATATATATATATATATATATATATATATATATAATTTTTTTATTATTCATATTATATAATATTATATATATGTATACATATTATATACATATATATATAAATTTATTTATTATTTATATTATATATATATATATAATAAATATATATTATATTAAATAATAAATATTTATACTAAATAAAATTAATTAATTATTTATATTATATAATATATATATTTATATATATATATATATTCATTATTATATGTATATTACTCTTTTTTTATTATATTAATTATATAATATATATATTATATATTATTTATGAAATAATATAATTAAATATTAATATATGTTATTTTTTTATCTATTACGATTCTAATGTCTTTTCTCCTTTTAAATTGCGCGCGCAGCGCTTGACCAAAATTCAAAGTATAGGTTGTAATCTATGCTTACTATTTGTTTATAGTTCCAAAATGAAATTGCACCAAGTTTGACAACCTGGCGCATGCGCGTCTAGATACTTGTACATATATATCATGATATGTGTGACTTGCAAAGCTTCAGTTCGGCATTTCGGCAGTCTGTAAGTATCGAGATATATATGTATACATTATAAAATATAGTAAACGTAAGATTAAATAATGAAGAGGGCGACTCGACATACATGATTCTCAATATATAATTTTCCATATTTTGAGGCTATCACGATATGCGCACAACGTCGTGACAGAATGCGCGTCATGTACGTCATCGAGTATGTCGAAAATTTGCGCGGGAAAAACTTGTAGATATCTCTGCGTATTTCTTGGAAGATCACCGGCGGCGATGAGCTTCGCATCGAGGCTAGACGATGAGTATCGCGCGAACGGTAATTTCAACGTTTTCTTCGTGCTGCCTTTGTGTTGAGCAGTCGGTCTTTAACTGTGTGTCTCTCGACCTGAATACGTAATACATCTTATATATTAAATTGCACCCTTTCAGGGAACATAATTTCATGTATCATTGGCAACGAGAGCTGCCGCTGCCTCCGGCCGAGAGGAAAGGATGGAATTACGACTTCTTATCACAAAGCCACGCGCGAAAAGTCGTGGATTGCTCATCTGCTGCATCGTAATGGTACTCGCTTCACGAACGAGAGGAAACGGAATAAAATTATCATGTCCAACAAGGAAAAAAAAGATTTCCATTCCTGCTCTGCTTTCTTTTGCAAGAAAATGACGCTTTTATTCTTAGGTAAAAATCTTATTTACCGGTGCATGCAAAATAACTGTATAGAATATTATTTTAACGCTGAAACATAAAATTAAGATGGCATATTTGAAAGTTTTAACAAAAAGTTTTAATAAAAATTTAATCAGATTTTTGTATACAATTTTCAAATAATTTATTGAAAAATTAAAAAAATTAAGAGGCATTTGCCAAATTGAGCTTTAGAAAAAAACAGATATTTCACGAAATCGTATTTTTTAAATAAATGTCAAGAAACGTTTTTTTAAAATATTTTTTAACGTTGATAATAAATTAGCTTATGTTGTCAGATTATAATACATGATCTCTGTTCTAAACTTTTTTGTAAAGTCAGAAATGGAAATTTCCAAAGTTATATTATCTAGATAAAATCTTAATGTAAAAAAATGTTCTATAGATCATGAATTCAGACTTGATGCAAAACATAAAACAGCTGGAATCTACGTGGACCATATCTCACTTTTATATTATAAAGTCTATTAGTTTGACCTATGCATCGATGACGATAATTCGCATCTGTCCTCATTCGTGCAGCGTTTATGCAGGCTAAACAAATTGCCGGATCCACCTAGGCCCGGCGACTCCAAGGGGGGTCAAAAAGACGAATCAAGTTCGAGCTCCGCGCCCCTAAGTAGGTCTTTAGCCGTTCAAAGACCGTTATCCGGCTCGCGACCTTCGACAAACAATCCGTCTGCGGTCGTTTGTCCTCGCGCAACAACGCCGTTGACCGGATCTCGCGACACACTGCGCTCATCCAGCTTCCCATGCTGCGCCAGTTGAAGCGAGTCGATCCGAGGATGATATCGATTACTTCTTGTTGATTCGGAGGACCGTGATTGCGAAAATCGCAGTTGCTCAATTTCCACAGTTTCTGTAGTTCAATTCATGAATATCGAGACTTGAACTTTATTTTTATTCCATCTATTGCTGCACTCGCGTTATTCTAATTTGCAGTAATAATTAAAAAGTATTTAGTACATCAATGATAATTAATCTTGTAGAAATTGAATACTATAGAAAATCTTTAATTATATTAATTATATTAAATTTCTAGAAAAAATAGAACACAATAAATCTACTGATTCAATTAATAGTATACTTGATATACTAATAATATACTTGATATGATATATTAATAGTATACTTGATATAATTAATTCTACGATTGAGAAAATGCAATGTAGAGATCAGTATTTTTTAGATATTTTTTGAAAAAAAAAAAAAAATAAATAAATCCAGCATTATGTGATTGATTCTTAAAAGATTAATTGATATTAATATTGAAATATATTCATGTATTCCACTTTTATAAGTAATATTTACTATTTTCTCATCTTATACTTATCTATTCCTTTTTTCTTCTAGAGAAAGAGACGGCAATTCTTGCTACAAAAAAGCGAATGATAGCCTTCGTGGATCATTTGCATATCTAGGATCCAAAGACTCATCTCCCACGCGTGGATTCCTGCTCGTCTCTTGCGAGCCTCCTTTTCCGGAAATACCGGCCGACCGATCGACCTTGGATGGATCAGAACAGGAATGCTTTCAGGTAAATCGATGACTCCTTCACCGGTTTCTTCGATCCCATAGTACAACGTGTAACAGGTCCTCCCGCGCGTAACGAAACGATCGTTCGGACGAATGTGGCCAGGTAATTGACGAGATAAACCGGCGATGGCCGAAGGTGTCAAGGTAGGGAGTTCACTCCCGGAGCGGAGTGAATGCCTTTTCCAGCAGCTCCGTTCTGGCAACTTCAGTGTTCCTGGTGCCGCATCGACCGATGGGACTTGTCGTCTCTTCGCGCGCGGTCGCGATCAAGAAAACTAAAGGTAGAGAGATACCGGTGGATCGGCGGAATCAAGTTCAACGATCGACGAGTTGATCGATCGCGTTGGTCGATTAAATCGCATCGTCGAGCGAAGATCGCCAGCGTGAGTAACATGTTCGCCAGGCAATTTATCGCTTCGAGCAAAGGTCGATTATTAATTTAGCAACATCACAATAAATCAAATACACGCGTGTATCTCATTTATTAGCAGTTCTGGCTTTTGATACTCGGTGTAATAAGAGATACCATTCTCTGTTTACTCTAACTAAAAAAGGCCTGCTAGTCAAGAAAATTAAAATGCAGTGTGTGTATATTTTTCCTCATAAAATCTGTGAACTATAGAATTTAAAAAATATTCGAATAATATTAACTTTTTAATTCAGAATATTTTATATCAATATTATTTCAAAATTAATAGTATTAAAAGTAACAGTGACATTTTTACTTATTTTAAATGCAGTGTATAAAAATGTGACGATGAGTAAATATCTTTCTTAGGATTAAATCTGATTATAGAATTTGTGAAATATTCTGTCAATTTCTCTAAGATTAAACAAAAAAGAGCACATGAGAAAATTAGTTTCTAATTTAACAACAATGCAATAAAGTGTAATGTGTTTACAGCAGCACTACTGCAACTAATTATATTGTGCACACATTGAACAATATATTAAGAGTATATATTATACATGAAAATTCTTTTAAGATCTTTTTGCAATCTTCAAACAATATCTTTAATAATATTTTATAGTCGGAATAATTCAATCATTTTGCAAAATTACATTTTATAATTATTAAACTATAATTCCAGATTTCTTCAACTCACTTTTTTCTATGCTAATAATATTTTTATTGAATTTAAAGGATGTGAAAAAATTAAGGTAATGAGATAATGAATGGTATGTGATATTAAACAGATGTTAAAATTTAGAAGATTCGATAATATTTTAGATATTTTTAATATATCATATACGTAAATAAAAAAAATATTACAAAAATTAAAAAAAAATATTATTAAGCAAAACTGTTAGTTCTCACGATTTAAATTTAAATGTAATGGAGTAGATTTAAAAGTAGGATAAATAAGAGGCATATAAACGCGATATGTTTTACAGATGCGACCGAATTTGAGGTCAGTCGCGATAATTCAAGTGTCTGGGTGCACTATTGAATATCGGTCGAATACTGAATTTCCAATGAAATTTAACGGTTTTAGAAAGCCGTGAAACGGCTACTGATAGAACAGGAATCATAAAATCAAACAATAATTTGCATCAAAAATTTTCGGATAAATATGTGCAAATATTTAAATATTTTTCTCTCATTATTTGTAATGAAATATAAATATACTCTTAAATTATTGCAATCTGATCAAAAGAGACATAATTAAATCGTTCGATATTTGAAACATCAGTCTTTGCGTTAAAAATTGTGGTTTTTTTTTATTTTGATATTTCCGTTATCAAAGTAATTATCAAACGAGCCTATATAGAAATAATAATTAGAACTGAACGAGTGATAGAAAATTATACACGTACCATAATTGCTTGGCTCATTTAGCGAATAATTGTGGGCTTATTGTGCGAGCCAACTTTTAATTGTCACGCTTCACCTATATACGTATTTCATAAAGCTGAATATAAATAAATCAAATTTCTATTGTTCAAATTTAATTATTTTAACATTATTAGATACTGATTGCAGTCACGAATTGTGCTATTTTCTTATTCGAAAAAGCACTTTGATATAATTAATTTATAACATTTATATTATTTTATTTAAATTATCGCGTATGTATTTTTAACTTTCTCGTCAATATAAACATTATATGATTAAATAACCATAAACTAAATAATAGGAAGAATAATAGGAACAAAAAGAATGTAATTGTGCGTCGTATAATTCGTGCTTTATTAACAATAGAAAAATGTGTGGAAGAATAAATTAGTTACGCGCGTTAATTGTTCGTGAGATTTAGAGAAATCGAACGAAGAGAAAATTGTCGAATAAGAAAAGATGTTTTTATAACTTACTTTATTTAACAAAAACTATTAATCTTCGCGCAAATAAGCGCAGCATCATACTCTCCAACATGACGCAGCGATCATACGCGGTCTTCAAGGAATTTTGTCGAGTAATTTTGACTTTAAATGCTCTTTCTCTTTCTCTCTTTTTCTTTCTCTTCATCTCATCGCAATGTTGGCCAGCACGCACGTGGTTAGCACGCTCGTCACTCTCTCCCGGAACGGAGCTTTTCCCTTCCGTTTCGGGGTCACGCTTTAACATACAAGTACTTTCGATGTGAACTATAAAATGATATGTTATGAAGAATTTATATATTATAAAATGTATTTTAAAATATATATATATAAATTCTTCATAACATATATTTTAATTTTTTTATTAATATTATAGTAATAGATTAGTAAATCTATTATAGTAATAGATTATAGTAAATTCTAAGAAAAAATTCTCTCTGTGTAGAAGTTTCATATGGAGGAATCTTGCAAAATTTTTAGCTAAAAATAAAATAGCGTATAAATTAGATTAATTAAATATTTGCAAATTATAAAAATCGTTTCTGCGATTCATAACAGTATTTATTAATCAATAAAAGTATCACGCTGTTATCGCGATTGTGAACGTGTAATAAATTTTAACGAGCATTATTATGCCGTATTTAGGTTTTGCTCCTATTTCTTCAATTATGAGGTCACAGCTGTCAATCGCTGAATAAGATGCTACAAAAAAATAACTTCGACGAAATAATCCCGGAGGGGTTTTCTCATGCCATCGTTCCGCTTACATTCGTCCTACAATTCATTCGAACAAGAACAAAAAAGAGTTCACGTAAGAGAGTACGAGCATTTAGACAATCGTGATTACGTGCGCGAAACCTGCATCCTTGTGAACATCTTTCTTCTCTTCTCTCCGTTACAACACTCTAAAAATCCCACGCATTCGTTACGCTGGAATAGCGGGAATCCGACTATTGACTCTTAGAGAGACCGTATAGTCGTTAAAATTAGTCACGAGAAATTATATCCATCATAGAACAATCATTTTGCTGAGGTAGAATAGGACAATTCGAGAAATAATAGTTATTTCCGCAGTAAATAAAACTATCATTTTATACGAATCTGTACATCTATTTTACACGTATTTTTGCCACTTAAAATGATTTTTCTCGTTTCAGAATCATCATGATCAGATTCGCGATTTTCGTCCTTGCGATTAATCTTGCGAGTGGCCAGCTTAACTACGAGGGAAACCCGTTCACGGAATACACCGAGTACATTGCTCAAGAGAGCAATCTTTCTGAAAAATCTGCCAGGAAGAATGACGCCCCTTTCAATTTCTCGAACTCCGGATCAACGCATTCTCAGAAGCTGTATCCGATCATAGAGTCCGAAAGCGACAAACATCTACAGCAAGTGTCGGAACCCGAGAATGGCCTTTTTACGGATAAATTGCAAAAACAAGCTTCGTTCTCGATCCAGGTCGTCCGACCGAACGTTACAGATATGCATTCAGCTCGACACTTCCAAGTCTCTTCGGACCAGAACACGGCGGAGTTCGCGCTGAACACGTTCCTGAACTCCAAGACACCTGAAGAGTCCCGCTTATCTCTGGATCACTATATCCGCAGCCAAAACTCACCAACATCTAACCAACACTCGCCGAACGCTCAATACCGATCCTCCAACGTACTCATCCATCAGGATAAAAAGGCGATTGTCGAACCAACGCTCGACGTTCAGCGGCCATTAATCTCGCAAGTCGAGCAACAGCAGCAACAGTTAGTAGCTCCTCAGGTAAATCAGCAGCTGACATCGCAAGTGAATCAGGGTCAGCTGGTGCCGCAGCTGGTGCCCCAGGGCCAGCTGTTACCGCCCACCGGACAGGCTTATGACTACGTGGGGCAACCACCTCCGATTCAGCCCGTGATCAGGGCACCTGCGGGAGTCATCCTGGGACAGGGGATGTTGCAGCCGGTACCGCTCATGTCCGGCTTTCAGAGGAGCGACATGATAACGCCAGCGATGTGGCGAGAAAGGATGAGAAGAATTCGCGGACAGCCGTTCCCGTTTGCGCAACCTAGGTTGACACCAGGAGTGTACAAAGGAGCGATTGCAGGTAAGTCTGAAAGAGAAAATATATGATAGCGATTTCAAGAGAAGATAGCCTTGAATGCGAGACGGAATAATAATTTTTTTTACGAGTTGATTTAAGATAAAAAAACTTTGTGTTCTTGACAAAAAGTTTAGCTTGTGATTTTCTTCACTTGCATAAAAATATCGTTATTCAAATCTGTCTCATGTTTAAAATTACGTACTTCTTTCAATAATCGACATTTTATTAACGATAAAAAAGCATTTAACTGTGAAATGATCCAATATTATTCAAATATAACTACGGGATAAAAGGATATCTTGAAATTATTTTAGAACAAAAAAATTACACCTATCATATAAATAATTTAAATTTAAATTACTTTAACAATAAAATATTTCTTATATTGAACTACAAAAAATCTTTTATAAAAGCAATTTTGAAATTCCTCGAGAATTATTCATACTGTTATTTTGGTTTGCATCAATAATATAGTATCTTAATAAGCAGTACTAAAATGTGCTAAAAGGCGTGAATATTTTGATGGAAGTGACCTTTAACTACGATATGCTATCCGGATGTGTATTATGCCATGTTTTGTATCATTCCGACATGTTTTTCGTAACTTTATACGTAAAAGAATAAATAATTTCCATTAGCAATGTTTTTTTTAATCGATCTATGTTCGCGCAAATTTATGGATCACACTCGATCGATCGTATATTTACATAACTAGCATCTAAATATATAGGAATCTCATTCCTTCCAGCATAATTATTTACGAGCTATCGCACATGTCATGCATATATTCCAGCATCTATAAAAAGTAAACAGATTCTGGAACAATAAGAGGACTCATACAATGATTAATTTTATGACCAATTGACAACGCTTTTCTTTCAAAGACGTATACTTTTTTTGTATTCAACAGTGAATAGCATTTGAATAACATTAACGCACATTTGCAAAACAGGCGAGTGTATATGAATTATATAAGATACGCTTAGTACATCATGATAAATTAAATCTTTCACCTTTCGGATATCTCAGTTCCCTTCAAGTCCAAGGCTCCGATCGAGGTGATTTATACGAAGCCACCGGGTTTCCATCGAGGACCGCCCATCATCAGCAATCCGCCGATTCCCTACGAGGATGCGAGCGCCTGGTTCCCGGAAGCCGATCATCCGCCATCTCAGAAGGATGTCTATTATTCGCAGCTATACGCGCAGTCCTACGATCCTCATTATTACAATTACATCGCCACGACCGGGAAGATACGGCCGCATCTCTACGGGAAGCTGGGCAAGAACGAGGAGGAAAAGGACACCGGCATCTGGTCGGAGCTGTACCGCGGCTTCACGAAGCACGGCCTGAAGAACATCATGACGCCGACTTTTCTGCTAGGTATGACGCTACCGGTGGTGACCCTGATGCTCTCCGCCCTCGTGCAAAAACGATCCATCGCGCGATCGGACGGGGCACGAGAGCTGGATCAGGATGTTCTACGAGAGTATCTCGAGAGGCTGCAGAGAGCGATGGAGTGTTACGCCGATAGGAACTCTCAAGGCGCGAAACTAGACGCATGTTAGAATTAAAAGTGAATTCTTATGCTGGACGAGCCGTTGAATGGAATGATGGCGCGACTTAAATGAGGCAAAGTAATCCGGTCTTAATGCCAATGTTGGTATTAATTATTCAGGCCATAAAAACGCATTGTAAATCTGAAAAATTAATGTGTCATAGCGAATGTAATATTCTCTGATTACTCTTTTATTATCGAATAAGATTGATTTATTATCGACATTGATGCTAGGACCGGGATATTTTACCGCGTAATACTTAAAGTACTATTTCATTCGACGGCTTAAATGTGGCTGTTTGATTCTGAGATTTATTTATGAAAATTACGCCTCTTAATTTAATGAAGTAAAAATTGAATAGCCACATTTTACAATAAATATATGGTGAGAGTATGGATTTTATTGATGCTTAAATCGTGATAAAGAACACTAATATTGCGCGCGCTGTGTAGAAGTAAACGTGTAAAATGCTTTTAAGCGGCCATGCTGACTAACAGGTGTGATAGTTACGACCTATCATTTTTTCGATATGTCACACCTAGATATTTTCTTAAGAAACAGGTCATGAGAGATCGCTGTTCAATTTTTAATATCATGAATCTTTAGAAGTTGCGAGGAAACTTTGATTTATGTATTAAAGGCATTTTGAAACGACATGAATTTATAAATGACATAAGATGCCTTATTCGCAAGATAAGGGATTGATAAGTTAATTATTGCCGTACAAAGTACGTAATATATATAAACATGCATTTATGAATCAATAATTTCATAACCGAAGAGAAAGGATTCATATATTATAAGCAAATTTAATTTCGAATGGAACGATCGCTTCCGGCAATTAATGCAAAAAGCAGATTGCTATTTTTCGCACGAATTACACTCTCGCGATACTTTTAATGATACGCACGCGATCTGCAATGTATTATTAGTATTGCGCAAGAGACCAGCGTCTCTCTCATGTCTGTTGCAAGTCATCACTAAAAAGAAAGAAAAATCTGCCGAAACGATTTTTCAATCCCCCTTTTCGGTTTAAATTTAGAAGAATACAATAACGTAAGGCGAGTCACGCAGACTTGCCGATGTGCATCGACTATATCTCGTGTATATATAATATAAAAATACATAACACACATATATATACATATATTTACATTTGAAGCCGGTGCATTTTGTGTCTACTGTTCCTAGCACAATGAATATTCCCATGCATTCTTCATCTATTCCGGAAAACAAATCAAACGTGGAAGTTTTCGTTACATTTTGGAGACGAGAGAAATCGTCGTGAGAAAACTTTCACTCATCTCACAGTCACCCAGTTCACACGATGAATACAGATGAAGGCGAAAAAATTAATTAATATTCTTTAATATAATATTAATTATTTTTTGTCCTTTATTTTGTAAAAAATATTATATTGAAAGAGGAGAATTAGAGAGGAATTTTAGCTTCGTTTTGTAGTGATATGCAATTAAATGCAAAGCGAGACTGGCTTCGAATTCTAATCTCAAATATTGCAACTCATCACGTCTTCTATTACAGACCATCGCCTAACTTACCAATTCATTAATATATGTTCAGACTAATGTAATTGACCTTGTCGTTAAATTGTTAATCCGGCATAGTTCGCTGGAATTGTCCGTACGTGCATTCGAGCTGTAGTTATTAGACTTATTATATGCACAACGCGTAAAGTTACATTATGTTAAAGCATCGCGTGCAGTGGCGGTGCATTAAAAAAGAAAAAGTTCGTCAAAAATAATAACGTCGTGCATTATGTAAGAGATTTTTAGAATAAAAATGCAGTTTTAGTTTCAAGGAGTTTTTGGCGAACGTAAATAATTCGCAAAAATATATTTTCTTGATTTACGAGTTGTAGGCAAAAATTTCTTGTCAATTATAATAATAGTAACTATCAAATTAATTCATATCTAAAAATAGAATCGAATCAATTTTAAAAATAAAAATTATAAGATATATAATGAAAATAATAATAAATAATACATAATAATTATATTTTTATATTAAAAATTGTTTCTTTATGTAATGATGAAAAGGAAAAGGTTTTATAAGAAAGATTATGGCAAGTTATAAGATATATTATTCGAAGTCACGCTTATACGGGTTAGAAAATATTATAATATTAATTAGATCAGCATATAAATTAGGACCAGCCGGTTTTACCGGTTATTTCAGATCTGTATTATCAGGATGCAGTGACCCAATTTTTGGAATACTAAAAAACCTGTTCGAGTGTATAAACCGTTTAATAAAATGTAGGTTACATCAACGGTATATGTTTGTAATTAGTTGAATCGACAAAATTTCTAAATTAAAAAAAGATCTTGAGAAGTATAATTATATATTTTTTGAGTATTTTCGAAATCTAATATCTATTATAAATAGCTATTGTGAAAGTCAGATTATTAATCGATAATTCTAATTAGTAACTTTCTAAATTTCTAAAAAGAACTAGAAAATTAATTAAGGAACATAGTTCATATAATATTTCTTAACTAATAAGCAGGTTTCGTAAGTGATAATTAGTCTAATTTTTTTTTCATTATTGTATTTCAGCGGCACAAAGTTTGAAATCAAAAAATTTCTCGGAAATGATTTGAAATGTTAATAGAGGTCAAATTATCGTCGCGACTTTCGATCAAATTTCACATCAACGACTGATATCAAGTTGGAGAATGGGCTTACGTCGCATAGGCTTGAACTATCCCCATTGATTGCAATCGCTTTATTTAATCGAACGTTTGATGACTCAGCTCAAGGGTCATGAGACTCAGTTACTTGTCTTACTTACAGCATAAATAATCACATGCCGTTATCAGGATTGACTACTGTAAGTCGAATAGGCAAATGTTGCATTGCAAAAGAGAGAAAGAGTCATCTAATCGCAAGTTTTTAAAAATATAAAAATTGATGTTTAAAATAAAATTTTACAAAAGCGAGAGACTTATTGTGATCCTTCGATCGTAAAGGAATTAGGACGAGAAATAAATAAACATGCCATTTATTAAAATAAATTCTAATTTGCTCCATAAAATTCATAGACGCTACATCAGAAAAATTCTACATTTGATACACAATTAGGTGACACAGTATTAGTATTGCCTTCGATGAAGCACGACATTTTCTACAAATATAACTGCCTTCATGTATGTACAATGGCATGTACTTTAGTATGGTATAGACCTCTGTGTCGCTAACTATTAAGTGTTGTTGGCAGCGGAGGCAGAGCTTTTATTGGCATGTGATCGTGTTGCAACTTCGACCGTTGCACGAGACGATCATTGTCACGAATGAACGATAAAGACCAATTTGTTCGATTTGCATTTAAATTCTCTATTTAATTGATCAGTCTTTATTTCGACGAATTAATGCGTTAATTAAGTGTAATTAAATCTCTGATTTTATCGTGCCAAAGTCGCTCTGTACAAACGGCAAGTATAAAATATGTGCGTTTTAGATTAGTATGTTAACAGTTCATGCAATTTCTTACACATAAAAAATGTTTCAGTGCGCACGAATAGTATATTTTGAGAAGAAGATTCTCAATTTTTACAGACAATTTTTCAGCTAAAATGTTTCTAAAAAATTATCTATAAATTTCAAGATTTCTTAAAGAGAAAAAAAATCAATGAATTAAAAGAGAATCGACGAAAATACATTCTGTAGAATTATATTTCTAATCTCAAAATTAAGACACAAATATTTAAAATGTTTCAAAAAATAATTTTAATAAAATTTATCGGAATTTTTAGCCAGTGTCTTCTTTTGATTCCAAAAATTCAAATCGCGTCGAATAAATTCTCGTCGATTGCTTCGGAATTCATTCATTTTCGCAGATTTATTTTCGACCAAGGCGACTATTTTTCTTGACAGCCTTGGCCTATTTGTAACAACAAAAGAAATCTTTATGTAGATTGCATTCGGTTAACGAGCTGTATTTCAAGAGACTAGAGACCTGACTATATTACTAAATATAATCTATATTATTTTTTAATATAGCTTATATTTTTTAATATATACATATTATATGCTTACAACACAGTGTATAATTACAGTTACAAATTTTAGGAGCAATCAAATAAAAATTATACGTCTATTTATCAATTAAGGGAACGTTGTACATATCACTTTGTATATTTTGCATTGCTTTTAACTAGGCAAGGTGCATTTCAATAGAGCTCAATTTTGCACTTTGCATACAAAATATGTTCAGCTCAGTTCACCATGCAACTACAATATAGGTATAATTGTCTAATGTGTGTTTAGACACGGTTGACATGCAGCGCGTCGCGTCGTCTAATAAAATCTTACAATCAGTGTTAAACTATAAAATTATGTCCAAAGCGTGTGCAGGACATAGTTCTCAAACAAAGTTTTATTTCAGTAGACGTACTGAAATTCATAATAAAAATTCTCTTTATACATATGTTATCGTCCCAACATATATACACATAATTAATATATATGGCAATATATATATTTTTTATTATTCTACCTACAATATGTATATATTAATCTGAATCTTGTAAAAGTATCTTTTCCAAGATCTTGGTGTTTCTTCGACTGATAATTTGTGTGTTACGCTTCCGCGTATATATAATCTTATCCTAATTTTTCATCAATTGATATAATCTGCTCAGATGGCTTAGTATCATAAGGCTCTTTTTCGTTAAAGTTAGTCAGTTTAAAAAATCAAAAATATCGAAAAAGGAGCAAATTAAGTATATTATGCTTTTATTACGCATCGTAGCCTCTCCTGCTATTTTCTGCTTTGGAACGTCATCTAGCGATGTAGGCTAACATATTTTCTAAAAAATTATTTATTATAATACTCACGTCATTTCACGCATTTTTCTTTTTTTTTCCTTTTCATCTTCATAAAGATATAAAGGATAGAGATACCTACCTACTCTGTACTAATTTATTCAAACTTTTCTTCTTTAAACGCGAGATTAATAGCTTGCCCGACATCCTTCACGATGAACGCCGGCTTGCATAGACTATCGTCAACCGGCAGGTAATCCCTAGGACTATGATCAGTTCTGAATTTGGAATCTGGCTGGTACACGCCGGTCTCGACTAAAATACTAATGCAGGCCTTTGCATCAGGACACTTCACGTTATTTCCGAGGAGCTTCTCTAGGCTGCGAGACTTAGTACCTTCTCCGGATTCGTAATGGGATAAATACTTGTCGTATAAATTCGCGCCAAAAACATCAGTATTGATGTTGTCACTGTAAAAAAAGCAAATGTAAATTGATCTACATGTATCACATGTTATAAATTAAACACATCTACGATTTTTATTATTAACACATACCCGATAGCGTAAATTGTGTCGACGTTCTCGATTCCGATGCTACTAGCGTGATTTACGAGCATTTGATTGGCATGATAATATGTAATCTCACTAGGTTTTCCGACTAGAGCAGCATATGTCATGTCTTTGCCTGTGACTTTCTTGTACAGGCTTTCGAGGCACAATAAGAAAGCGCCGTGGCCGTATCGGGGAATCGGCGCCTCCGATGCCCACAGCAAATCCATGTTGCATGCCAACACTGGAATGTGCGGATAAGGAACAGCAGTAGGCAATCCTGTGGGCATCCCATTGGTAATTAGGAGGTCTACCATTAATTGCAACGGCGTTTCCCAGTTTATCGGCTCGCTTAGAAGCACGATCCCCTCGATTTGCGGGAAATTTGAATCAACTGGACCGCAAATTGGATTTCTCTTCTTCATATTTACATAATCTAAGCTCGGAAAATTTTTACTAATTCCTCTATGGTTGTGGTCTTCTCAAAACCCAGTTCTCTGGCTATATCTTTTATTGGACCTTGACCCGATATGAGAACCTGTTTATTGTGAAGATAATCGAACATCTGCAATGGTGAATGTGCCAGCACAACTTGAGATTCCGCAACTTCAAAACCTATCCATTTTGAGAGATCCGCTGCTTTCTGACTGCGCAATGAATTTCCACTGTTGGTAACAAATAGTGTAGGGATGCGAAATTTTCCATTTTCTCCTTGAAGCCGCTTGAAAGATTCTCTTACTGGTGGCAATACTTGTCTTCCACGTACTATGACACCATCAATGTCAAAAATTAGACCAAAGTTTGGCTTTGTACTTAAATGCTGTGTAAACAGAAAAAATAAATCTGTTATTTAATATTGTTTAAATATTTATACCAAATTCTATGTATACAAGAGATACAGAAAATTTCAAAACCATACATGATATTAAAATATTTATATTTATCTTTTGGATAATCTGGCATGAGCGCAGATACAAAAATATCTTTAACTCGAGGATGCGATAAAGATTAATTTTATCAGAGAAGAAATACGCAGAGTGTAAACATATTTGTATAAAAAAAAAAAAAATTAAGCACAAATAGATATTTCTGTTATTTATCAATACTTTAATAAGCACTAAAAAACGTCAAATGAGTTAGCGAATAGGAAAAAAACCGGGACCTCTAATGAATATTTTAGAAGCCTGTTATATCTTCCATGAGTCCATACACGCGTATTGCATATACATTAAACTAAAAATACCAAAGGCAAAGTTATGAAACTCCCCCGAAGTATTATGTAAAACCCGCTTAATATAATAACACGCTGTCACATATTATATGATAACGCAATACGCGAAATAAATCAAAAGAAGAATGGACCGCGCGAGAGTGAGAGAGGTCATAAACAAACCTTGCGGAGTGACAGTCCGAAAAAGAGAAATAGGTAAAGTGCTATACTCACTCGGACTCCGGTGAATCTCGTCCCGACGTCCAGCCGCAGCAAAATATTGGCGAACGTCATGTTGACGTTTCGACTGAAGAGAACGAGAACGACGACTCGCGCGACCGACCCGAAACGCGACCTCAAAACACTCGCGGGCCGCCTGTCGCGGCTCGATTATACATAATGATGTGCTTTGAGGTTACGTTGACCCCGCACACACTTCATTGTACTTTCGCACGTGCCGAAGAGCACAGATGACACGAGAGAGAGGACACGACGCACGACGTTCGGACAGAGTGGAACAAGTCATCGCGATGTTGCACTTACACTCTGTTATCTCTGCACTTCGGATGATAGGGCGGACTGTTATTCATCGTGGATTATAAATTTGTAGACGTGGCGGATTAAAATCACCTTCGGTTTTGACGTAAAAGAGCCGGGAATTGAAGTCATTTATTCGTTCTTCGTTCATTGAACTCTGAATCTTCCAGGATGATCTAATTCTAATAGAAAAGGACAGTGATCGCGCTGGATGGTTCGCTATCTTTGTTTGGTATCGTAGTGAAAAACATATTTATTTTATATGCGTTTTATAAGTTGGAAAAAAAAGAAATAATTCATACACGCACATTTTCGATTTGAAATTTATGAGTGAAACGAAAATATATCCCGGGGAAGCTTCCGTGTCGCTTTTAATATGTAAATATCTGAGAAATGTTTTTAGTTTAGATGATATATAGTGTAAAAAGAGACAGATAGCCAACCAAGTTCAAATAATTTTCTATAGGATAGTATAAACTCACTTTAGTGCACTATAGATTCCACTGTTTCGATTCATACAGTACCGTACGTTTTTGGCAAATTACGCCAAAATGTTTATCAAGCCATTCAAAATCAAGTCCAATTCTCTGCTGAAGGGAACCGAAAGGTTTGTGGAATTTTTCATCAATTCAATAATCCTTTTAATGAGGTTAACTTTTTATAATACATTTCATGTATCTACCTATCACATTGTGCAAACAAATATTTTCTCCCATGAACTTTTAAATATTTTATATAAATTATGAAAAGTGAGAACAAAAATTCACGAAATTAACTATAATATCTTAAATTAAATTAATGTGTCTATGCAGTAATATTTGAATACATTGCACTGTAATATATTCAGCTACGCTAAATAAATAAGATGTAATTATTTTGTTATATTTCTTCTAGGAAAAGATTATGCGAGGAAATATTGGCAGCATATCCAAGTTTATCGGCAGACATTCAATTGTTGCTGCCTAAAAAGGAGTCTATCAGCCTTATGAAGATAGTAACACACAATGGACAGATAGGCAGAATATACTGCGTCGCCAAGATACCCATGTTCTTTCAACTGGATTCATACAACATATTATTTCCCACAATTTATACATTATGGCACCATCCATGTTTGTTTAATACCTTCACTACACATACGCCAGTTATATCCAAATTAGCTGGTGGTGCAGATCTCATGTTGCCTGGTTTGGTTCTGAAGGAACCAATAACGTTATATAGTTTTGGTAAACTACCAAAAGGTTCTCCAGTAGCGATTAACACTGAAGAGAACAAGGTTTAAATTTTTATTTTCCTGCCAATTAATCCAATATTAAAGTATCAATAAGAAGAATCTCTGTAGAAAATGTTTTTGTGTGCAGGCTACAGTTGCCGTTGGTATCACCGCACTTTCCAGTGAAGACATGTATATGGCAGCTGGACATGGGAAATGCGTAGAGATTTTTCATGTCATTGGTGATATGCTTTGTCAATTAGGCAAGCCACCTTTAAGGCCTGATTTGGGGCCACCGAACGACGATGACACGAATGTGCCAGAAAATGCCGAATCGAATAATCAACAAGTAATTGTGGATGAAACTGAAGAACAGCCGATTAAATTGGAACAACTGGATATTTGCGAGGATTCAAGCGACGTCGCCGAAGACGAAATTGTTTCCAAAGTAAATATGACAAGTTTTTTTAACTCAAATAGATGAAAATAAATTAATTACTTTCGTTATATTTAGGAATATTTGGAAGAAACAGAAAACGTAGAAATGGAGGAAATTGTACAAAGTTCACACACGATCGAATCGGAAATAGTTGATCCAATCCAAGAAATGGATCAATTATTGGAATATTGTTTCTTGAAAGCGTGCAAAACGACGGTAAAGTCTAGCGATCTGCCGATGCTGTCGTCCAATTTCTTTAAAAATCATCTGCTGGTTGCCTGTCCACCGGGTAAAAATGTCGATGTGAAAAAGTCTCGGTACAAAAATTATCGGTTTTTCTGGCAGAAATGAAGGCCAAAGGAATAATTAATACATCCATCACGAAAGGTGTCGAGACTTTATTGTCCATCAAGGTAATACTCACCTTTCGGCTTTCTTTATAATTGAAAAGTATATTTCAAAATCATTTTGAGCTCATGTTTTTCAATAGTAAAGATTTTATCACACATGTTGATTTAACTTGATTTTCTACACTTTTATAAGTAATCTTTTAATCAATGTGTATGATTAGAATAGCGTGTTGTAATAGGTTCCATTCTTTTACTCTTCAGTTCGATCACCCGCTTGTGAAGCAATTAATCGTTAACGAAGAACCAATCGTGGCCGAACCGGTAGTTTCGAATAGCGCTGTCGTATCGGAATGTTACAAAGTGACCGCCGATGTTCTGCCAATTCTGTCGAAATTTGGCTACGAGTAAGTACACTTAAATGGCACTTGTCGAATAAAACCTTACATTCGCGATGCAATGTAGTTGCAAGAGAGATTATTTTCTGTATGATGATGAAGGAAATCGCTAAAATTGTTAAACCGTCATATGCATAATTAAATATATTGTGTTTCACTCTACATCGGAATGCATAAAATCACCGATGATTGCAGGAAGGGCGACGTGATGAAAAGAGCTGACATCAGAAAATGTTTCACCGAATACGTGAAAACGGAGGATCTGCAGAACGGAAAGTAAGACGATGATGCTTCACCAGTATATGTCTTGATGCCGTTTCTTCCACTGAATCATCACTTTGGATTTGTAGGACGTTAAAGTTGAATCCCCAACTGGCGGGCATCATGCGAACCAAGGCTCACCAGGAGACGGTGACGATGGAGGACGGAATAAATAAGTTTATCGGTCGCATGACGCACATGCACGAGGTCACTCTAGCGGGGAATACTTTGTTGCACACGGGAAAACTGGAACCGATCGACATGAGGGTGACGGTGCGATCAGGTGGGAAAAAGGTAAAAGCAAGCTTGACTTGAGATGTGGAAAGCTGTGTAAATTATTCGCTTTTTTCTGACGGTTATTTCATAAATCGCAGGTGACGTTGGTGAATAATCTGGAAACATTCGGCATCAATTTGAAGGAATTCAGTAAAGAGTGCCAGAATATCGGTGCAAGCGCGACAATCACCGATGATCCTGGCAAAAAGACCCCCAGCGTTCTTGTTCAAGGAAACCAAATTTTATATGTGTACAAATTACTTACAGGTGAGTCACTTCGATTTCAATCTTTTATAGTTTCGCGAACAAAGTATGTAATTTTATCACGTTTATTACTTTTGCAGAGAAATATCAAATTAAAAAGAATTATATAAGAGGTTTAGAATTTGCGCCAAAAAAGAAAATAATTTTTTTTAAATAAGAAATAAACTTATAAATATTCTGTAAATAAATCAGACACTGTTTTCCCTTTTGATGTTATCGCGAATGAAATAATATACTCGTGCTCTTTATGTTTGCGCGATTGTCCAAAGATTGATCAATAGTGCAATTATTCTTCAATTTTTTTTATCGAGATTTTCTCGTAAAACGTAAATGTTATTTTGATGAAACAATTTTAATCGTAAAAGATTACAGAAGAACGCTGCCACTATAATACATCGCCAAAACATTTTCTGAGAGAATGTTTAAAGCGATTAGAGAATTAACGATATTTATCGTTCTAACAGAAAGATGCACGTTATAATAAGTAATTATTAAATAAAACAAACTCTTGCACAGACAGTACGAGTTCTTGTCACTAGCAAAATTGTTCCGACCTTACCATATCCTGTCATAATATAAAGCAAAGAGAAAATATCGAAAAGTGCCGAAGAATTAGGTAACTTTCGTGCGAGAGATGACAGGCGATCGATGTTTGTTAATATAATTTATTATATATCGAGGTTTCAACATGGAAAAGTACAAATATTGCAATATAGGGAGGGCCCGCGAGCTCTCCTCGGGAGGGAGGGAGGGAGGGAAGGGGTGAAAGGCAGGGAAAGGGTTTTTCGATTGCACAGAAGGGAGAGACGACGCACGTAAAAGGGTGGATGTTCCTTGCAGGATACGAGGGGGATGTTGCGTTCGGATAAAAACCGAGAGCGAATCGCGTATACGTGTATAATGTATATATAATGTATATGTATATATAATCATGTTTTTCACATATATATTTATATATCTTCATATCGCATTTTTTTTTACTTTTGCCTTAAATTTATCCCTTTTTTTCTCCCTCTATTTTTTCTTCTCGAGGCGCGACGGGATGCCGACAGACGTCGCGAAAAGCGTGAGGACCCAGGTACCAAACTGACATTATTAGACGTCGAATGATGTCATTAAACGTCAAAGTGACGTCATTTTGCTACTCGGGGACGTCCATCGGGGTTTTCAGTGATTTTTTTTCTTTTCTTCTTTCGCTCGGATAAAAGGAAGGTTCCCTCCTCTCCACGGCCCCCGCATATATTTAATACTCGTTTTGTTCTTCACTTTTTTCTCTTTTTTTTACTTTTATTCTACCTGATACGCACAGGCGCGTCACGAGGAATCGCGACGCGCACGTGCGTGTTTCGTGACAGTAATTACTTTTTTCCTCGCTTTCTTTATCTCTCTCACTATCATCTCGTTATCATAATCGTCATCGTTAGCCTTATCATTATCGTCGCCTTGCGCCTTCTCTTAACTAACTGCCTCGCAGACGTACGATCGATCGAGACATAGCGATCTATCTCACGGATTATCGTCCACCCTTCGCCGAATCCATGAATCATCATTATGTCATCGCAATGATATAGACATAGACGGTATATGGAAATCGTCATCTTATGTGATTCGTGACCCTTCCCTCGATTTTTTTTTTTTTTTTGCGACATTCTCCATCCAAAGTTTGATGACGATGACTCCTGAATGATATACTTTAGCTCGCATTGATTCCTGATTCTTTGGTTCCTAAAGAACCTAATTGTTCGATTAATTGTACTCTTTTTTTTCGCCAATTTTATTTTAATCGCAATACTTTAATGATCGATTAATGCGATAATTAATGATTGACAAATTCAACGAACGGCACACGGAAAAATTCATCTAAACGTCGATTAAGCCTAAAACTCGCGCGCATTTTACTCGTGGACCAGATTATGTCAGTCTTCTCGTTTAAAGCGTCGAACGACACGGATTTATCCGATCGTTCTGTTCTCTTCGCGCGATTCTCGCAGAATAATCGCAGCGAAGGCTCGATAATTCCCTAATCCGAACGCTATGATTCGATCGTCATCGATTTATCTTAGGACAAATCATCTTTCCTCTACGTCTGCAGAGGAAATTCTCATGCTCGCTCTTTTTTTCTCTTTCTCTCACACACATACACATACACGCACTTCCTTTTCTCTCTCTTTTATTTCACCTCGCATTCTTTTGTGGGAACATTTTTTAATGTACTTGCCGTTGTTACCATTTTTCAGCATCTCTCTTCAAATCAACTTGCCTAAGTTCTTTATCTCTCTATAATCTCTCTCTCTCTCTCTCTCTCTCTCTCTCTCTTTCACTCACTCAATCATTCTCTCTTTCTCTCTCTCTATTTCGTTTTTTTCTTGCTCGCTCGGTCTCATTTGCCTTCTGAATTTTCGTAGTTTTTTTTATGCAACACATAATGCGACTAGGTAGTACAGGTTAATTAATAATTAATATCGTGTTAGTTATACAATAATAACGTATGACTAGACAATGCAAGATAATAATTATATCATAAATATAGTAATAATCATAGTATGGATCGCAATTTATATCAACAATGTGGCGGCGCGCACGTGTTTCGAAGAAACGTCAAATTATCGTTTCGTGTATGTGTCTGCCTCTGTGTGTGCGTGTTCCCCTGTGCGTGACTATTTCCCCGCTTCCTACATATGCATTACATATGTATGTACGTGTGTGTATGTATATGTGTTCCTTTTTCCCTCAAGTGTGGTCCATTTGTTTTTTTTTTCTCGCGTGTTGCATCGTGAATGTGGAATTAAAAAAGGGGCGATCGCGAAATTAGAACAAAAAACAAGAACAAGTCTTGAATAAGTGAAGGTGTATAATTTTCGAAATCCGTTTTATCCTCATGATTTACTCGTAAAAAGGACCCTTTTTTCATCCTGCTCTCAGGATGCAACATCCCGCGAGGTTTAGTTTATATACACCGAAAACAATTATTAAATTAATAAATATTTATTTCAATACTGAAATATTTTTCCCATCAAATCGATATTATTAGTATCAAATTTATTAGGCAGTATTGAAATATAAATATTTATTCGAATTCAGTAATTTGTTTTCAGCGTACGTATATAGTCTTCATTTTTTGACGTGTGTATGTGTGAGTGGAAGCGTTTTGCGCGTTTTATAGTTAACGTCTCGGTATCCCGATTAATTCCTTAAAATGTATGCGAATAAATGCGTCCATCGCGCAGATACGTGCGATTTCCGTTTGAGAGAAACATTAATAAACTGTCGGATAAAATGCACGTGTAATCTTCCATCCGCGCGCGATCCTATGTACGTATGTACATCTCCTAATGACAAAAATCATTATATATATATATATATATTATATATATATCCCGGTGAGAGAGATATAAATAAATTGCAGTTTCAGCTGCACGCGACGCAACGTCGTCCAATTTGCGGATAATTCTCGCTGGTTGATCGTTAATTAATCGCGTTCGTTAAACACGATCGCGTCGCGCGCCAATTATCTCGCACGATAATAAGATATACGCAATCATCTAATAATGATATCCATACGAGTCGCATAAATGTTCGCTCCGTTCACTAATAATATAATACGTAATTAGCGTGACGATAATAATAGCAATAATAAGAACGATAATAACACCAATATGTACGTATGTATACAGAGTTCTGTCGAGGATACAATATGGTAATATCTCTATCTCCCTTCCTCTTTTCCGTCATCACAATCTCAATTTCAATTTTTCTCCCTTTTTTCCTATACATTTTTCTATATACGTATATAAAGTATGGGTTTTTACGATTGCACGGGTGAGAAAAACTAAGATCCTCAAAGGTGTATAAGGAGGATATAAAAGATTCGAGATTTCTTCCTAATCCGGAAGACTCCGAAAATCTACTCCTTGAGAGAGATTAAGAAAAATGTGTCCGGAGAGAATCTCTCATCTCTCGTCCTCGTCGTTTAACGTTATACAGTTACGCGCTGTCGATGTCGGTCGATGAATTTTCAATCATCGACGGACATCAATCTGCCCAGGGCTGAATCCAGGGTGCGGCTTTGGAATTTAAAAATCAGAAAAAATCTTGTTGACTCTAAGGATCTCTAGGAAAAAAAGTATAGGCGAGACTCTTCCGCAATATTCTCCTCTATCTTATCGCGAGATGTTTCCACCAAGTGGTTCAACACGTCCGGAGACGTATCGTTGTTTATCGGTTCTTTTTTTTTTTTAGTTATATATACAATATATATACAAATAAAATACAATGTATATGTGTATATATATATAATATATACTAGTTGTGTGAAGAGTCCCCGTGATATGGCGTTCACAGGGAATTTTCGTTTAACCCATATTAATCCGATATGCTGTCACGTTATTAAATTAATTATCTCAATTTATTATTATAATTAATCTAAATATCGCCAGATTATTAAGGGTTAAGCTCTCCGTTAAGTTTACAGTACTTTGAATCTCGTTCGATGATTAATCTCCGCGCGGAGACGCTGACGGTTTCTTTGTCGACGTTATACAAATTATTGTATTAACAACGAAAAAATGCTTCTTTTATTTCGCGCGATAATCTCTTGTACGACATATACGGAAGCATATTTTTACGTCAACATTCTAATATTCCCCTCCCTGTTGAGCTATGACCGTGTAAACCTGTTCGCAGTAGTAAAATCGAGATACGGTCAGACATACTCGATGAGCCGTTCTGATTTCTAAATCGAATCGATCTCTCATTTATTTACTTCATGCGAGGCCTAAGAAGTAAAACCTATTTCTTTGGTCGTGTATGTCTTTCCGATTAAGAAAAAATTCGTAGTCTCCTCGTTTGTCATTACTCACTAAATAACTTCACACCTAACATCGACTTTTTCGACAAGTATATCGATACTTGTCGCGATAGTTGCCGTTTCAAAATTGATCTCGAATTAATGCAACAACCCCTTTAATTATCCTAAACTTTATTCGCTTCATCCTCAGTTCGTTTCTTATAATCGTTATGTTTTGTTTTCTTTTTTCTTTTCGTTTTTTTTTCTTTAAATCGTACCACTTAAATATCGAGTATCGCGAAATTGGAAATGCTTAGGTCGTCGCGACACTATCGCTATTATTATCACTTGGAGTTTTTATGCAGTCCTTAGTGCGAATCGTCCGATTAGATTGGAAGCATTAAGAATTCCCGCGAAATTTTCTTCTCGCGAAGATATAAATCTCTCCCCTTCTCCATCCCTATATGGTCCAAAGCATCGATTGATATTAATCAATTCTCGTATCCACAAAAATTTCTCCTTTAGTGTGACAAAACGAAATTCTTCATATTTTCAAACGTAAGATTATATATTCGCGATTAAAATTAAATTAAAGATAAATTAATAATTTTTGTATTAAGATTTAAGCTTGAAATTAAATCAACTTTCCTAATTAATTTTTGAAGAAAAGTAATAGCGAAACAATTTAATAGTTGTGCGTGAAAATTTTCAATAACATTTTTTCCAGCATAAT